CCATCTTCGAGCCGCAGTTAAATAGTGTTGCATTTGAGACAATAGCTGCAAACCGACGAAAGGTTTTCTTTCTCCTCTCGCAATGTCGTCTTGTCGGCATTTTTTATCCCCACCATCGTATAAAGAGAGAGAGGGAGAGAGAGGGTTGTGTTAATTAGTATGGAGACGAGAGCGCCCATCAAAACCTTTATCGCGTTACATTACAACTAAAACTACTTAAAGCTACCTCATTCCTGACATGACACACACTGTCTCACATCCCACACAGGCCACCATTAGCATTGCACCCTGCCTCCGATTAAAACCAGCACTGCTTTCCTTCTATCCGTGCTTATTAGAGAGAGAGAGAGCTCTTTGCTACCGTGTAATAATTGCGTCCAGTCGATCAAGTAGCACCAAAGTGCAGTAATGAAGTTAAGTATGAACCGGTGGTGGGTTGTTGATGCGTGGGTCCATCAAATCAACTCTCAACTGATAATAATTCGTGATAAGCCGCAAGGATCACACCGCTCTGGCTCCCAGGCCATCAAAACTCCTCCCCTTCAACTTCCACACCCCTTCGTTACGCAACAACCACAACCCACCACCAATTACACAACGCTCAGGTTCGCCAATTAGCACTGCAAGCATGGGCTCAACAAGTCCACCAAATCTCACCCATGTGGTCAGTCGAAGGGGCAGATACGATAATTACAGAAATTTAATTACTGCATATGCACAAGTCGAACTTTTGATTATAAACTGTGGACATTTTTTGAAAATGTGATGAACGCCGTCTTCATTAGTCGAGAATGTTTGGGGAGAAATGTTGGGATGAAAATAAAAGATTATCCGTCGTCGTCCTCGTCGCCTTATTCACAGCTCCTGCTTTTTACATGAGCTAGAGTTTGCAATATGTGTGCCTCTGTTGACGTAACTGACTACTGGAGCTCATTACGAGCAATTTGAGGGCTCATCAATCTCGAGATGATGATGCTGAATGCAAAATGTGCGTCGTCGTCGAGTAAATCTTGCTCCGTTTTGGAGGAAACATAATAATTTCTCCTCTAAATGAGGCAATGAAAACGAACTTGCTGACACTTTATGGCTCCTACAAAAAAATGGTGATGAAGCCCAGCAGGATTTTCTACACAGTATTTACACACAGCTTAAATTTGTTTGCTGCAATGGTCAATTTACAAGTGGTATCATCCTCGCTCTTAACTTTCTTCCCCTTCGCCTTGGATTTTCAGATAGTACGTTTTAGAATGTGCATGGCATTTTTCTACCCAAATTCACGTCGTGCCACTTGGCCGTTCTCATCATCCTGATCTGTGAAATCATAATAATCTCCTCACTCTGCGGCCTTCCCATAAAAAAGGAGAGGACATTTCTTCTTGGAGGTGGAATTGCTCCTTGTGCATTGTTGCTAATGTTTACCTTAAAAGTGTTCCGTTGTTTGAGAGCGGAAGTGAGTGATGGAAGGAGGACCAAGCCCTCGGTGTGAGAGAGAACACCTCAACATTAAATTTTTTGACTTTTGTCGTCGTGTAATCCGATGGGATTCTTGGCTCACACGAAGAGGGCGAGAATTCGAAGGCAATCTCAAACCTCGAGACTTTTTCTTTGCTCGCTTTTCTTCCCCAACTTGGCTTTATTCCGTCCTGGTAATATATTTGTAGGAGGAAAGGGAACAATGAGATTCTTGATCTTCTAGGTCGTCTTTGTCAACCAGTTTTGCACTCTCCGTCGTACAGGCCAGCGTCCTGTGTCGTCGTCGTAGGCACAGCTGGATTCTCACTTCATATCTCGCCTGCCTGCTTCCTCCGAGCTCTTGTATTAAGAAAAGAATGAACAAGAGGCAAGACTTGGAGGAGCAGTGTATGCATGCACCGAATTGGAATTGTCGTAGGATCAGAAATTTCCGACGATGAGATAATGAGAAATTCACTAGGTTTTAAGCCTGGTTGTTGGCTATGTGTGTCGTTAGAAAAAGGACGCGGAGAGGAAGGAGGATGAAGTGTGCATTGTTTTATTCATAAAGTGGTGTCGATGTGGTGGGGTCGTCGGGTCTGGAGTTTGAAAACAATTAATCATTATGCTTCTGACTCTTGGTTTCTGTTCTGACTAGTGCAAACATGACTTATTCAAAGATGAGGACTACCCCGGAGTCCCGACCTCGATCCTCATTAATCCAAATTCATCACTTTCTCTCCCTCGGAAATGGTGCATGGATGGAGTTACATTATTTCATTATTGAACAAAGGACCACTTCTATCTAACGGGCTCCAATTACACACCCACCCACGCATTGTGTTTAGTCACTCTCCTCGCTCTCGTCGCGAGTGAGTTTTTGGTCCAATCTTGTTGCTCGGTGGAATCCTTCCTTTCTCCGAAATTTGTGTCGGCTGTAATCTTTTGATTTGATTTGGCTCACCAAGTCGTCCCAAATCTCTTCTTTCTCCTCATGCAGTGCGCAGTGAGTGAGTCCAGCCAGTGATTAATTCCGTATTCGACATCTTTCCCTCCCATGCAGCTAAACACATAAGCTCCGTCCCTATACCACCACCAGCAACGACTCAATTTGGTTTGGTTTGGTGACTTTTTCCTCCGTTGAGTAGAGATCGTGATCCAATTCCATTTCTTGGTCTCTCGACGAATATACGTTGGATCCGTCCCCGGTGGTGCTGCTGGTGGTGTTGAATGGGCTCAATCTCTCGCGATAAATGGAGCAGAAAAGAAGAAGTCCAAGTACTACTACATTCAATTTCCTGGTCGGGTCGTCCAGGTTTGCTAAATCGGCCTCTCTCTTCAAAATCCCACTTAAACCTATGCAATCTACTTTCCTCTCCTTCTCCTCCTCTCTCTCCTTCTCCTCCTCTCCGCGAGATCAAGTCGGAGCAAGGAGGGCGACTTCATTTATCCGACCTTTGTGCAGCATCAAACCAATCTCAGGAGGGGAGCTTGCGAGGTTGATAATAACAGATATTGGTGCCCTTTGGATATGTGGTAGGGACCCATGAGTGTACTAAAACCCTGAAGTAGTTTGACTCCATGGCCACATTTGCGCCCGCCACACCCACTCAAAAATGTCCAAAAAACGCTTTCACCCCAGTTTTCACTCACTCAAATCCACGCCAAAAATCCAATTTTACTCGGATTTTGAAATTTCTTTCACCATTATACTCCCAGATAGTTGCTTTCTTCAATCCAATATCAAACTCAATTTTTTCGAAATTTTTAGTATTTTTAAAATTTAAAATTCTGAATGAGCATTGTTGTAGTCATCAACAAAACAAATTATGTTTGCGAAATAATCATCAATAAAATTGAGTTTGATATTGGATTGAAGAAAGCAACTATCTGGGAGTATAATGGTGAAAGAAATTTCAAAATCCGAGTAAAATTGGATTTTTGGCGTGGATTTGAGTGAGTGAAAACTGGGGTGAAAGCGTTTTTTGGACATTTTTGAGTGGGTGTGGCGGGCGCAAATGTGGCCATGGAGTCAAACTACTTCAGGGTTTTAGTACACTCATGGGTCCCTACCACATATCCAAAGGGCACCAATATCTGTTATTATCAACCTCGCAAGCTCCCCTCCTCAGATATATACCTGGAGATTGACATCGCTGTCGAAAACCTAACCCGGCACCAGAAATATGCACCGAATGACACGCATGTAGCAACAGCGTCTGCATGGTCATTATGCTTCTAATACATATGCAGAGCCTTGTTTGAATAGGCGACGACGGAGGAGATGACATCGGAGCGAGTTTCTTTCTGGATTGACGGGTGCGTGGGCAATATGAGAGGGTGGCAGGCAGCTTATGGGGTTTAAAGAGGTCCATCCGATCTCAGAACTGTTTTTCCCATGCAAACACAACAAAAACGACGTATAACAAGGCGGCACAAAAGGATCCAAATGTTTGTAAACCGTTTAAGAAAGGGAGAAATAAACAGGATGAGGCGTGGATTTGGAGGCTATCGTCTCATGTTACTCGTCTCTCACACTCTCTTTCATACGGAACTTCGTCTCAGAATGGAGACATTTTAAGGTAGGACTACTCCGGTAGGAGCAGCGTAACATGTAATAATTTTGTACCTTTAGTGGTACGAAATACCATGAGTTGGAGACCCTCCTCGTCATGATGAGGGACGAAGCAGGTCCCAATTTTCCGACCAATTACTCGAAATTATTGGAGAAGGAAATGTGATCACTTTCATTCCAAGTTCGTCTCCTGGATGGATTCAGTTCTTGGGTTTAAGTGAGCATTCAATGAGTGGGGAACATAAGTGTGATGTTATCTCTTTTATGAGACTCCACAATGCTACACACACATTTCCCTGGTGCTGGAGATTTCAGTGAAGGAAATGGTGCGATAACTAAATATAACAATATGAGCAGTTTAAAGGAGAAGATTGGAGGACTGGATAAGAGAAGGAGGACGATGATGAGATAACATTGAGAGCTCAGCGGCCAGTCTCCCTCACATTTCGTCACATTTTAGACGAAAATACAACCAAGTCCTGTCTCGAGTTGAATTGTATTTCATTCTGCGACGAGATATGTACAATCCGGGTGCACATTGCGACTCTGTCCTCCTCCTGCGACCTGGATGTAATCCGTCTGGATTTTTTTTCGCCAGCAGCAGCCGAGTCTTTTCTTCTCTCCAATAAAATGGGTGCAGGGATCGATGGCTGTCGAGTCGAGAGAGAGATTTTGACAGGGACAAAGAGGAGGATGGGAAATCTGGACTGGACAAAGTCAACCTGTTTTCCTTCTCACAGAGCCTTGTTGAGCAAATATTGTACGAGAGAGAGAGAGAGAAAGTGGATGGAGAAAGGAAGACGGAGATAGTGTTGAATGGATGGTTTGGAGGAGTGGTACGGCTAATGAAGCATGACCACCACCAGATAGAGACCAGATAGAGACCGGCCAAGTGACCCATACCAAATTAGACTTCATACTCTCCGGTTTTTACAAGCTAAACTAACATGATTGCTTTCTCTTTATTGCACAGACTGTCCCGAAGGAGTGGAATCCGAGTGGACAGCAGCAGCCAGAGTGCAGCCAGGATTCGGAGTGTCTTGTCGTAAGTCAGAGATTTTCATTTCTTCCAATTTTTAAGGGGTGATTGGGGGAAATTATCATTAAGTTTGGTCTGGCAATGTCAGTCCTTCAGAAAAAGTGGTCGTCACCCATGACTCACCACTCGTCGTTGTCGAGACGAGAGGCCACTTCACCCACCTCCCCCTCTCCACCCCCACACGAAGCTTAGCCAGAGAGGCCGAGGGAAAGAAAGTGCTCCAAGTTTCCTCATTATTAGATCAAGAGTTGTAATATATCGTGGGCAACTTTTCCATTAACTTCTTTTGTGCAATAATGGACTCGAGAGAGAGAGACGTCGTCGTCGCATGTTCGATGCCTCGTCCGACACTTCCCATTGTTCCTTATTAATAAAAAAAGAATAAAAAGTATGTGGAAGGAAAGTTCTCATGCGTAAATATACAGACTCTCGCGGGCCATTGTTGCAGTTTGGTTTTCGAATATTCACAAAATAAAAGTGAACGCATGTGAGAGTAAAGTTAGGAGGCGATGCTACACATGTCTTGCACACCAAAGCTACTTAGCATCGCCATCTTAATTGAATCTCTATTTAGCCATGGGTTTATTATTACTCGACTGGTGCTAATGACTCCTTCTTCTCTGGAGCTTCGATCTGCCTGCTCTTATCTTCACGTAATAATAATAACGTGTGAAGAGGGCAATTAGTGTCATTCGTTACACGGGGCAGCCCAGATGCAGCATCCCAAAAATCACTTTCCACAGCAGCTATATACGCCTAAATATTTCTAGTTCTCTGCTTTTCACCACCGTTCGTTGGCCTGGTCAGACTCGACGTGATCTTCTGGCCACATCCTTTCTCCTGCTCTAAGTGGTTGTTGTGAACACACGGCTCTTCAACTTTTACTGCGGCACGTTCGCCCGGAATAAACACTGACGACGACGACGACGTGGTTGTTTATTTTCTACGTCTCTCTCTCCTTACGGTCTCACTCACTCTCAAGGAGGTCCAGCACACGAGGGACTTGCGTGGTAACTCCCCTCGCTTTCTAAATAAAACGAGAGTGCAGCAAACTTGAATTAGTTCATCAAGTTCTCAAAGATCATCCTCCTGACGAGGGAGCCGTGTTCTGCTCGGCGTGGGAACGTAAAATCTGTATCAACATGTCACGTACATCGTCCATCAGCATGATTATGAAAAGAGTGTGATAGGAGTCGGCTCGGCAGAGTTGATGCCGTCAACATTGCGGAAATCAGGACCAAGGGTTCGAAGGGGAAACGAGGAGTCGACTTTTGCGCCCAATCTGAAGTAATGAAGTGAAGCCGTGTGTCATGTGCGGATACATATGAAATGTGTGTGCTCTCCTTGTTGTTTGCTTTTTTGGTGGGGCACCGGGTGTAGCTGAGCGATGATTAATTGATGGATGGCCGGGTGGTGTGGGCTGTTCCGCTCTCTTAATTTATCACGTGTCACGTCTTCACCCCGACCGACCGACTCATTTATAAAATACGCGTCGTCTGCCTCTTGCCTTGTTGGCGTTAAGACCGTGGAGAGGAGGAAGAAGAAGAATGGAATGTCCCACTGCAAAATTTAATGCCTTTCTCCTGACTTTCTCCTCTCGCTCTCTCTCAGGTTGAGGCTGCTGCAGGAGGGGGAGATGTGGGATAGGCATCTTTCACCTCGTCTGATCTGACTGACCTTTTAATCCCAATAAACGAATGAGAAATGAACGAGCTCGCTCGCAAAAGAAGATTTGATCATCCGTTTCACAAATTTCAGTCTGTTTGAAACAATTCAACGGGTCAGACGAGACGAGTTTTTCTTTATGAACTGCACGATGGGATCCTTTTCATGAGCAAAGCCCAGTTTCGAATTAGTATGCAAAGTGGAAATGCAGTCGAATTTTGTTGAAATCGAATTTTGGGAGCACCATTCTTTCCAAATATTAAGCACACCGAGGCGAGCGATTACTTAATCCATACTTTGATCATCTCCCCTCTCCTTCTTCCTCACTCGCTTCCTTCTTTATCAATTTATTTTCAAAATGTTTGCATTTTCTATCTTTTACACAAAATGATGCCGCTTTTCTTCCTTTTCTCCTTTTGGAGTCCACACTCCCATTAAAACGTCGAGATCTTTTACTCTGGTTTACACATACAAAAGCGATGCCGAAAAGCTGGCTGATGATGAAGGCACCCATCCACTGGATGGGTGCCTTACATTCGTAACCCCTGTCACTTTTTGTGCTCAAAAGTTCACTTCACTGGTTCATTCCAGGATTTTGTTGTTGAAATTTTATTTTATACCTACGTATGCACCAATAAATAATATACGAGTCCAAGGATTAATGTGGCACTGAGGTTGAGGGCACAATGGTGTGTGGAACAAGAAATGCGAGAGGGTGAGCAATTACCTCTCATTAAAATGAAATTAAGGAGCTCCTATAGATCTGTCTAAATATGTATGTGAAAGTTTTAATCCACGCTGCATCCCATTAGTCGCAGCAGTAAAAAAGGACGACCCTGTGGCTTCTCTGATTCCCACTTCTACTTCGTGCGCATTTCCTGCAATGGAAACGAAAACTAGAAGACGCAGAGCTGATGACTGACCAAGTAGCCAAGCACATTTTATTTTATTGTTTAATAGGATTAATCATAACTCGTCGTTGTCTTCCATTCTTCTCCTTCTCGCTCTTAATCCAAATAAGCACCTTCAAAAATCCTTCTTACGTGATGATGATGATGACGTTGATGTGGTGCTGCTTCAAGACAAAAGATCGTCCATTCGTCCTTTCCTCATCCTCTTTTTATTGTACTTGCTTATTATAATTTGAGTTGGAAAAAGTTTCCTTGTTTTCCTTCTTGTGTCGTCCCCCGTAAGTAATCCGTCCGAATTGTTGGTAACGAGGGAGGCGATATTTAATGTGATGGGATGCTAATGTAGTCACATTACAAGGAAAACAACACCCTTTTTTACTCCACACGCACCTTTCCTCATCATTACGACACACACATCATGTTGCACATTATGCATCTCCAGATACATACTTACGCACAATAAATGTTGTCATCGCATCTTGCTTCGTCCAGGTTTGGTGTGGAGCTCTGGAGCAATAAGAACGTATTTATTTGTGAGCTCTGGAAGGAAGTGAAGCAATCATTGCACAAGCTGGACTGGAAACAATGAGAACAACATGGAAAACATTTTAGAGAGCGAGCAAACAATGGGGTGGATTTATTGTTATGAATATCGTTAGGCTCTCGGTGCATTGTGTGCAGTTGTTGTGGAGCAAGTAGTTATTACCATTATTGAGTGGTCTCTTAATCCTTTGTGCACACACTGAACCTTGTGAGTTGGGAACTCTTGCTGCCCTGCCTGGGGTCATTTCCTATAGGAATTCAATGGCTACGGAACAAACGATATGGATGGATGGGCTGATTGACAGCTCAATTGCGTGATGGGTTCTCATGTATTCTTGTTACTCAGTCCAGTTCACATTTCATTTCGTAACACAAGGTGGCTTATCGAGTAATATGAATATCGACATCAAAATTAAGGGACGAATGACGACTGGACATAACCTGCTAGATTTGCACTGGTCTTGTTTCTGCTACTTTTTATTGGGAAAAGGTAGCCGGCTGGTCTCACTGTTGCCTCCACCACCAGCAATGCATCACAGGTCCGAAGGGACGGAGAGATATAAGAAATATAAATGCCACACAGCAGTGAAAAAATGTCGCGGATGTGTGTCCACGTCATTCGAACCCCAAGAGTGACCGGAAATCTGAAGCAATTCATCTCTGGACAAATTGAGGAATGAGTCCAAAGAAAAAGTTGAACGTACTGCTCCCGTCGTCGTCGTCGTAAAGATTTATTATTTGTGAAGTCGAGGGAAACAGATTCTTATAACTTGTTCAACAATGTCAAGTAAACCGAGTGGAAAACAGGACACAGAATTCTTTCTTGCTAAACAGGAGGATTTATCGTTTCGAATTGGATTTGAAAAAGGAAATGGTAAATTCCTTCAAGTCGTCCCTTGGCTCGTCTATTTCACGAATTACGTAGCATTATTCCACGAGAGCTGCCCTTCTGACTCACTCATTCATCCCGACGGGCCGACGGAGCGGAGAGCGAGAGGGCCCTTAAATTATGCCCTTATTAGCTCCACACAACAATTTGCCAGCCAGCCAGTTAGAGGCTAATCACGAACTGAGGATGAAAGACATTTGTGTTCCGATCCAACGACACAATGCAAGAATATACGACCTTTATTATTTCGACGTGTATTGTATTTCACATGGTTCCTCCGCATCTCTGCTGCATTGAACAGTTTACTTTGGGTTCAAATCCGTTGAAATCAAGCTCATCTGCTGCTGCAGCTTATTTTTTCTGTGTGTACGATATGGTCCAGGACGAGACCTTTTTGGTATTATTTATACAACGCCATAGTAGAACACATCCATATCTCGGAGACCCTGATCTGCAGGAGGGTTGCATTGAACGGAGGAGTCAGCGCGTGAAATTTAAGGGGATTGGATTCACCTTTTCAAAATTGATGACAAATTGACCCGACTTGGTTTCCCTTTCCTCGCTTTGTGCGGAATATACATAACGAACCTCAGCTTTGAGGTGAGTCTGTCTGCAGGCACATTACGGGAAACGATCCCTCAAAAGAAGAATGACACGGCATAATAGTTGGCCTAATGTGTAACAGACCCGTCGGAGGGTACGAGTAAAGTAAGCCGAAATTCATCCCAGAGTACACACACACACATCGTTGGGATTGGAAACGATCCTAAAAACTACTTGTCAAATGGTAGAAAATATTGGTACCTTGCAGAATAGAATCGTATGTGCTTTCGTAGGAATTGGCTGAAATTAGTACGTTGGGCACAATGGAGATTCATCGGAGGAAGAATGGGAGCAATATTGATGGGCAGGCATGAAAGATGGAGTGAATCCATTAGTTGAAATTATTTACAAAGTATGTACTTTGGCTATGCACCAGCAATATAAGCTCCAAACTGAAAAGTGAAATTGACCATCTCAGAGCGAACCGTTTAGTAAATTCCTAGTCACCACTGGACAATGACAAGGATCGTTTTTGAGACGGAAGCAAACCACAAATGGATTGATCGTTTCGAGCAGATGCGGAATTTCCAAGAAATCATGAAACGTGACGAAATCAAGTCAGTCAACATCCATCGACTCGATCGACCCCTGTCCCATCTTATTTCTTCATAAGACCCTGTTGCCGGTCTTGCCACTGAAATTGTTAGTTTTTGCTGAATTTGATTTCATCTTTGGAGTTTATTCGTTTGATTTTGTCTCAGTTTAAGTATGCAAGGATGATGCACGATTATTGAGATGGATTGATTTGATGGTGAGCTATAATAATCATCATCATCATCATCTCGTCTCGTATGGTCATGAAATATGCAACCAGTCTTAAATTGTGGGTTCGTAATATGTGCACCCTAATTTCATTCCTCTTTTCTTGGTCTGTTGGTCGTCGTGGTCGTCTTATTCTCTCAACGACCAAAATCTACGAGTTGTTCATCAAGTCTGATTGAAATTCCAACCTAAACCATCCTTCCTTCTGCACTGTTGAAGCCTGCTCCTTCTGCTAATTTAATTCCAATCTAGACAAAGCGAACCTTGGGAATATTATCGCTAAGCAAGCTGGCAATAATGATTGTCTTGTAATAAAACCCGTTCGCATCATCATCACATTTTAATAATGCCTCTTCTTATGCTCTCGTCGATCGTCTTGCGTAATTTTTCATTTATTTTATGACCCCTCTAAAAGGATTAAGGTAGGTAAGGCTGCACAGCACACAGGTGGTGGCGGTGGTGGAAATAATGTAAATTCTCCAGACGCGGTCACTGTGACCAAACCAAAGAGTTGGTTTTGATTCTATTCAGGATTTTACCTGAACAGATTTCGACATTTCTTATTCATCGTATTTATGTAGAAGAGGATGGAGTTGAGGGGGACGCGTGTGTGTGGTCTCTCACTGAAATGGAGCAGTCGTAGTGGTCCTGATGGGATATTATTACGCATTGTGGTCCATGGAAAATGTATGTAATTGGGCTCCATTAGCAGTGGATGTGGATCAAAGGTGTTATCTCGTCATCCCACCTGTCACGGAGAGAGAAAGAGCTCACACACAACAATCTCCTCAGCCCCATCAAAGCAAAAGAAACAGAAGCTAAAAGTGGAAATGAAATGAGAAATTGACTCTTGTTCAGAGAGTGGCAGGCAGGAATCCAATCTTTAAACAAATCTGAGTCAGCGCATTATGATCAATTCCTCCGGCTCCCTCTCTCCCCATGAACTTCTCAAGGACTACTTATGCACATATTTACTCGGTACAACAATGTATGATAAGACACAATTTTGTACCGCTTATTCAACTAAATTGCGTCCCACTGAATCCTTCCGAGCAAGAGAAGTGGGTTGAGTGAAGATGCAAAATAGCATAATCTGCCTGCAGTGGATAAGACACTCGTAACTATTAGGATAAGTTGGTGACACTTGTTCAGCAGAAGCTTAATTAAACCCTTGACTAGGCTGACTCTACTTCTTGAAACGTTGTAAATTTGCTCATTAAAAGTCACTGCTCGGTGTTGCGGTTCCTCTCAATTCGATCGTTAGTCATTCCTGTTGGCTCACTAATCCCAAGAAAGAAAGAAAATGGCGACGTTGCAAAATTCATCCCTTTCCGGTTTTCGCGAGGAAATGAAATCTGCATGATTTGCATGTTATCAGTGTTTCCTGGCGTTTGCTTGTTCTTTTGGTGGTGTGTTGCTGAGAGGATGAGAGCAGAGTTATGGGTACTAACTATAAGTGAGCAAAGTTGAGGGAGATTTATGAGCTGAGAGCATCTTTCTCTCCGACCGAGGCAGGTGAAGAAGTAAATGCAAATGCTAAATTGCACTTCAATCCAGCCTGAGAGAGGAAGAAGAAGAGATTAAATTGAATTACTTCAAGTTATTTATTGCTCTCAGCCACACACACGGAGAGAGAAAGAGACGGAGGAAGCAATAAGCCAGCCAGCAGAACCATGCCCCAAGAAAGTACAAGTCCTCAACAGACTTAAAATGAATCGGCTGGATGAGTGCATATCAGCGCTTAAATGGCTCCCATTTCGGAACTGCAGTTGCCTGAAATTGCAAATCTGATAGCGAGTGGTGTAATATGAGGAATGTTTTAATGAAATTAAGTGGTTGGATGCATATGGAGTGGCCAACTTTATTACGCGTCTAACTTCACGGTTGTGATCACTCACGCGCACATTTTAATAAAGCAGTTATTACATAAGCAATATTAACGATCAATGTTTGAATTTGATTGCAGTGTTGGAGAAAGTGCGAGGAGTTGGAAATGTTGGTGCAGTGGAGAAGTGGGAACAACAATGGGAACACGCAGAGCAGTAGGCAGCCGGTGGGAGGAGGAGAAGGTGACATGGACGGAGAAAGCAGGATCAAGGCGACGACGACGGTGACCAAGAGCAGCAAAATTGTGGCTGCAATCTGCTCCACATCTTCCTGTGTAAGTACTTACTCGCTCTCTCTCAACTTTCGTTGCCGTGCGGCGAGGAGTTATTTAGTTAGTGCTCTCTTATCGGACGGGGAGAGCGGAATATCGTGGTCTCCGACGCTGCTGCACTTTCCACCACCAAAAACCATAAGTCTTTCTTAGATAATGGACCCTGCTGACACTTTAATATGGCCCGTGTTTTATGGGACACTTTCCACACACTCAACTTTCTCCCAACCAAAAACTACCACTATCTTTACTGTCTCTTTCTCTCTCCCTCTCTCTATGCATACCTGGAGGAGTTCATGGAGACGGTTTCGTCCAGATTTCTCACCCAGTACTTGCTCTTTCTCCATGACAGGGTTCCGGCTGTCGAGTGGCGTGCAGTTTCTACGCGACCTCATCCGCCTCCAGTCCCAGTCCGGTGGCAGCGACGAGATCCTCCTCCGTTCTGATCCTGTCTCCGGGGAAAGTCACGTGGCCAGCGGCGAGTGGCGAAGGGCCGCTCGTCTACGTCCTTATCCAGCAGCTCCCGCACCTCAAGTGGAAACAGGTCACTCAGACGACACAGACTTGGGCCCTCCTTCCAAAAACTCTGTGGGACAAGTTGGAGTTTGGAGTGCGAAGCGTGCGAGTGCTGGTCGTCTCTTCCAAAGGCCTCGTTGCCATCTACCACCCAGTGCAAACGGCTGGACTGGAAGTAACCACTACCTCCTCAACTACGACGACGTCAACGACGATAACACCACAAAAAACACTTGGCGCTGATGGTGATGATAATGATGAGCGGGCGTGGAGTCAAATGATGAAGGTTGACGATAACTATCCGCCACCGAGAGAAAGTATGGACCGCAGCAAAGTGGACAACTCCGACTCTGCAGATTCGGAAGTGGAAGTGGTCACGATGCCGGAGGAGAGGGGCGAGCCAGAGGACGTGTGGGCCCTTCGAAGGCTGTCCCTCATTCACCAGAAATCCCTCGTCATAGCGGAGCTGGCTTGGGAGGACGTCAAGAAGGCACCGGAACAGGAGTACCTCATCACGTGGGAGCTGGATGGTGGAGGACTTAAAGGTCACTTGGTCACGGACTCTACGACCGTGTCACTCTCCCTCTGGCCAGACACGCTCTATCACATTCAGGTAAATATCTATGTATACACTTACCCTATGTACATTTGTATTACTTTGGCCAAAAGAGTACAGAAGGGAGAATTCTGCGGGATTTTCTCCCCCAATTTGTGTCAGTTCAAAAGTTCCTCTCTTCCGTAATTTATTGTCTTCATTCATGGGTGGACAAACTTTCACCCTCCGCTCCCACAAGTATCGGCCCATGAATGTACTCACGAACTAATTCCTACTCGTGTATGTCTTTTTAGGTTGAATTATTCGAGCCCAACTTTGAGGAGGGGGAGCAAGACGAATCTTCTTCCTCGTCGTCTTCTTCTTTTGTCGGAGGTTCGAGAAGTTTTCCGCTGTCTGTGGACACGAGCGAGGCGTCCTTTCCGCTCCTTCTGGTGGAGAAGCCAAGCGCCCTGCTTTCCCGGGAGCGACTTCTCACTGCCTCCACTCTGGTCGCGGTTCTTGTCGCGGCGGCCCTGACTCTCGGCTCCCTTCTCCTCGCCCTCTCCCTACGAAGACTGCTCAGAGTCCCGCAGCACCGTGGCAGCTTTTCTCTCGGCAAACAACTCCTCGACGACACGGACGACGATGGGCTCGTTGGTGACGACAAGAAGACGCTGCGGAGGTTGAGGGGAAACCAAGACGAGGAGAAAGGACACAGTCAAACATATTCTCACGGTGAGTTTATTTTCTCCAGTTGCCCTCCACCACTTTCTCCCCAGAACTGTTCTCGTCGCTGGCGAATAAGTACGAAGCTTTGTTGCATCTGAAGCATATTTTGCCAAACATATGTACACACTCTCGGGATACAATTTATTTCTGTCATGACAGTCAGCTCGTCTGTCTATTTATTGTCCATTTTAGTCTCACGTTCCCTCCTCAAAAACACTGCTGCTAGATGACCACCATGGAACCACATACGTATCTACGTGCATATGTGCTTAAGTACAAACTCGTATGTATGGTTAGGCATGTATTTTAAGTGTTCTCCAGCATCGCATCGTTGCACGTCTCCATCCGAACGTGGTTGTCTCCACGGGACGACTCGTGGTCGTCAGAGTCGATCCCTTAATTCTCAAGTCTAGTGAATTTATGCACTTTCTGCTGACACTAATTCATGAATTCATAAAACATGGAGGATTTGAACACAAGGAAATGTTACAAAATAACATTCGTTCCTTTTGTCTGCATTTTCTCGTTTCCAAGAAATCAAAGACTTGTGACTCTCTCTTCAACCTTTCCTTTTTCCGCTCTTGGCAATTAACAAACAACCGCAGAGAACTTTGTCCTTTTTGTAAAATATTGACTTTGGGAGTGACAGGAAATCATTAGCAGTAGGATTCGGATCATTACCCGTCTCTTCCGACTCCAACCATCGCCTGCCATTACATTCTTTTGCGGTTATTGTAGATAGATTTACTCATTTTTTTAACCGTACTTCTCCTCCTCCAAGGAAAATAAGTTTCTCATTTTGTTGGGTATAAGCACTTTTCATCTTCCACTTTGGGTAATTTCGTGGTTTTGTTGGTTTCTGAGTTTGTGCTGATATTTGAGCTGGCTCGGTGACGCAGTGCAATTAAGCGCTGCATGGGCCAGCGCCATGGTGGGTTTATTGTCTGAAGGAATTAGGCAAGTCGGTGGGGGCACCTCATGCATAAATGGACAAGTTTGATTTAGTACGAGCCCCAAGACGAAGAAGACGAAGCAACCACAACCAACTTCTCCTCCTCCTCCGTCTCTTATAAATTTATCATCTCATTTCCAAAACTCACTTTAAAAAAGACCAAGCTGCGTTTGACTTGCCTGCTCGCTTGGTCTCGTTGGACTTGGGGTCATTCTCATAAATTTTGAGGAGTGAGTGGCTCCGCACTACACTCCTCAGTGTCAGCAACTCTGGAGAGTGGAAAAAGGGCTTCCAACACAATGGGCAGAAATAAATAATTGTTTTTCTCCACAACCCAACAAAACACACACGGACAGAGACCAGAAAGTGGAATTCAGAGACCACTTTCACACACTGCCTCCGACTCTCGAGGAGACGCGACCAAGAAGATGATGAAGAATGTATCTCATTTATTTAGTCTCGAACGGCCGAGTGGTGTGGAGTTGTATGGCAATAAACTTAATGTAGTGGCACCCTGCCCGCGTTCCCTCTTAAAAGCAAATTATTCCCAATAACCAATAATGTTTGTACATAATTCTTCTTGTTCTTGAACAAATTGGTTTCTTGTCTGTCCTTGCAGGGCCGGGAGTGTCGGTGATCAGCAGTGGTGGATGTGACCTGCTCAAGGGTCCGACCCATCTCATGCCCCACTACCATCTCAACAAGAAGAAGGCCCCACTTCATGGACCTTTGTCCCATCACCACCACCAGCAGCAGCAGCAGCAGCCGCAGCAGGGTAGCTGGTGCAAGAACGGAGGAAATCCACCTCTGCCCAGTGAACAGGTTGCCAACTGGGTTCATCCGAATACATAACTCAGCCTCAAGGGCACCCTCGTCCAGTTCCACTTAGGCCCAAAAACTTTACTTTTTGAGGCCAGCGAGTCAAGAGAGGAATAAATTAGACCCATATTTCAATTTGATGGAGAAGTAAACACCCATTTCTCCAGCCAATTCCAGTACGGGCTCTCCACCGATGCCGATGAGGAGTCCATATGCGCCCCACATAAACGAGAAATCATGAGAATGCGATGACCAGCAAGATAACACCTCTTCTCCCTCCAGAGAGAAGCTCCTTTTCTTCCCCCAAAATAAAAGCCAAGACTTCTCTCTCTCCCTCCGGTTAATAAACCAGTAACCTAATATGTAATGCTGCAACTTTTACCATCACCACCATATCACCACGTAATCACCACGCCATCGAATATTAAGACGAGCAAGATGGTACACTAAATAGATTCCAATATGTTCCACTATTAAATACTTATTAGCGGCGAACGGAGGAGCAGCAAAACAGACTGAACTGAACTATATTTTGTGAGTAGTAATGATATAGCTTTACTTTTTAAATATTATTCATTCTAAGCGTGCAAGTAGATATTAAGCGAGTCCAACCATGAGCCAACTAGTCCCTTCTCGTAGGTCAACTCTTCTCGTATGCTAAACGCTCTGAATCATGTAGATGTGCACATTCTATGCGCGTCATTCATTATTATTGATGGGCCATGGAACCTCCTCCGGCCTCGAATCCAGCTACCACCTCCAGCTCCTTATTGTTTCCAGCTAACCCTAAAATTGTAGCGGTTTAACGGCCAACAAAATTAAAATGCACCAATGCCACGTTATAAATATAAATATGCACAGCAAGCAGCCCTCCTAATGTTAGGATGCACTATGTAAATAATTCTGTACAGTGTAGTAGTGTCGTATAATTTAAAAACTCCATCATTAGCATACACACATTAACAGTATAATTGTTAGTTTGTACATTATTGGATTTACGATTCTGCCAAGTAATCTTTGTTGCAATTAATTTAGCATAAATTTTAGCCTAATGAGCTTGAAATGAAACCTTAACGAAGAAAGAACAATGAAAGTGAATGAATGAGACGGAGAAATAATAAAGAAAATTGAAAATCAGAAATGTTGTATACTTCCTTTTTAATCACCAACATCCCATTGTTACAGAATATGTAAATATGGCTCTCTCATTTCGTGAGCAGAGGCGCATTAACTTTGCATTTGACATCGACCAAGTCACCATAAGTGCACATACATAATTGTACATCAGTTTTTACACATTTTGCACTGTTTGTCTCCAGCCATGAGGAGCAGAACATGGAGAAATGCATGGGCTTAAATATGATCTCCTCCTGGTCGTGGTCGTGGTGGTCATAAATAAGGCTTTTCTGCTGCACGCATGATAAAGTGCCATGAAATGAGGAAGGCCGGGTAGTTTTGTGCGTGACCAAGTTTACTTTTTCTTTCTTCTTCTTCCACGAGTGCACTGGTGATCCGCAACCCCTGGGATTCAGTAGTGGATTGGATTCTGAATTATTTTTGGGAGTATTTACGTATGTGCATTGCATGATAGTCGTCAGTCGACTTCTCGGTTTTCACTTTATTACAACAACAAGAGCAGGAGCCGTGGAAGTTGTGGTTTTAATTAATACCCTAAATTCACTCACTGCTCGTCGTCGGCTTCTTCTCCACTTTTAATTGAGATTCCTCCAGTATATTGGATCCTCCAGTCGCCCACCACCCGATTTTATTCCCATTCCTCCTCCACCGGCTGCTGGCTGGACCCCTTTCAAAGAAGAATGGACCCCAACGCAAGGTTTTCACTTTGCTCCCTCCTTTGATGTGACCTTAATGAAATAAAGGATGGTGATGATGACCATAAAATAGTCTGCACGGAAATATATGTTTGTCTGCGGTTGCATATCCGATGGACGCTGCTGGCTTCGCTTTCATGCGAGTTCATGAAAACTCTGTGAGTCTCATGGGAAGGGATTAAATAGGAATCGGATACGCACAATATTTCCTCATAAATATTCATGCTGGATGATTACACTGGATGCGAAGGAGGAAGTTCTTGGGGTTTTAGAGGAGTAATTAGTTGGCATATTTGTGACCGGTGGAATAATTCATATGCACAAAACTTTACTACACGCTAACTACTGGCTGGTCGGTAACTAAAGTAAGGATACGACTCCTTGCAGCCGGTAATTGTAGTTTCTTCAGCCTGTTCTGCCCCCACGAAATAAATTATTCCTCTGCGTTATTGTATCTGCTGTGCGAGTTATTAAATTGAATTCAGTCCGGTTTTTGAGAGACTGGACTCCCGGTCGGAGGTCGACTCATTAGCTGCGATTCCGCAGGACATAAACATCTCACCCGAAACTGACTCGATATATACGCTTTCCGTGCAGCCAGACCATTGCATGACGATGAAGACGACGACGACGACCGTTGTGTGTGTCGAGACGCTTCTATTTGGTTCACCAAGTGCGGCTGAAATTGAAATTAGAACGAACTGATGGAATTAAAAAATGGAGTAAGCAAACAGGCTCCAACAGCCACACACTGACTTTCTTGAGCTGCCTGACTTTTGACTCTCTTGTTCCTCGTGGATTTAGATTTAATTACGGGGATGGAATAATTAAGAGAATCAAGTGGTTCAGAGAGGTCTGAGGCGAGTGAACCAGTTGGAACGATGGCTTCTCCTCTTCTCGGTGGAAAAGGGATGCAACTGCCTCCATCCACTATCAGAGGCATCCATCTCCAAAATTTAATTTCAGCAATACGAGCAAGAGAGCAAATCCCCCTTCAAATCTGACATCAAATAACCCATGTCAAGTTCAAAAAGTCATCAGAAACAAAGTTTGGTTCAGTTCAGTCACTCCCAACGAAGGTTGAGCGGCGAGTGATAGTATTTGAGGCTGTGTGAGTGAGTAAAATAAAAGTTGGGGCGATGGTGTGGTCTGGTTAAGGCAGAGTAATTCAAGTGGATCATATCACCATCAGATCACAATCGCAGCCCACCCTCCAAATTAAACTCACTCATGGCAGCAGCAACTGGTTGGGTTTTCAGAAAAAAATCGGCATTTATTTCACTCGAATATTGTGAACGATTGTTAGAAATTGTTGATGAGATGACCGGACCAAGGGACCAACCCACAGCAGTAGAGGAATGATGACTTATGCATTGTGCTGGAGCTTCATATAGTGAAGAATCTGCCCATTTTTCTTGAACCCCTGCCTGACAAGAGCAATACGGGGAAGGGTTTCTCGAGGCTGGGTGCATTATCCATTGGTCGGTGTACATGTGGGTCGAGATATGATCAGAATGCAATCCAAAAAGGCATTAAGCACCACATATTGTTTTTCCAGGAAGGAAAGAGATGAAGTTAATCACTCACTCACTCCTCAGTCAGTCGTCGGATCACAACTCAAGTTCAACTTATTATTGCGATTTAGAAAACCAATCTCAACTCTCTCTCTCTTTATCCACCGACCTTCTCCAACCAGCAGCAGCAACATCCTCATTCTTCTCCACGGATTGGGAAACTTTCCCCCCAGTACAACTTCCAATTCTCGTCTCGCAACACCAGCCAACCCGAAAATGTGTACATCCTCCTCCTCCTCCTGGTGCATTATTATGCTTGAGCATCATCATACACAGCCCTCACTCCTGGTGTCAAAATAATTACAATTTCCACCCACCAACCCCAATAACAATCACCATCGTCATATAATGTTATCATCATCAGCGTGCCTACAATTGCATTTGGTGTATTTATCTCGAGCTGAATGGGGTTGACCGAAGGGTTGGGTGGCTACAAAGGGGCCACGAACCAGTAGATTTAATTTGTGCGTGATGAGAGAAAACGACGATGATGATGATGATGGTACTACGGCATGCTTTCTCTTTCCATGGATGGGATGAGATAGTGAAAAACTGTTCAGAGTACATACATGATAGTAATGCCTCCATTATCGGTAGCAGTACACGGTCAGGTAATGCATACTTGTTTTGTCGGTTGGTGAGATGAGAACTTATTTAACTGTCTGCTTCTGTGTGTGTACAGTGCACAAGAATTTGCTCCCATTATGGTGCAAATTACTTATTTCAGTTGGGCATGCGATTCGTGCCGTTTGGTGCATGGATGGGAAAAAACTGTTTAGTGTTGGATTCAAACAAGTGAACGGAATGGATGGTGGGACCATATTTTAAAATGCATTCCTCTCGTGGAGATGATGATGAGATGAACAAGTGCTGCGTGTAAAGACCCGACTCCGGAAATGGATGATTCACTGGCTGGCAGTTTCTTGCATATATAATCCCCACTCCGCGGAGATGGGGATAAAGGTCTCCCTCCCTGTCATTGTCAACTATTTGAGAATTGACGTCTGGCCCGCACCAGCTGCCGTCAACTCGACCGTGGAACAACATGGAGAAATTATCATCTACAACATTCCTCGCGACATCGTCACCCTCCTCCCACTCTCCCCGCGTGCTTCTTCTGGAGGAGGAATGCAAATTATGTGTGCTGCCGAATGCGTAGGATCAAGTGAGAGAGCGGAAGTCGTGGTATTTTCTAGGATGGAGCACTTTTTGGGCATTATTATTAAACCCTCACATCCGTCTTTTTGAGCATGCATTTGTTGATCCACCGGGTGTTGGTTGGTTGGTTGGTGGTGGTGGTGATGGGCCATTTGGATCAATTGCATCCGAAAAGAGCTTCCTCAGAAGTGGGTGCCATATGTGGATTGTGAATCTGTTGGAAATGAGGCATTATTCATTCTTATCGCCTTATTTACTGGGTCACACAGCTACACCTCCTCCACTACCTCATCTCTCTCTCTCGCTCTCCTTGTGGCCGCAGGTGGAGTGGATGATCATCACGATGCACGATGCGAGCAACGCTTTGATTTATGAGGTTGAGTGGGTAATGAGAGGGAGGGCCTTTGGCGTCTCGACTACTGAGATTCACCTCGAGAGCAAGCAAGGTACGAGTAGAAATCAAAACAGATTGGTATCCCCGACTCAGATCCTCAAAACTTTGAGGATCTGAGTCGGGGATACCAATCTGATAGTCTGATAGTCTGAGGAGCAGGTGGATCTCGATGACGAAGAAAGCAAAACGCCCGCAGCCACAGTATTTGATGGAATATCGTCAAGAATACCAAGATCGGAGGAAGCATATTTATTATTAAATAGCTATGCTCGCATTTACACACTGGTTGGATTTTGATATGGATATGGGCATGCAAAATACCACCACGACTGTCACAGCATCATCCCGTGTTAAAAAGCACAAATACAAGTTCGCGCATAACTTTACTGATATGTAATATGTAATTTTATGCAGTTGAACTTGTTTCCAGATTCAAACTTTTCACTTTGCTTATTCACTCAGCACTCTGATGACCAGAATGAGACATTCCTATTCATGTATTTTAGGAGAGTGATGGGTGAAAGCAGGAGCGTGTGCGTCGAATTTCTCCCACAGTCAAGAAGTACTCAAGCAGAGAGAGAGAGATGAAAAGGAAGGACGAGTTCCGTTTTGTACTCTTAAAAAGATTGGATATTTTCCCTGCCATGCAGGTTCCGTTGAAGAGACTGAAAAGAAGGCGACTTTTCCCACTCATCAGAAGTAGTGTGGGCCCAAGTCGTGTCGTGTACTGGTCGGAGGATGTAGCGGTGCAATTATAATAATAATACTTTGTGACTCCTCGAGACTTTTGTGGACAAATGTCTCTCGCAATGAGGTCAGTGAACATCTGCTGCAAGTTCCTCAACCAAAGTTGGAGTATTTGTGGAAGTGCTTACTCAGTGTTCCCATTGCGCCATCCATCCATCCATTCACCGTCGTGTACCGCATGGAGAGAGGAGGAGAAAGGGACGAGGGGGACACAGCACAGCGGACGATTAATATTCGGAGAGGGTCACCAAACCGAGTCATGTCATGTACTCCAGCCCTGTTTGCTGGTCCTCCGTTTCCTGCGTAGGTACGTAATGGATGGTGCATGATGGCTGAGAGCGACCGCCCCCCTCGAGCTTTGACATGGACAATAAGGGAAATCACACCACCTCCCGTTCAGAGGCCCCATAAATACTGAAGCCATGGACCAGACTCACACAGCGTGGTCCATACCAGAGATAGATAGCTCATCCTCCCGATGTCCTCCTCCTCCACAATATATAATATAATATGTGACATAATGCTGCTCATCCAGTTCCAGTTTTTTTTCTTGTCGTTTTCCTGACATGTGACTCGCTCGGAGGAGCTAAACGGTGGTAATGGTGTCATTCTTTGCTTTGGTATCAGTGGTTGCCTGGTTGTGACTGAGTGAGTGAGAGAGAACAAGTTGAACATGCGAGTCATGTCCCTGTGACAAGGTCTCATCCCTCATCCCAGAATCAAGATCTGGCTTCATCTCTCTCTCGCTCTCTCTCCCCTCCGACCTCTTCCTCTTCAACTATTACTACAGTGCATAGATCTCTCTTAAATTGTCTCTTCGTGTTCATTTCACGTCCTCGTGCAACCTTGGGAAAGCCGCTTCTTCACTGCGGACGACGAAATACACTCTGGCAGCAAATCAATCGGGACGCTTTCCCCTTTTCAAGAATTGCAAAGAACTTAAGAGATGGTTTATTTGCGTCCCCTGATTCGTGATTACTAGACTCACTCATCCTCAGTTGTGCCACTCTAGTCCACTATTGCATAAGCAGTATCGGGGTGTACTGTGTCTTCTTGATTGTCTTCTCCTACTGGTCGTGGTCCTAGTTTGTAGGATGTGCGTGCATGGATTTCTCAGATTTAGCCAAAAACCAAAGCCAGGAGCCATCAAGGCAAGTCAAGTCATCTCTTGAGAGTGATTTGGCCAAGTTAACAAAGCGTGGCAGGTTTTGGTCGTTGCCATATTCATCCGTCCTCCCTCATCGCTACCACTCCTGCTCCTGCAACTCATTTGTTATGAAGCTGGTTCCTCATCACGGGTCGTCCCGAATCCTGGTCAGAATACCAAAGTATCCAACAATGTCGGATGTAAATTGATGAGAATATTAAATCAGGCCTCACTCCGAAGAGGGCAATCAGCAGTTCCTCCGCAAGGAATTCCTCATCACGACGACGAATTCGGTCGACTGAACGGCTTCCACAGTACACCAAAATCCTGTCCAAGCAAAGTTTGGTTCCGTAGCACATTCACTACAATTCTGTGGTCTGGTTTTGTTGGTGTTTTCGATTCGGACTAAAAGTTGGATGGTGTGGGTGCTCCTGTATTTCAACCTGGACACTAAACCCCAATGGTTTTTATCCGCGTTGCCATTATAGCGATATTATTATTATTGTTGTTACCACGATGCGATCACGGGAGAGAGAAGAAGAGTCACGATTGTGAGCTTGGTGGCGTCGTGGTCATTGATTACAAATTCATCCTTCATTATTCAAGTTCCTCCCGTGCATGCCTCTCTCTCGGGATGCTGGAGACTACTTGCGAGTAAATTAGTTGGTAGCCGAAGATGAAGATGAAATTTGTGGTTATTAAATTTAGAAACTCCTCCCTCAACCTGATGGGGTGCAGATAAATTAGGGACGGACAAGTCGGAAGGAGAAGAGCGAAGGAATTTCCTAGGATTTTGGTAGAATGGGTTGTGATCCGAACGTTCAATTAAATTATGATGAGAATTCCAAAAGCTGATCATGATCCTCGCATCCTTTTTATTCTTATGTATGAGGTTATCACATCCACATTATTATCTGGACCACCGCTCATCCCAAGCAAGAGAGAAACAATTTGTTCAAGTATCTAATATGTATCCATCGCCTTGGTCTCAAAATCCGATTGTCAAAAAAATGTAACCCCCATCACAAACCAAAATTGACTATTGACATACCTCAAACAGAGCTCCAGCCCTGACAATAAATCTCATCTTTAAGGTCGCAATCGGCGTTAAGTTTGTCGACGGATATTCAAGTGAGAATAATGTAAGTTGGGAGGCAGGGGATGCTTCGTAAATAAGAATTTTCTTGTGTTTAGAGAAGGAATCATGATCTGTTTGTGGACCACTTGGTTCAACATGTTCCAAAAAACTTGCTGGCATAATGTTTGGCCAACTTGTTATCCTCTCACTCGTTCAAACTCTCCAGCTAAACTGTTTGCATAGGAGATGAATTTGGGACGAGAGAATGGAAAGCTAAACAAGAGGAAGAGACCTGGTCAAAATGGAATCCAACCGTTTTACCATTTCATGGTGACCCATAGGATTTGAGAATTTGTGTAAACCGTGTTCAATCCACATTATCGTGTAAATTGGCCTCTCAACTCTCCTTCTGGCGCATGGGAATTCCTCCTTGAAAGGAATTTTAGAAGGTAATGGTATTCTGAGCAAATTGTCATCATCCCGTTTTTTTCATAAATGCTACGACTTTTCGAATGGAGAAATGGGTGTGATTCATCCATGATTCTTCCGAGTCAAGAACTGACGCAGAGAAGTTTCCTCTCCGTCCTCATACATATCTGAGTGAGTGCATGTCTTATTGCGGGAGGAGGTGGGGCAAGAGGGAGATGGATGAAATCCTAGATTGAAAAGCAATTGAGCTTGGAATATTTTCCAAAGTGAATTTACTTTGCATTTCGGGCTGAATCGTTTTCTGAAGTGTTTTTGATGACGGCACATAAAGATCTCTCTCACTCCTTTGGCCACAGCCTCGTTCTTACGGGCGACATATAGCTACATACGTATCGAAGTGAAGAAATAAATGGCCCAGATTTTGCAGAAGCAGAGTGCACCCACTCATTCATGCAGGATTCTGCTTGATTCATACTTGGTCCCACTTCCTCCTAATGTCTGCAGTGTGGTGGCTGCTGATGTAGCGTGGTTTATACGAGTTTACTTTCCATCTCGCTCCCTGGGGAAGACTACCCTCCCTCCAACGCCTCCGGGAAAGATAAGATATGAAATATTTCCTCGGCGCTGTGCACACAGAATAATTCTCTCTCCGCAAGTGGAAAAATCCGGAGGTTGACTTTCTCACAGGTCATGAGAACCAGCTCACGGAGATTACATTTTAAATAACGCAATGTCCAACGGACCAAACTGCAGGGCCTCCATTAGAATTTCCTATGAAATTTATTTAATGAAATGAGTAAAGTCCTGCTGTGGAGAAGGTTTGGTTTTTTGGTCATCATCATCCCACATCTCATAATGATATGTATGAGCGGAATGACATGTAAAAGTATGAGTGCACATATAATATTGTGAATGATGCGAGTAGGAGACCTCGGGGTCAGGTGTGGGGGATCACGCCGTGTCCCCGTATGGTGTCGCCCAACCAGCCAGCCAGCAAAAATACGTAATACTCACTGCAGTGATAGGGATGGCAGGATGGATCGACTGGTTGGAATTGGAATTGCACGAGTGAGCGATGGTGTTCCGATAAGATGAAACCAATCGGAATTGGAATAAGTAAATAATAAGTTGAACCCATTGTGGGTTTTTCGTCGGGGGAAAGGTGTGTGAGCAAACAGGCACAGCAAGCCATCGTCATCCTCTCTTCCTCTCTCTGATTGTCGTGTCAATCTAAAGTGGGCATCAATGACGAAGCATCAGCATTGCGTCGTCCTCGCCTCCTTAATTTCAGTTTTGCTCAAAAGTGGGTGGGGCCCAGCTCAAGCAGTACGCACATTAATGTACGTGACTATTGTGCACTAAATAGCATAGACAATCCTGACCGTCATAGTCTTGTGATAAGGATAATGAAAATGTTGTCGTTCGTGTAGGACAGCAGAAGGAAATGAAATGAAATAAATTACGAAGATGACATTAATGCAACATTTTTGTGGTGCAGACTTTTGCATGCGTTCACATTATTATTTAAGATGGTGGTGCGTGGTGTTTCTCAAGTCTTGTTTCTTACGTATCTAATCCTAATTGTAAGTATGTAGTTGTTGCCTGGCTGAGAGGAGGTACGAGGGTCGAGTGATGTGCTGCTGCTGCAGAGTGAGTGGGTCGCAGCGGGGGTTGTCCATTCTTCACTCGAGCAACAATGGGGGTTACAAATTGAGCATTAAACCAACAAGGGATGCCCCCTGACCCCACTGTCTCTCATCCTCCTCATCAATCAATTCAGGACGAGCAAAATCAATAACATCCAGCCACCACTTGGCCCCGTACGACTTGGCCTGGAACATGAGACAGACTGTTGCAAGTCAACAATCAGACTTATCGACCAGAATGCTGCGTCGCAAAACTTTGGACGAAACGAATACTTAAAAGAACAGGGAAATTGTGGCATCACTGATTGATAAGTTTATAAGTATTACTTGAGCATTACAATTGCCAACAAAGTTGTTTCCAACAGCTCACATTATTTAAACTGCACATTAATTGCTTCATTATTTAATTGCAATGCTGTCGTTGTGCATTTATGAGATGATGGATGCGTCAAGTTGAGGGCAGTGACCAGACTGGATCACCACTGATCATGATCACACGCTTTTTGCCATGAAGTAAAAGCAACAGAGTCCGTTCGTGTCACATTAATGCGGAGTTTGGAATGGACGACGAGGGAAGAATGCGACACCCTGGAGTGGGACAACCTGTTCATCATCACCAAACAATGGACACCACCACCAACCAAACAAGCAGGAAGAAGGTTGGGTCATTCGTCGCCTGTAAAACATTCCTCCCCGATCCAGCCATGTCAAGTTGACACCAAGCGCCATGTCATGCGAGGGAAGTGGATACGCATACAGTGGGCAAAAGTGGGAGGCTATTTGGCCAGCGTAGCAAGAAGCACAGTAAAAAGTAGAGAAATGTACACTGGGTGAGTCAACTAGCTAGAAGTCGAAAAGGACCATGTCCGCCTTCTGAAATTATTTTACTTTCTCTGCTCCGTCGTGTTTAATGGGTCAATTACACCGAGAGCCTGATGGCGATGTCTCTTTTACTACTTGATTCTGCCCTTCTGATTGCTCTCCGTGCAGAGAATCTTGTCATTCCATCTCAGAAATGAGTCTAGCTGTCTCCTCTTTAGGCTGATCTCGAGCATCTTGGCATACATAGCGGTATGCACGTATGTAGGAGTCTAGTTTCTGGTGGGTAGCCATAGGGCTCGGCTATTTTGTTTCGTCACGAGTGAAGGAGAATTTCTAAAAGTGTAAAAGGAGTGAAAGAGCACAAAGTGCCATGCACTCGGAGACGAACTCATCAGATGCATTCCATAACCTGCTTCCTTAACAGCTTTCCCTTCTATCTCATCTCTCGTACTCTGAAAATAGAGTGGAATTAAAAAGCGTGACCCGTTTTCAGCATTTCAGCAACTTGGATGTTTTCGTCATCGTCCAACGAAACAAACAACAATTTACTTATCCTTATCACAGGATTATCGTACATGTCGTCTCCCCCCCACCATTCTGCTGCCTGATAAATAAGGGTGGTAAAAGAGATGTCCTAATCATAACTTCATCACTTAGAACATTGTTGAAACGGCATCTGCATAGAAAGAGTGGAAATGGAAAACAGAAGTGGTCTCAAAGTCTCATCCTGTCCCAACTCCACTTTCCTAACGTCGTCGTCTCACTTTCACCATGGGAGGAGAGCGAGGAGAAAGGACGACGGGTATGGAGTGCCCCCGTTTGGGTGGAAGGGGAATGGTGAGTCTCGGTCGGGCACAATCGGAGCAATTGAGATAAAGCAGAAATCTGTCCATCTCAACTGCTTTCACCGTAACGCCGACGGATGCTGCGAGAGAAATACATGATGGGAAAGTTCCTCACTGAAGCTTCTTCTCCCTCTTTCTCACGACCAATACTCGCACACCGACAGATAAATAATCAGCAGATATAAATACTCTAAAAAGGAACTGAGCGTAAGTATGCAGTTTCGCTTTGACGCTGCCACTTGACCTGACCTTGATCAGCCAAGAAGACCTCGAGGAGGGCATAATGTCTGGAAGTTCGAGTGCGGGGGGGAAGGGCGGAGGGGGCAAGCGGAGCAAGAAGAGCAAGAAGGAAAAGTGGGAGGAAGCAGGTGGGGAGTTTTACCAGGAGCGTTACCCGGGTGGACAGGGACAAGCGGCGTCCACGGCTGACCTCACCCTCGTCGTCGCCAATGCCTCCACCAGAGCCGGCGCTCCACTCCAACCCAGACCACACTTTCCACTCCCCTCACAAACCGCACGGAGGAACAGCCTCGCATTCACGGGTAGGAATCAAACCCATAATTTCAAAACTATATCGAATGTAGACTTTATATTTTGTATAATATTGAATTGTGTCAGGTCGTCGTGGTTACCTCACTCGAAAACACTCCTACGGCACCAATAACACCCTCAACAACGGGGGAGCCAACAACTGCATGACCTACAACTCGACTATGGGCAGGATCTCCGAAGCTGAGGTTCACATTGCACTCATGCCCGACATGGCGGACGAAACCATTCCAGACGAAAAATCTACGAACGATGCCCTCCTCAAACTCAAGGCGCTCCCAGAGTCCATGGCGCAGAAGCGGAGCAGGAAGGCCAAACTGGGGGTAAATTTACTTTCTGAGTTGGCAACGAGCCATAAATTGTACTTACTAATTTGCATGTGCATTGTGCTAATTGGCAGGCCATCCCTCAACGCCGCCTCAGCGGTTGGAATCGAATGAAATGGGCGGTGCGGAAACGAATTTACAACGCCAACCAAACCTGGTACGAAATCCATCTCCCCCCACTTGTAACGGTGTCATGCATGAATGCATATTAGCATATGATTTTTTTTTACAAATGTCGTCTTGTTATTATCTCGATGAACATACGCATACATAATAAATTCCTGCGTACAGGCACCACGACTTTTCCAACGTCAGCTTATTCAAACGGGACCTGCAAAAGATAGAGGTTCGCTGCGGGACGGCAATTGTGAACGTGTTCCTCTTCATCCGCTGGACCCTACTCCTCAACCTCCTCATTTCCTTCATCGCCCTCGCCCTCATCATCGTCCCCTATTTCTTCTTGAACATTAAGGTCGTCAATGGCGAAATCAGGCCGGGCGAGAAGTGCAAAGACCAAATTCCCGAAGACCTTGAAGCCAAGAACAACGGCACAGGCTGGCCGGACGTTCAGGGTACAACCGCTTAATTACTTTATAGACGAGTTGGTATATTCTATGTAATGTGCATGGATTATTATGAGGTTAGAACGAATGGAATGTTGCGCCCAGTTGTACTTGAACCACGATCCCCTGAAACGAGGATCGCTTACAGTGCTGTCCGCCTTTTTCCTGGAAGAGAACGCCTCGATTGAGCACAGCCCATTCTTCTATGGCTACTACGTCAACGAGAAGAGGTCCAAAAACCACGACCTCTTTGCATTCGCCTACGTCTTTGCCGTCTTCCTCGTCCTCGGCATCTCACTCATCCTGATGGTCCGCTCCATCGGAGAGGGAATCAAGGTGCTACATTATTGTCCATCCCCCGCCTCCCCCTTCATTAGATAAGACAACGACCCCCCCCCCAAATCAATCAATAACATGTTTCCCACAGCCCCCGGTTCACTATATAAATACTATAACTATGTATGTATATACTGCCCCAGTGAGAAGATGAAAAATTCTTGAGCGATCTGTCACGCTGAGCAGAGCGATGGCGATCGGTGGGTCGGTCGTCGTCGTCAACAGCTCTTACTAAATATGATTACTTTGTTTTTGGTATCAGGAGATTATATTGGCTTCGGAGGGCGAGCACAACCCGTACACCAACCTCATTCTCGCCGGATGGGATCACTACACCAAGGACGCCAAAAGTGCTCTCTTCAAGGTAAGATGTTTACACATGGTTGTTACAATTGGTGCCCTAATTGCTAGTGTTTTTGTTTCTTCAAGCGAAAAATTATGTGTCACGAGATGAAGGTTGCGCTCAAAAGTGAGAAGAATACGGTGAGGGAATCGCATCGACGACCAATGGCTTATCATCACATCATCATCATATTCATATCAGTAAGAGTTTTTTTTGCTTTAGCTGGAAACTGTGCTGCGGTCCCGAAATGAGCAAATCAAGCTGACCGTTATCCGCTTGCTGGTCAACATTGTGGTCCTTGCACTGTTGGGTTTGGCCGGCTGGGCCATCTTAAAAGTATCGACATTTAGTTTGGAGATACAAAAGGAGATCAAGTTCAACGAGACGATGGGGACACGTCTTACTTTACACGAAAAGTTTAAGCAGCCAGGAGCAGTGAGGACGCTCCTGGATAATCTGGCTATCAGCTTCACGCCCTCCGTCCTCATCACCATCCTCAACGTCATTTTCCCCCTCGTTCTAGCCAAGGTAGAGTAGAGTGGAGATGTTCTTGTCATATTAGTCATGCCCCGACATATGTGTAAATAAGTTAAATATGTACTGATATACATGCATACTTTACGCATTTCATTAGCTGGGCAAGTTGGAGAAGTACTCGCTTCACACGTCGACGGCCTTGGTTTTGTACCGGGCCTTGTTCATCCGCCTCATGTCCATCGGGTTCGCTGCCGCCATTTTGTACAATTTCAGGTACTGCCACCCCAGGAAACATACCTGCACCACCTGTATTGAGGGCAAAGAATCCACGAGTTTGAAGACCAGGGGAGCCTGTTGGGAGTCCATCTATGCAGATCAGTTGTACAAGTAAGAATTTATCCGTAAGGTCACCATTGTGTTTAATAAATAAATATAAACCCTTACAGACTCCTCCTGGTCGATATTTTAATTAAATGCATCATGACCCTGCTGGTGGAGGTATGTATGCACAATACTCGCCTGACATGATGGACGATCAATTACGTCTGCAGTCCGTTTAGCAACTCCACATTAATTTCTTATTTAAATGTTTGTTCCGCAGCCTCTTCGAGTTCAGCTGAAAAAGTGCTCGAAGAACAAAATCTTCCAAAAGATCGGAACGATGAAATTCTCCATTGTTCGCCATAGCCTAGACATAATTTATCTCCAAGTAATTTCATGGGTGGGCCTGTACTTTGGCCCCTTCATCCCAATCATGTCCGTCATCTACGCCTTCATCGTGTTTTACGTGAAAAAATTTAGGTAAATTTCCGTATTGAATTGTTTGAAAATCCTAACTAGAAATGCTTATCATTGTCCTTGTATGTAATTCCAGTCTGATAAACAACTGCAATACGGTTCCTGACACACTAAAGTAAGTCAAAGGGTGTCCAGTACTTGTAATCATACTAATGCTTGTAAAATTCCTGACAGGACCATGAAAACGACGACGACCTTTGTGGGTAAGTAATTAGTTAAAACTACACACAACTTACAGATATGCTAACTTCAAGTGACAGGAAAAAAAACCTCAATTGTTTAACATTTCAAGGGGTAAAGTAGTTTACATATTTTGACTGTGTGCTTAATTCGCAGCCGCCAAGTTGATGGCTTTTATAGCTGTGACCTTCACAAATGTGTTTGTACTGGGGTACATGGTGCCAAGTCGAGGGTGTGGCCCATTCCGGCAGTATGATGCTCCTTGGAGGACTTTCACAGAATTGGTGGAGAAGGACAAATGGGCAAGCGCCGTTTATAACAGCATCGCTTCACCTGGAATCACTGCCCCCTTTACGCTCATCCTACTATTAGCAGGATACTATTACTACAGGTGATGATAATAAGGATAACTTTAATAGTGGTACTAAATATGTATCGGACAAGTAGTAACTATAATAAATATGTTGTGTGTAGTGTTGCTCAAGCCAATCGGGGAATGGTGGACACGCTGAGGCATCTGTTGATTTTGGAAGGTCATGACAAGCAATACCTATTCGCCAGGCTCAATTCGTTGCGTCGAGGTTCTGGGGAGAGTGGAAGTGTCCGCATGACACCAAAAAGCAACCGAACCTCAAGTCAAACTTAGGATAAAAGTTTAACCTTGTTCAACTAGGTAGTATAATTTCCGAAATATTGGGGGTGTATTCGGTGTGTTGGATTTGTAAGGTTTTCTATTCCGATTCGTCGTACATTTATTTTATAATAAGAATAATATTATTACATACGAATAAGCTGCTTCTTGAAATTTGTATAAAAGGATGAAATAAAAACCATAGTTGTTCCTCAATTCCTCCGCTGACTGAGCATCAACCCGATAGACATAAGTAACTTAAAAACTTGAATCAGTTCTTGATCGGCTCGTGAAGCTATATGAACAAACCAAATTGATAATTGTTAACACATTCTTCTAATATTACCGCAGATTACTATTATTATGAATCTCACCACACTCGCCAACTTGAGCCAATCCTGCAATTTAGCAGTGCTGTCCATTGATGAGGGTACCTTGTCCCACTCCCAGTAGGTCACGTCCTTAAACCGTTGTCGCAGATGGATCGGCTGTCCAGCAGCAGCAGCAGGCGTCGTCTCAGCATCATTATCACATTCCGTCTCCACTTTACGTTGCAATTTAGAATGTTGTTGTAGAGGTTCCTCTTCCGCCAGAAATGCAACATAGTCCGAGGCCAGATCCAGCTTGGTTCCTACTAGCGGTCTTCCACGGAAGTAATTACACGATACTGGACATAAGAACAGAATAATAAGACAGCGCTTTAATTACCGGTAAACGCCATGTTTAGTACGAGAATCCTTAATATTTGCGGTTGCATTTCTTATTACCTGATGCAAGCTCCGGATGCGGAGTTACATTCTGAGTAAATCTGGCACTAATTTTTGCAGGACCTTGAAACTCTACTTTGAAGGGGAGGTAGTGCACTTTTGGTGCTACGAGGGACGCGTCGTGTTCCCCGGATGATAGCTTCGACGTCTCGTCTACAAAATTCTTCCCTGGTGACATCGTGTCGTCAGTCAGTCAAAGTGAAGGCAGAAATTGTACAAACAAATTCGTCACACAAGACACAAACAACAAACAAAAAAAGTTGTACTACAATTTAGCTCAGATCCCGCTTCAATCCAACGAGATTTTTTTTACCACCACCGAATTCTGTGGCACAGGAATATTTTCTATTAAAAACATTGATGATATGCAAATGTAATGTTCTTGTGAGTGAATTCGCAGTTTAGCAGGAGCCCTGACTCTTGAGCAATTGACCCTTCATGAATTTCGTTCACTAAGAGGTCCAGGAACAAGGAAGGCTATTCAAAAGGATCAAAATTGTAAATAAAATAATGCAATGCATACTATACAGTTAGTTAATGTTTTTTTTTAAATCTTCGTAGCATCACTGGGCCAAAACTGTAGGTCTCTGACTTTTGAAATTGTGTACTTTATTCGGATGCTATAAATTGCATAGCATTGCATAATTTTGGAGCAAGCTAGTCGTATTTACTTATTATGCATTTACTTGACTCTTCCCATCAGCACCATCGAATTACAGAGAGGTGGCACCGCACCGCCAAGACACAAAGCCAGCCTCCATCGGTTAGTTGATGTAAATCATCACAATAATCTCGGCGTAGTAGTAAGTTAAGTAATAAGTTGTAAAGTGGAGTACTAGCGGATTGCATTTAATGTGCAACATTTTATTCAGGGAAAGAAATCCAGCAGATCCATCCCATCTTTCCATCCATCATTGCTTGATGTGTTGGTTGGTAATACCAACTTGGTATTCCTCTCCTTGTGATCTCGTTGTGCTAATTGAGGAGGAAGGCCGACGAGACGAGCAGTTTGTACATATATAGATTAATTAAGAACAATGAAGAATCTTACTCCAACAGAATAAGAAGGTTAGTTCCAGCAGGGCAGGTTAATCTGGTGCTTAACAAATTAGATGTAAATAAAGGAATAGGTATTATTAAAAAGACGGATACTCTTGACTCTTCTGCTGGTCACTGGAATCGCCGAGAGAGTAGACAACGGGGGAGAAGACACGGTCACCTTAATAAGTGCCCTTAGCATTAAAGGTAGGTTATACTTGAGCCGGGGGTTATACAATCTAAAGGGTTAAACTTAAAGATTATACGCCTTTGATTGAATTTAATTTAAGTAATTCTCCAGCAGGCTGAGGTTGGGTGTGGTGTTGCGGCTGGCGGCGGTGGCGGCGACGGCGGTGGTGGTGTGGCCTTCTGTATCGTTTTCAAGTCAGGCTGATTCAACAAGTGCCCGGTGCGTCAGTTGAGTTAGTAAACGAGGACGGCGACCAAGCGGAAAGCATGGAGGACGAAGCGAACAACTCGGCGTTGTCATTAGTAAGTGAAGCGGAACTCAATAATACTAACGTTTCATATCTCATATTGACCTTGTAGCACAACTTTGCATGGTGCATTTCATACATAGGTTCAAAAGTCAACAAAGAGAAAGTTGTAGGTTTTTGGAGTAGTATTTGGGTTGTTGTCCTGCACATGGTCCCTTCGGTCCAATCCATCCTTCCCGTCCGTCCCTATTACTCCTTCACCATGTTCTGCATCTGTCTATATGCCATGTACATACGTGCCACCAATACGTTGTAAAGTGAGTACATAATAATCCGTTCTTATCGTTCTGATTGGTTGGTGGTGTCGGTTTTGATTGGACTGGGAGATACGTCACGTCAAACAAAGAGGAAAGGAGAGAGAAAACTGAACATCCATGAATTATAGCCGAGTCGTAGTAGTACGTTACTGGATTGCATGGAGAAAGTCAGTCAGTCTGCATGGAAGAGTAAATGGTTGTGGTTTGTTGGCTGGCTGTGTGGGCAGGGAGAAGAGAGAGAGAGAGATGAGTTCAACTTTCACATCCGTTGCAAATTCTCCTCCACACTTGAGCTTCTTACAGACTTTCACTTTGCGTCGGAAAGAAAGGCACACTCAAAACCAGGGTGGAAAGAGGGAAGAAGAGGATCGATATCCACAAAACCCTGGTCCCGATGCCCGGACTTGCACGCACGCACCATCACCAGCGGTATATAGAGAAGTAGTTGTACTTGGGTCCTCACTTGCTAGTCAGGTTGTTGAAGGATGGGTGAACCAATTTGTACACACACACGGTCATTATAAATTTTGTCCGCAAATAACTTTATCCTTCTTAATCAATTAATCATCGATCTCTCTATCGTAGTCAAGATCATAGTCATCAGAGTCGCTCTATTTCATGTCAAACCTGTTCAATGATCTGTCTGTGAATAATTAGAATTGAACGGCTATACCTTTTCCTGGCCGTGGGAGTGTGAAACGAGGTGGTGGTGGTGGTGTGAAAAATAAAGGTGGTCTCTTACCTTCGTTCGGTCCTATAGTTAGCAGGTGTGTGTTTGTGTCTATAAAGAGATATTGAATATTATAACTTGGTAATTAATATGCCATACCATGAACTATCAAGTTGTTTAGTGTATTCGTTTCTCCTGATTGATTGCTGATTCATTTTTCTTGACTTATTTTGTTTGAACAATATGCAGGCTGAAGACGGTTCTCCCCATAATAGCAGAGGTCCACCTGTTACGCCCATCAGCAAATTAAAGTACTCGGGGCCCCCGTACTTGAAAAAAGATAGCAAAAAGCAAAGCTCATCCAGGTTCAACAACCTGTCGAAAAACAGGGAACTCAAAGCCCTTCCCCTGCTCAAAGGTATAGCTCACCCCTTTCTTTGCACACTTTTACAATTCGTTCTATAAAAAATAATACCAATTATTTACGCATGTAATGTATGTCGCAGTATTATTAATGTTAAATAACCACTCTTATGCCGTTGTGTTGCGATTTAGATGCGGCGGCGTCGGAAAGGGAGGAACTTTTTGTTCAAAAACTTCGACAGTGTGGCGTCCTGTTTGATTTTGTTACTGACCCGCTGTCCGACATCAAATATAAAGAAGTTAAGAGATGCGCACTCCACGAAATGGTGGAATACATTACGACACAGAGAGGTGTCATCACAGAACCTATTTATCCAGAAGCAGTCAGCATGGTACGTAGACCACCGTACCTCAGGATTTATACATGTTCTATTGCACTATTATTTATTGCATTATATTAACAAATGGTACAATCTTACAACAGTTTGCCGTTAACTTGTTTCGGGCGCTGCCCCCGTCGTCGAATCCAAATGGGACAGATTTTGATCCAGAAGAGGATGAACCTACGGTATGATTAAACTAATAACGTTTCATTTAATGAGGTTTATGATTACGCTAATGACGCTAATTTTCAATTTTTCAGCTTGAAGCGGCTTGGCCGCATTTGCAACTCGTCTATGATTTCTTTTTGAGGTTTCTAATTGAATTACGCTACACCTTTTTGCCTAATTATATACGTAATTGTATTGTGATTTATTATTCTAGGTTTGTGGAATCGCCCGACTTTCAACCTAGTATAGCCAAGAAGTACGTAGATCAGAAGTTTGTGTTACAGGCAAGTACTTTTTGGGAAACAATAAATTGTGTACAGTTTGGTTCTAAACAACTTATAATGTATATGTTTGGTCATAGTTGCTGGATTTGTTTGACTCTGAGGACCCCAGAGAACGAGACTTTCTCAAAACAACGCTTCACAGGATTTATGGAAAATTCCTTAATCTCCGAGCCTACATCCGGTAATATAGCATTTTTATTTGTATCAGTGAATTAAGTTATGAGAAAAATTACCAACAGAATCTATTTATCCATTTCAGAAAGCAGATTAATAACATTTTCTATCGCTTCATTTACGAAACTGAGCATCACAATGGGATTGCAGAGTTGCTAGAAATACTGGGCAGGTTAGCATAATTGGTATTGTATAATTCGTCAAGTTTCATTTCTGCAAATTAATGTTGCATTCTGTAGCATCATCAATGGATTTGCTCTCCCATTGAAGGAGGAGCACAAGACTTTTCTTTTAAAGGTGTTGTTGCCGTTGCACAAGGTGAAATGTCTCTCCGTTTACCACCCTCAGCTGGCGTATTGTGTCGTCCAGTTTCTCGAAAAGGATCCTGCATTGACTGAACCGGTGATAATGGCATTACTCAAATTTTGGGTAAGTTCCAATTTATACTTAAATGCGGATAATTAATAGTGAAAAAATACGAGAGATAAGCTAAATTTACTAATTGTAAAATTTAGCCTCATCTAATGATATATGTGTTTGTTCATTCTAGCCCAAAACACATTCGCCGAAAGAGGCAAGTTTTAATTTTATTTGGCGTTCTATATTGTCATCCGGTTCTACTTACAATTGTTGGTAAATAAATTTTGTATTATTTTTGTGTTCGTATTTTTAGGTGATGTTTCTAAACGAGCTAGAAGAAATATTGGATGTTATTGAACCTGCTGAATTTCGTAAAGTCATGAAGCCATTGTTCAAGCAGTTGGCAAGATGCGTTTCTTCCCCGCATTTTCAGGTTGGAACACAGATTACATAATTATTTTAAGTGACACCTAATCAAGTTCTCGTGTTACAAAAAAATTTCTGATGCATACAATTCTATTTGTTTGGATGACAGGTGGCTGAACGGGCCCTCTACTACTGGAACAATGAGTACATTATGTCCTTAATCAGTGATAATGCTGTGGATATCCTTCCCATCATGTTTCCAGCTGTATGTGTACATGATTTATTTGTTTCATACTTTGATACAGAAAAATAAGATTATGAAAAGTACTCCATTCCGAATTGATTGAGCAATTATTGCCTAAATAATAAATTAAGAAGTGTTAAAAGGTCGGTTCCTTATTAGATTTTGATTAGACATGGCTAAAACTCACTCGACTCTAGAGTATGCCGACGAATTCTTAAGAGTAATGCCAATTTTTTTTCACAGATGTACAGAAATTCTAAAACGCATTGGAACAAGTGAGCATTACTTTATGTACTCAGCAAATCTATCTCAAAGCTAGTATTTATAATTACGCTAATTTTGACCTATTTTCCACAGAACCATCCACGGATTGATCTACAATGCCTTAAAGCTGTTTATGGAAATAAATCAAAAGCTATTTGACGAATGCACACAAAATTACAAAAAAGAACGACTGAAAGAGCGAGAATTGCTGAACAAAAGAGAAACCGTGTGGTCCAAATTGGAAGGTTAGTAATCTTATCCGTATTTTAGTATCATCAAATTATCTTATGTTCTGTGGTCTTTTGAAGAGATTGCGTCTGTTAACCCCTGCTATTCAACCGTGCCACATTCCCAAGATGGTGTTTCCCCGTTGGCGTCTGGAGCGAATGATGATGAAATGAACGAGTCCAACTTGTACGAACGACTGGAAGGTGTTCACCAGGAGGTACTCCTAGTCACAACTAGTCTTTAAACTTATCAGTCTTGTTCTTATTTATTATGCAACGCTATGTAATGTATGTTACTATTTATTCAGGCGATGGGAGTCCGGAACAAGGAAAAACCACTCCTTCGACGAAAGTCAGAACTTCCTCACGACTCGTACACCCTCAAAGCATTGAATGACTACAAACGCCCAGATGAATATTTGTCCACCCCACCAGACGTTAATAAGTGCTAATCATCAGTTAGACACATTATACGAATAACCCACGACGTACGTACATGTGTGTCACCAATGTCACCAGCAACGCCACCACAACCCAGGACAATTACTCTTCTAAGACTTGATTAAAAACCCTTACAAAAAAATATTGTAAACGCCCCATCATCATCATCACTACAACTATTATGATTATTACTATACTAAATTACTATAATGTCGTCGTATACAAAAGTCCGACCAAAATGGATATATAGGATTGAGATTGGGGGAGCCGTGCGTGCAGTGCTGATGATGGGTGCCTATGAGAGGACAATCTTCTGCATACTATGTAGTTAAATATTTCTTTGTTTTTGGGCCCAATTTCTATACTACTTAGAACCAAATCAAAACAAGAGTGTAAAATGTTGCATGATGATGATGACTCTGCGGTTTTTCCATGATTTGATTACTTTCTTCTGTAACATTTAATGCTAAACTATATATGTGATGTTTAAAGTATAAATTGCAAGAGAAATATATAAATTAAATATAATTATAATGAAACAACAAACATAAACTAGTAATTTTTAGTCTTGTAATTATTTCCACCGGCGCTGCTGCTGCTAACACGACTAGTACTTGGTTTCATCCAAGGATAAAATTGGTTGAGGAGCGTGTAGAGGGAGAAGGCCGTGTTGACTGCAAACACGGTGAGAAATGCGGAAAAGAGGGTGGGCACGGGCCACACCTGCAATAAACAAAATTTCCATAATCTACGCATACACTGTTTCTTGTCAATTTACTAACTAACCTGCCACGGACGGTCCCAGTCCAGCGGAATCAAAACAACGCCAGCCATCGCACCGCCAATCGTAGAGATAAACCGCAACTTGGCACGAAGTACGGAAGTGAGCTTTGTGTTCCAAGTACTATTACAATTTACGTGGCTTATTTTATTTTTATTCTAATCAAGAGATGATAGTAAGCAAATTTATATGAGATGTACTTATTCACACCTGAAGTAAATCACTTGTTTCAGGATATCTTTGGCTGGGAATGTAAAAGTTAACGGAACGAACATCCATCCGGTTAGAATGATACTGAATTGTGCAGTCAGAACGAACTTACTAGATAAGAAGGAATAATACTTTATCAGTTCCACAGTTATGAAAAGTGTCTCATACATGATTAAATGTGTGTACCTGAGGAGAGGTGCTCCAAACAGAACCATGAAAATATGACAAACACCACAACACAGGATGGTCTGCCAACAAATACCTCCAAACTCGAGGACCTACCACAGAAAATGACAAGCATAAGTAATAAGCCATCTTGTTGGCATTATCCCTAAGATAATTCATCATTTGTGACAATAAAGTATAAATAAAGACCTTGGAGAAGGAGGTCACTGTTGATGACTTTCTGCTGCCCGGAGGGGCTGCGGACTTGGAGTTGACGTGAAGAAAGGGTGTCCTCCCACTCCCGTGACCGACTGTCGCTGGGGACAAGAGGTGCACCAGCCCCACTTTGAGCCACTCGGCCCCCACGAGCCATACAAATGTGGAGAGAGGCAGTTCCTGGAAGGCAGTGATGTGACTGATCAGCCCCGTCAACCCAGATTGCAGCAGGGCGAAGGTGACCAAGGAGAAAAGAACAGAGGTCACGCTGTAAATAAATTCACGACGTTGTGTGACATGTTCCAGGGGGTCCATCACCAGTCTAAAATTATACTGCTTGATGTTGTTTGTGAGTTTGGATATGTCAAAATTATGAGTTTTGCACAAATCAACAGAGCCATATGCACCTTCCGGCTTTCGGTGTTCGGGGTGATGCGAGCATACAAATAGTAAATACATAGCAAGTATTAATAATTTATTTCCAGGTTGAACGCATTTGTAATTTTAACCGTTTTTATTTTGTATTGATCAAATAAGTAATTTTAAATACAATCTATACGAAAATATATATGTATACATGCATATATGTGTGTACATTTTCCGAATATTCCATGGATGTTGACAATCAACAAAATGATCAACATAAACGGGAGGATCAAGAATCCATTCAAAAATCGTGTAAAATTTCAGGTAATAATAGCATTAAATGGAAAGGCATATGGTTGAGGAATAAGTGAACCAGAGTGGAACAGTGTGGAAGAAAGAATATGCAGCAATTGACTTTCTGCTAGCGCTTCAATTCATGAGGGAAGCTACCACGGCTTGACTGTCCAAAGTTCGCAAGTCAGTGTAGGTTTGTCCTGTCCCCACAAAAACGATGGGCTGACCGGTAATATACGCCATGGACACAGCTGCTCCAACCTGACATGTAATAGTTGTTTAATAATTTCCACTGCTCATAATATTTCTACCATAATGTAGATTATTACCTTGTCATCAATTGTATCAAATTTCGTGAGCACAATGCCATCAATAAGGCGAGGATTGTTCTGATCAGAAAAATCAGCCAGGGCGCGATTGAATTTAACCAATTGATCAACCGCCTCATTTCCAACGAGCGCTTCTCCGACAAATAGCACGAGGTCGGGATCGTTCACTCGAATTAGCTGATAAATACAAACTGCAAATTAGTTCTACCGAATGTTTGCGTTGCGCTACACACATGCTGTATAGATTGGATTATATGTTAATACCTTTGACAAAGCCCTCATTAAGGGTTCGTTGTCCTGCATTCGCCCGGCCGTATCAACCAAAACGACGTCCAGACGTGCGTCTTTGGCAAAAGAGATTGCTTCGGCTGCCACACCAGCGGCATCCTTACCGTAGCCCTTCTCATACAACTGCACCATCGGAATCCCACCCTTTGGGGGATGAAGTGCATTCAAATGTCGAGCATGGGTCCGCAATTGCTCAACGGCTCCAGCACGGAATGTATCACACGCTGCGACGAGAACACGGAAATCATTCTCAATTAGCCAGTAGCAAATCTGGAACATCACAAAAAAAGTGAAAAAACGACATCACATAATAGAACGAATTAATTATTACAACGAGTGTTTATAATCCGAGTAATTTATAACATGTAATACCTTGGCCAAGTTGGTCGATTTTCCCACACCATTAACCCCACAAAAGGTGATAACAAAAGGTCTCTGTTGTCTCTTTGCCTCCAGCGCATCTCGAAGAACATCCACTTGCTTCTTTGGCCGGAGGAGAGTGAGCAATGACTCTTCCAAAGCACTTTTGACAGTCGAATTTACCGTCTGAAAAGTTCCTAGGACTTTTCCCTCCAATTTCTTTGACACAGAGTCACAAATCTTGAGCGAAACATCAGCAGCAACATTTTTCGAGATGAGATGATCTTTCAATTTCTCCAAAGCTGGGGCAACGTCCCCATCACTCAACGCCTTCCCACCAACGAGCCCCTTGAACAGGTTAGTGACCACATTTCCACCCTCCTTCCCTTTCTTGGACGACGAGTCATCCACTCTAACCTCCAATGCTTTGATATGACCCGACATCTTTCCAATAATGGAACGATCAGTTGGGATAAATTCCTGGGATTGGGCATCTCCAGGTCGGGATCTATCAAGCTCGGCAAGGTCACGAGTAGTCCCTCCTTGGTCCCAAGTCCGAGGTTTCTTTCCAGATCCCTTGTCCTTCCCCGTTTTTGGACTCTTGCTGCACATTTACAGAGACAGTACAGATTTAAGTAAAGTATATCGAGCACAACGAAAACATGGATTGCATATATTTATCAGATCCATACACTTTAACTACTCTCCTCCCACCCGGTCCTTTCGACACTTGCTTTCCAATTGGCAGTGATAGGCCAGAAAATGGGTCCACATTTTCCTCCTCCTCACCATCTCCTTCTCCATTTTCGTCGGCAGAATCCCCATCGTCGCCATTATTTTCTTGTGTAACGGGAGTGGGCGCCACCGCAGGTGCCTTAGCTTTTTTCCCCTTCTTCGATTCAGGCTAAATAAATAATAAACATTACTATTATTAAAAATGCGATATACATTATAATTATAAGTTCAATCGAGTTAAATGTAACGATAGTATTACCTCTGGATAGCCACCCCCTTTGGTTTCAATCATAGAAGCCACAGTCTTCTTTGATTTTTTCGACTCATCGAAACTTTTCATCGTCTTGGGCTGTTTCGCCAACTCAAAACTCCAAACTTCTGCCGCATGCAGGATTGATTCATACTCAACGGATAAGTCCAAGCCCTGCAAAAGCCCTCTCTTGTCCAGCAATTCGTTCTTGTATCGATCTCTAACTTCGAGGTGAATGTCATCCAAAAATTTGTCGACATAATTCAATTTCAACACTTTCTGATACCCGACGACAAAAACGAGGTCAAATTCATTGTCCAATTTAAACTGGAGCATGAGCTGTTCATGTTCAAAGCGACCATCGCCACCTCGTTCCTTCAAAATTTGTTGACCAGAAGTTAAATAATAATCACTCATATTTATTACAAGTATTTACTACGCAATTGCTTTTTACCTGGAGGATAACGGAGCGAATAAGCGCATTAACGGATGTGAGGACGGCTTCCTTGGTGGACTGGAAACACCAGAGAACGATTCCACCCTTGCCAAAGAGTACGAAAAAGTCCAACATGGTGAAATAATTGGGGAATTAAAATTAAAGATTGGCGGAGATTGGGAGATTTTTAGAGGCGAAACTCCAAGGACGACGACACGATGAGAAGTGAGGAGAGCATATGGAGCTCTGACTACTTTCACTCCACTCCACACACCGCCAACTTCATACTCCTCACTCCCACATGATCCGCGATCTGATGATTAGTGCACAGTGATTGATATTTACCACTGGTTTCCACTTTTGTAATATGTGCTGGCGAAATTATAGCGCTCCTCCTCCTGACCTACAATGACGTCGTCACTATTGTCCCGTGCCCTCTTGACGAAGCTGCTCTCTCCAATTTTGGCTAGCAGCAGCAGTGGCGGAATCCTTGTGCATTGTGAACTAGTAAACGGTGCTTCTTCTTATTCGACTGCCGCAATTTTTAGACAATGTCGACACTTTCGACATAATAATAATGACAGTTGTAGAGCCCTGTGCACGAGTGGGGTTGGATGTGCAGCTGCCACCACGAAGGCAAAGAAACCTGTCCTACCATCGCCCGACAATAAAAAATCGAAACCCGTCGTCAATATTTGGAAGAATATGACAGTGTCCGAGTTGGCGACAAGCGTGGGGAGGTCTTTGGGTATTAGCTCTTTCTCAACAGTAGTAAAACAGTTTGGTTAGCAGTTGGTAGCTCCATATGCATTAATGTATCTCTTTGATCTTTACACAGATCATGTTTTTGAAGCCATGATTTACGTTAAAAATGCGGACGCTTATGACACCCCCAAATCTCAGATAGATGATATTCAAGTAATTCGAGACATTGCAAGGACCTTGGGCGTAAGAACTAAAATTGATTCGCCTGCCAGTGGTAAGGATAAGACGGCAAGCCATCACGATGAGCTGGAGAAGGGAGCTGTGCTGAATCCTAGACCCGTCATGGCTAAAGACTTGGCCCCCAGACCCCCTGTTGTTGCCATCATGGGTCATGTTGACCATGGCAAGACAACACTGCTGGATGCCTTACGAAACACTGCCGTGGCCGCGTCAGAAGCGGGTGGGATTACGCAGCACATTGGCGCATTCGTGGGTGAGCTAACAAACAAAATAAATATGGAGCAAGAAATGATGCTGACTGCTAATTAAAATGACAGTGTAATAAGTTGCCTCCACATGAATTGCATACTTGTTTTTGGAATTTAGTGGAGGTGGCTGGAGGGAAAGTGACATTTTTAGACACGCCAGGTCACGCTGCTTTCTCGGCACTACGACAAAGAGGTGCAAATGTGAGTTTGGGAAAGTTAACATAATCATCATAGGTTTAGACTTGATAAATATTGAAGATTGGTCGACTTTATTTATGAATGAATTGTGGTTTATGGACTGCAGGGGGCAGACCTCGTAATTTTGGTGGTCGCAGCCGATGACGGGGTCATGGAGCAGACGAAAGAGTCAATAAGGATGATTAAGGCAGCCAATGGTTTGTGTCTCACCTTACTTGCAAAATCTCAATTCATCAGTTGAATAATGTGTTTTTTTAGTTCCAATGATTGTTGCCATCAACAAGATTGACAAAGGAGCAGCGGACGTGGTTTGTCCAAATTTTAAACTCTTATAAGGACTTATTGTATTGCAACTAGCTAGCTGTGATGTAGTCAGAGTACCAAATTTTGTCATTTGCAGGAAAGATCGAAACGTATGCTGCTGCTAGAGGGGATTCAATTAGAAGACTTTGGTGGGGATGTTCAGTGTGTTCCAATTTCTGCGGCCAAGGGGACGAATCTTCCCACCCTCGTGGAAGCGATTCTAGTCCAAGTGGGCCTTATTTATTACTGTGACTGGATCAGCACTGACTAAGTTTCTATAATCTGTGTGTGTGTGTAGGCAGAACTTCAAAATCTTCAGAGTGAAAGCAAGGGGTTTGTGGAAGGTGTCGTCTTAGAAGCGAGAGTGGATCCTGGTAGAGGAAAGCTATGCACGGCACTTGTTCAACGAGGTGCCTTAAGGAAGAGTGCCATTCTAGTCGCGGGGACTGCTTGGGCCAAGGTACTGATGGATGCAATCAGTCACATTCATTAAGCGACTCGTGCTTCTAGAATGAATGAATGACTCTAGGTGCGAGGAATGTTTGACGAGCATGGGCATCCCCTGCAGAAAGCTGGACCTTCCACCCCGGTGGAAGTAATTGGTTGGAGAGACCTTCCTTCTGCTGGAGACACGATCTACGAGGTTGAGTCCGAGGTTAGTTTTCCTTGGGATTGGAATATGTTAAATACGATACAACGCTAAACAGTAAATCTTTAAATCTAAACCTGCTTGTGACAGCAAATTGCGAAATCTGTGGTGGAATGTCGGATTGCTAAAGATATGGAGGATAAGGCCAAAAGTGACGCTGTTGTCATTGAACAGAAACATCAAGATCATTTGAAGGTGGTGATCGTTTTTGTTGGTTTAAATGTCTCTATATGTCCCATGATCATTATCTGCAGTAGTTTAATGGATGGTGTATTTTTCACGCACACTGGATAGGATTACAAAGCTATCCTTGCCGAGAAGAGGAGATTAGGTCGCTTCCGTCTAAAACCTACTGGCCCCAGACAGAAACAGTTCCAAGAAGACACAACCATTCGACTCCCAATCATCGTTAAGGCCGATGTCGACGGTTCCATTGAAGCTCTTTTAGACGTTCTTGAAACGTACGACTGCCACGATCAATGTCGTCTCGATCTCGTCCATTATGGCGTCGGTGACCTCACGGAAACGGATATCAAACTAGCCGAAACATTTCAAGCTCACATTTACGGGTTCAATGTTAAGATTTCAGAACAACTGAAGAACGAGTGTAAAAAGTTGGGGATCGAATTCAGACTGAGCAATGTAATTTATCGCATCATCGAGTCCATGAAGGGAGATATTGGCTCAAGGTTGCCAACTAAGCCGGTGGAAGAGGTAATTAATTTACGAAGTTACATACGGGAGGTGATTGTGGCTTTTTATGTGACATGTGCCGTAAATCCTGCAATTAATACGATCCTCATTCATTCATCCTGTCAAAATCCATCAGATTTTGGGAGAAGCAACCGTCCTCGCCCTATTCAAGGTAAGCGAAGGAAAGAAGAAGGCGGTGATGGTGGCAGGTTCGAGGTGCACAAAAGGTGTTCTCAAGAGAAACGCCCTGTACCGCGTTCAACGCGGAGAAGATGTCATCTTTGACGGTACTTAATTAATTGATAAACTTGTACACACATTATCCACTCCCACGCATCAGAACTCTCATGTTGAGATCATCTCCTCCTGTCAACTCTAATTAAAGACTAATTAGAACTGACACGTGTCTCTCCTACCTAAATAAATACTCTTCATCAAGATGTTGACTGAACGATGCAATACATAGTTCGTATTTCTACATATTTCCAGGTAAAATCCACTCAATGCGCCATTTGAAGGAAGAGGTGGAGTCTATAAAGAACGGGGTCGAGTGCGGCTTAGCTTTTGTGCCTCGTCAAGAGTCCAAAATGGAAGAAGGCTCAGCCGTTGCGGAAGACTTTTCTCCTAAGGAAGGTGATCACATTATCTGCTACACACACAATCAGGTTGCACAAAGTTGTGGGTGGGACCCAGGCTTTTAGAATAATACAATAATTACTTAATATATGTAGCGCAATAGTTGTGCTACATGCTTATTACACTAGACTAGACTACGACAACTAGGCGACGGGCGACATATACATATGAACTATTTTGTATAATAAAATAAATGAATATCCGCCTGTCTGATCGACTGGTTTGTTGAAACATGGTTTCGCCTTTACTTTAGTTGTGCCATCCAAGAGTTAATTTTCCAACTACTAGGTGACATACGAGAGGTTGAGAGACCCTATGCAATTTACGTACCTTCGAGTGACACGGAACATTAGGGCGCAACTGGCAACCTTTCGTCTAATTTTGAGAGTTATGGAGAGGGATTAGCAGCTAATATCATCGTCGTCACAACACTCGAAGAAGGGTGAAAGCAGGAGAAGAAAGCACTGTGCTAACTAAAGAGAGATGAGACTCAGTCCCCAGAGAGTCAGAGAGGCTCTATATAAGGCACCCCAAAGACAGTTTATTCTACGTTCGAAGTTGTCAACTGCAAATTGAGGAAATGTCACCATATAATCCATCTCCTCCGCAGGTCTCTTAGTTAATTCTTCTCATCCGCACTTGCTCCTCGTCACATCTCATGAAATGACAGTTTAATTTGCTCTTAAATGAGAAAATGAGAGAGTTCACCATTTTAATCTCATCAGCATTAATTTTCCCATCTACATTAACCCATTAAACCCAACACAACTTCGATCCTTATGACGGAGGTCACATTTTTATACGAAATTCGCAGTACCAGTATTTGCCCGAAAACGTGTTTGCGTATATTCCTTGACGTTTTCTCACCACTATCCATCCATCCCACTTGAAAGACTAATCCTTAGAAGCTGACATTAATTTTAGATTGAAATTAGACACGACGAAATAAGCATAACGTGGATTTCACTTTTCATGCCCCATGTGCTTTCACGTCATCTTCTTAAACAAGTGCATATACGTCCTGTTCCTTTACCTTTCCGTCTTCCTGCTCATCAACTGGTGGGATGGGAGTATTAATAAGTGGCAAAAATGGGCAGATGCGATACGATGGGAGAGGAGAAAGTATGAAACTTGAGACATGACATGCCATGTATACGCATACATATGTACTTACATACTTTTTAGGAAGTGAGAACGAGTCTAACTTATGCTAATGTTCCATCTATATATGGTGGTAATGTAATGTAATAGGAATGAGAGACTGACAAACTCGTTCTCTCTCCTCAACTTTCTCTCTTTCCCAAACCTGGATGACTCTAAAGATACTTTCTCCTAATTTTTCATCCATCATTATTAATGATAGTCCTGCTTGATCCACCCACACATTCGCCATGGCTCACTTAATGCACATATCTGATCCCCTTCTTAAGTATGCAGATGTACTTCTTAGACGGATGAATCTTCAGACCGTGTGAGTGAAAACCTGGAATTAGTACTGCACGGAATAGTAAAGTCATATGTACATTCATGTTGGTCCTCTTTACCTATTTATTAGGTTGCAATCTATTTTTGCTCATTTGCTCTTCCCCTAAAAGTAATATTACAAGTGAGCAAATTGAAGTGCGTCAAACTGAGACGGGTTGAACCCATGTTTGTTTGTGCAGTACACATATGTACATCTCATCATCTACGTACGCGACCTTCCCTTTGAGGGAACTTGAGACGAATTGATGTGATGGATCTGTTTTCCAGCTTCCTTGGGCTAATAAGTGAAAGGGGAGCGGAGATGGAGGGCTGGGAGGAGAAAATAGTTTGGAAACAATAGCAATTTGTTTAAGTGGATGAAGTCATATAAATAGAAAAAGAGGTGCTGTATTTTACCAACTGTTTAATGGACACAACCGCAACCACACACTCCTCCTTATGAAGTGATCAGTGAGTGAATGAATGATGGCACAATGCTTCCTTTCCTTGGAGAGTGAGAGAGAAAGTTGGGTTGCTCGCATGCATTTCCAAGTCTTAATGTTCCCTGTGAACGTAGCATGCTCGATTCAGCATCGTGATATGAAATTGTGAGAGGATGAGAATTGAGAACCCTCGCCATGCATGATGGGGGAGATTGGTCATGCACACAATGGAATCTCAGCTATTTCTGATACGTAATCCGATCTGCAAATTGCGAAAAAAGTATATGATGATGAATTAAAAAAGCCCAGCCCAGGGCAACTCAATGCTGACGTTTTGTTGGTGCGGCCAAGGGAAAGAAAGCCCATTTCTCCGGAGAAAATATGCTTACACCTCCACCACGACACGGCTGCAGAGAGTTCTGTAAGTATGAACTCCATTTGTCACTTGCAAGAGAGGAAGGACTTACATCCATCTGTATGGACGCCTTTTCGACATAAATACATAATACGCGTGAGAATGGGTGTCGTAATTTCGGGGAGAAAGTATCCACAAAAAGCATGGCACGCAGCAGGGAAGGGAAAATAAATGTATATATGAAGAGACTGGTAGTTTCTGTTGCATTTAAGTAACATTTTGATAATGTGGTGCTGTGGGTGTGTGGGAGGCAGCACGACGGCCACCACCGTCCTCAATCCCTTCATCGAAAAGTATAAAAGGCAGCGAGGGGGAGAGACGCCACCGCATTTGCCCTCCACGCACTCTGCTACACAATTAACCTCTCCACCCAGACGCAGACGCAGAAACAAGCGTTCACTTCCGGACATCGCAGAAATTCAGACAGAATATAATAATGTTCTTGGAGGGAGGTAAAGGTAACGAATAATAAGTAATTTCTTGAATGGGAAAGCCATAGGGGCGATTCAAGAATTGAGACATTTTTCCATTTCCCCAAGCTGTTCGTCAGCAAGAGTGGGTCCGACTTGGGCGTCTGGGGCTGCTGGGAGTGGTTGTCATCCTACTCGTGTGTCCAGCACTTGGTCGGAACTTGGGGGGCGGAGGGACAGGGGCGATGATGGCGGATCATCATCACCAACAACCAGTGTCTGAGGGGCATGAGGAAGAGATGAGCATGAATCTGCACCCTATCGATGTCTGCATCTTTTCTTGTGATCTCTGCTTCAAGGTGATTCCTTTCTTCACTTGATTGCCAAGTATATGTAACTCAACATTGCTGAGCATTAAGTAAATGGTGGATTTCAGAGCGAAGCATTGGTTCACTGTGCCAACGCCTGCATTCTGTCGGAGGGAGCCATGGAGGCAAACTGGCGACGCATCTGCAAGGTGTTCCAGCCCCCAGCCACCCCCCTCGGCTTCCTCTAGTTCACCGTTACCAACATGACACTAGCATCAGCAGACAGGCACACACTTTCGTTTTACCGATTTACTCAGAACGTGCGACTTCAGGAGACTTCGTATTCACATGCGTTCTTGCTACTCGATGTGCAATCATTAATATAGACAAGATACATAGTTTTATAGCCATCAGCTATCGTCTAATTTAATTAATACCCAATTGGTTATAATCCTGTAGGAATATATTCTAGATCTATAAGTTGATTGATTAATAAAAATTAATTGGTCCGTAAGTCAAATTATTTCTTTCAGATTCAAAACTACGGTTAATGCTATTTACTTTGCCACACAACTGCATGGATTAAACCAATCGCAATAAGAAAGACACACAAAATAAATACAACTTCTGGATCATTAAACTTTTAATTAGCAACAAACACGCACGTACTCGATATAAAATGTAAAGGTTGTTGTGTAATATGATTTCTTTCATAATAGTAGTTAAAGTATACCTAATTATAAGCTAATTAATAATAAGAACGAGGAATGGTGAAAGTGCAGAAATATCATGACGACGACGCTTTGGCTTTGTTCTTGGACTTTTTCACTCTTTTCAGTGAATCCATGCTCCCACGGAGGACAGCACAATAGGTCAACTGAAATTTGGGCACATTATCTGCTACCACCTATTCAAACAAGAGATCAGACAGCCTTTTATTAAGGATGTACAGAATTAGGCATAACTAATTATCATAATATACAAATATATAAATTACCACTGTCGAAATCTTTTTATTGTGCAGACAGGCACGGACAAGACATCCGGCAGGGGCATCAGGTCTGTTTTTCTTCATGGCTGCTGCTTTTAATTTGGCAATTTTTTTAGGAACTGGGGTTCCTTCCGGTTTAGGAGTTGGTCCAGTTGTTCCGTCATCTGGTCAAACACAATAATTAGTACTCAACATTTTCAATCTTAATAAACATCATACAATTTGAACTTACATCTTTTCATTGTGATATTGACCGTACCAGACCCCTTAGTCTTGGACTTTTGAAAGAGACGAGTCAATTCAGTCAAAAACTGAAAAATATGGGAAAATAATATCAAATTTAGAATTGATTAACAAGAAATCAAGTAAAGTAAAGATGTGATCAATTTAATTTACAGCGTCATTGTCGAGCAGCACCATTCTTCTTGGTTTCCCTTTTTTATAGCTTCTCTCTACCACTAAATAACTATTGCTCTTTTCCGCACCTCACTTCCGGTTTATGTAAATGAACTGTTTGTTCTTGAATTAAAATTCTGTATTAACGCACTAATTAATACTAACACAAGCTCAAAACAATTAATTAATCGTGGACATTAGTGGACATATTGGTGACGGTCTGGTCCTCACTTTCAGTCGCATATCACCACTCGCGCATCTCGCCCCGACCAAATTGAGATGAGTTGCCCGGCCGGCCTTGTCTCATCACCAACACCAAACGTCTCTTTTAATTTTAATTTGTAATTAGAGTTTAGTTAAATAAAATATATAAAAAATGACGTCGATAATAAAGTTCCAACCATTATCAGGCGTCTGGGGGGAAGGTCCACCTTGCTACATTCTACAAATTGACGAGTTTAGATTCCTCCTCGACTGCGGCTGGGACGATCTGACAGGGATCCCGTATTTGGAAGAGCTCAAAAAGTCTGTAAAAACCTAAACAAAACAACGATTATCTAAAATGCATTGCAATTATAACAATTTGTTCCCTTCTGCTCTACAGACATGTCACCAAAATCGATGCCGTCCTCATTTCCTACCCAGATTTGCTCCATCTTGGCGCATTGCCTCATTTTGTCGGAAATCTTGGTCTTTGTTGTCCCATTTATGTAAGCGCATATAGAATCAAGATACAGTCTGTATTACAGACTAATAACATAAAAGTTGTCGTAATAATTTACCTAACTTCATACTAAATATCGTATATTTCTCAGAAATATACGATATTTCTGTATCCTTTACTTTACACTTGTTTCATAATTCCAGGCTACCGTTCCAGTACACAAAATGGGACAAATGTTCCTCTATGACTACTTCATGTCGCGACATAACGAGGAGGAGTTTAAGCACTGGGATTTGGACGATGTAGATCTCGCCTTTGATTCAATTACACAATTAAAATATAATCAAAGTCTCAACTTGTCGGGAAAGGGGTTTGGGTTGACCATCACGCCACTCTCAGCAGGCCAGTAAGCTGTTTTACTTTGATCATTTTTTAGCAAGCACGATCCATAACTCTATTTAAACTTGGTTTTGAAGCATGATTGGGGGGACGGTTTGGAAGATTATGAAAATTGGAGAAGAAGATATTTACTACGCCGTAGACTTTAACCATAAGAAGGAGCGACACTTGAACGGGTGTGATTTGGACAAGATAAACAAACCTTCGCTCTTCATCACGGATGCATATAATGCAAGTTATATCCAGGCGAGGAGGAGGACGAGAGACGAACAGTTATTAGGTACTCATCATAAGAAGTCAGGTTAATTCTAATCATAAGTTTGTTTATTTTGGTTTTGGTTTGATTTAGCTGGGATTTTGCACACGCTGCGCAACGGTGGCAACGTTTTGATTGCAGTGGATACTGCAGCAAGAGTCTTAGAACTGGGGCACATGCTGGACCAGTTGTGGCGAAGCAAAGAGTCCGGGCTCCACCCCTACTCCCTGGCACTCATCAACAATTTGGCCTACAATGTGATTGAGTTTGCAAAGAGTCAGGTATGTACTTATCAAAATGTAGTTTATGCGACTAGGTTGAGCAGTAATGAGCAGTTGTAACTTAAGATCATATTCCGATGATAACACTAGATTGAGTGGATGAGTGACAAACTTATGCGATCCTTCGAAGGTGCCCGAAATAACCCATTTCAGTTCAAGCATGTGAATATTTGTCACAACATGGCTGAGCTTCAAAAAGTACCCGGCCCCAAAGTTGTCCTTGCTTCCAGTCCTGATCTCGAATTTGGATTTGCCCGTGAGCTTTTTATGAACTGGTGTCAAGACAAGAAAAACTGTGTCATCCTGACCACCCGACCATCGTGTGGAACTCTTGGTCGTCTCTTAATTGACAATCCTTCGCCTGGCATTGTGGAATTGGAAGTTAGAAAACGTGTGGAGCTGAGAGGACGCGAGTTGGAATCTCATTACCGAATCCAACGGGAGGAGGAGTATCGTATCAAGAAAGAGACTATGATGGACGATTCGGACGATTCAGATGTTGATGAAGATGCGGACATAAAAATGATTGGCATATTCCAAGGAGCGTCTCGAGTGAACCACGACCTCTTCATTAAGGCTGGCATGGAATCCAAAATCGAGTCAGGCTCACTCTTTAAGGCGGCGAGAAGCAAGTATCCAATGTTTCCTCATGTAGAGGAAAAGATCAAGTTTGATGATTATGGAGAATTTATCAAGTATGTAATTGATTGATCTTAGAAACACATTAATATCCATTCCTCTTAATTAATTAGTTGGTCGTTGCATTCCTTTAATTTATTTTTTGTGCTCACTCGGCAGACAAGAGGACTACTTCCTAATTGATAACGTGTATGAAAAGGAGGTCGTGGAGAAGTCTTATGGGCGAAGGCAAAGTGATGCTGAGGTTGAGGCCCAACTCCCAACAAAATGTGTTTCACATTTTGTCAAGTTTGATATCCAATGTTCCGTCGTGTTCATTGATTTCGAGGGACGGTCGGATGGAGAAAGTATTCAAAAGATTTTGGAACATGTGAGTAGCGAATAATTGAACAGTTAGAAAATAGCAGACAATTTACATGGACATAAAATTTACAAATAGTAATAATTGAAATTCGGATGGATTTTTTTGATGATAGATGAAACCTCGTCGACTGATCGTGACACGTGGGGCAGAGGAGGCAGTAAAATCCTTGATAGCAGTCAGTTCCCAAGTTTCTCCCGAGACTACAATATATTCCCCACAGCTCAGAGAAGTGCTGGATGTCACAACAGAGACTTACATTTATCAGGTTAGTAATCCTAAATATGTCTGCATAAGAGATTATTCCGTTGTATTTAGCATGTACTGGTTTAACAGGTCAAACTGAAGGACTCGCTTGTATCATCCCTCAACCTTCAGCGGGGCAAGGATGCCGAGCTGTCCTGGGTCGAAGGTTATCTTCAGATGGAGTCGGACACGCTGCACGGAGACGACACCCGCAATAGCAACACAAAGTCTATAACACCAATAGGTAGTGGAAACGATTAATTTCAATTGAGACAAATTATTCCAAATTAACTGGTCAGGTTATTTAAAATAAATTATTACGTGGTCTGTGTAGACGCCATGGACGAAGGTGAAACATTTGTCGCGTGCCTGGAACCTATGCCACTACTAGAGGTATTAATAATAAAACATACAAGTACAATTATAATGATGTGAATATATTAAGCAACCTAACGAGTTGTGTTCTTCCATTCCATTTGCAGATAACTCCACATGACACGGTCTTTGTCAATGAGCTCAAATTGTCCGATTTCAAACAAGTTCTTGCAAAAAATGGGATTGGCTCCGAATTTTCTGGTGGAGTTTTGTGGTGTGCTCAAGGAACCATTGCACTTCGTCGCGTAAGTGGATAAAATCAGCCAGACATTTGTCAACTTTAATAATTCCCTAATTTGCATTGCCTATTATTAAGTTGGTTGATGTTTATAGCAAGATGCTGGGAGGCTCACGGTGGAGGGCGCACTCTCGGATGATTACTATAGGATTCGACACCTTCTCTACGACCAGTATGCAATACTTTAATAAATAAGTCGTCGGGTCGTTTTATTTACTTTGTTTTTATTTTTTATATGTTTAAAAATAAAATATGTATTTTTCATTTATCCGATATTCGTCATTTGAACTGTATATAAATATAAATATGGTACTATGTAGTCATTGGTCTGCATATTTTTACATATTAACTGATTGGCCAAGTCATTCTCACAATCACCAGCGCTTTAACTTACTAGATTTCCATTCACGGGGTCATTTTGGCATTTTGTAGTCAACAGAAAAATAATAAACTATACGAGACTTATTTAATTCAAAAACCGTCGACACTTTCGGGACCCGCAGGAGCATGGCAACTTGTTCACCTCTCGTTCAAACTTGTAGTCGTACGTGAGCTCTTCGCCACGCCCAATGTTTTTCAGAGCAAATATTAAAATGTGATCTTTTCCGAAGATTTTGACTGCCTTTGACTCACAATTGGGCTGCAATATCAACAGAGGAATATTATGGCAAATATCGTTAAATAGTGCATTAGTGCAAACTTGTAAATACTCACATCACATGAATGATTGATGAACCTTGCAGCGTTCCCTTTCATTGTTGCTGTAATTTAAGAAATTAGACTATAAATAAACCTCTAAAAAACTTGTTGAGTAAAATCTACAAAATTGTGCATACCGTCTACAACATGACTGCGATTCACACGGAACATGTAACACCCAATCCCAAACAGCTCGTACTTCCGCTCCCTTACGTCGCACAGGACGGAACGAATCATCTGCACAACAGTTGAACATAGTAACTATTTAATACTCCATTATGTGAATGGATAGATTTTTTATAATTAATTATAATCGTGTACCTCCCCGGCATACTCGATCAACATTTCCCCAACCTCAATGTCCCTCTGGGCAAAAAGACCCCGACCGTGAATGTGGGATGGAAGGACGACTAGATCTTTGGTGGCTCGCTCCCGTAAATTTCTAAACCTCATGGCGAGGGGGAGACCCTTGGATTTTACAGTCTCTTCAGATCTGTAAGATACAACGGATGATAAACATGGACCGATAACATGTATGTGACTTGTATTTTGAGCAATTTTGACACTCACGTTGACACCCCTCCACCTGTCAAATGCTGCTTGGGTGGCTTGCGATGCGTCGACCTCAGCCAGTTGAACATGTCGTGCGGCCTTCTAGATACGAAGGGTTCCGATCTGGAGCAGCCCGAGGACGTTGGGCAGGCGGGGACGTCTTCTGGAGCTCTCGCTGGGTCGACATAGCGGAAGGTGTAGGGACCCACGTCTTCCACCCCTGGTAACTGCTCGATGAGGAAGCAGAGTCTGGGACTGGAAAGCGTGTGGAGAAGCATCTCCTCTTCTGGACGAGATTTTGGGGGCGGAACCCACTCCAAACTTGCTCGGTACACCTGGGACTGGGACTAATCATATAAAAGCAATGATTAGTAGCCCTAATTTGTCCTCCGCCCTCGTCACCTATATTATCATTTTATAATGACGTATGTCGTCGAATTTCTACATACCTGACTAGATGAGCAGGAGCTGGGGTTATCGACAGTATTATTTTTGGAAGACCTTCTCCGTTTCTTCGTACGACGGGACGCTGCTGTTGTTGACGGGTTTGTGTACACAGGAGCCCACTCCATGTTGAACTCGTCAATAAACTTGTTTGCATTTCGACTCCAGCTCCAAAATGCCTGAGCTTCTTTGAGCCTGAGCTGGATCAGGTCGCGACGCTTGGTGTGGTCAATCACGACGTTGAAGTTGGACGGCTCCTTCCAACTGTCATTCCCACTGGACCGGAAATCACCAAATTTGTTTAGCACAGACTGCCACCTCGTCACGACATACTTTCCTCCTCCCTCCTCAATGGGCTTGACTAGACGGAGGTAGGCCACGCGAAAGTTGACGGGTTGCAGGACTGTCGACTGTGTGTGTTCTGCTTCCTCCTTCTCTTGACATTCATTTTTCTTACTTCCCAAATTTATTACCGAAATGGGAACTACACTGCCCAAACGGTCCACCCGAGATGATCCCACAAATATTCTCAGCCTACTTGAGGGCAACACCAGCTCCTTGCTTCGTCGGGCACTCGTCAAGCTGCTCACGTAAACCTTGCGGGTTACCTGTCTCGTAGTAAATATACAGATATTTAATGTTTGGATTATATATCGGCATTAATCGTCATCCATGCTGTGGGATGTGAATTGAAAAATAAATAACGACTCACATGCATGTCCAACTGTACTTGTCCTTTCGCAAGACGCGTGTGGTTAGAACAAAACACACTCTTGTCGGCCTGTAAAATACATCCTGACTGCATAGCACAGGTGAAATGAAAACACACGCGACAGGATCCGGCACAACAGTTGAGTGAAGCACCCATCCTGGAACAAAGATCGCAAGGTGTACGCCTTCCACGAAGAAGTGCCACCTCCACCTAAACACATTGTACTTCATTAGCATACAATAATTGAAGGGTTGATTGTCATATTGGTACCTGTTGCAAGGCTCCGTCTTCTTCCTCCCAAACCTCACTGGACCAAATGGCGCAGTTGACGTGGACCCACTCCTCCGGATTCACGTTTAGTAATCTTCCAGAAGAATTGAAAGGAAAGTCGCCCAATTCATGGCACAGAGAACAAGCTCTCCCGTCCATCCAATGTCCCTCATCCCAGTAGCACTGGGTGAGGACGGCTGCCTCGGGAAGGAGCTCCTCCTTCATGGGGTCCGATGGCTTCATGTTCTCGGATGCCACGCTCGCATTGTCAGATGATCCTCCACTGCTACCCAGACCGTCATCGTCTACCCGCTTGATCAACTCTTTCAAGTCGTCCCTCCACCAAGGAAACACCTGTCGTTGTAAATACACGACTTATTGAATAAACTCAATTCGTGTCGAATTCACCTTTCTTATAAGTCATATATTTTGCCCATTTTGGTAAAGTCGACCCTTAACTTATGTACGTTATGTTAATTAGGTTGAGCGTTTGCTTTTTACAATGTTTATGACTGATTAGATATACGTCACGTACTCATAAAGTGCACACTGACATTACCGAACCTCCAAGAAGTCTTACCTGTTTCAACGTATCCTCAAAGTAGGAGACAAACTTGGACGCGTCCGGCTCGCCTTCCTCTTCCTCCGACAAGGGCGACGTCTTTTTCAGGTCCGCAAAGAAAGGTGGGAGGAGGGCAAGGGAAATTGAGCGGAAAGTGCGGACTCCACTTCGCCAAAGGGGGGCGGATGCCTTCACGGCCTCAGTGAAGGAGGTCGTCACACGATGTGGCGTGCTCATCTTTGATGGTGTACAAATAGCGGTGATCGGTGATGTGACAAGACTTTGCCTATTTTTAATCGGGGTAACTTCGCCTGGGTTTGAACAAGGAGGAGGAAGAGTCTCTTGTTCTTCTTCTTCCTTGGCAATGAGTCCCCTCCTCCTGACTGTAATGTCCAGGTCGGAGAGACGGATGATGCATGGTCGAATGTTGTACCGTTGGATGAGACTGTTCTCATCTGGAGAGAGACGTGGGAGTGGAGTTGTCCTCAAGATGGGTTGTCTTCGTGGTTGTTCCTGTTGCTTATTACTGGGTGACGTAGTTTCACGACAAGAAGTGGGCGTCCCATTATTTTTCTCATGCAAGGGGAGGGAGCCACTCTGGATGAGGACAGAGAAATGAGAGTGTAATTAATACACAGTTATATTCCGTGCCAAAATACTTTGACGTCTTGTTACCTCTACTGTGGCTGTAGACGAAAGAATGATGGGCGAAAAGTAAGGCGAGATTCCCTTCGACAGCGCTCCATCTTCTTCGTCTACGCTAAAACTGAGTGCTCGCCGTTTCCTTGTCACCCCTACAACTTTCTTTTGAAATAGGTCCAACACCCGAAGACATCCCTCGACCAAATCGGACTCGATCGCGAAACGCCAGCCCACGGTGGATATAGGCGGATGGCATAGTCTGCAAGTCAGACCAAATATCAGACTGTTCAGGCTCCTCATCATTAAGTATTTATTATTTATTTAAATAGAGTAGTCTAGAGTCTAGATAGTCTTACGTGAAATGGAGAAGACACATACCTGCAAACATATACGATCGCTTCTGGAAGTGCACTCAGGACGTAGTATTTTTCATCGTTGAGCTCCTCACATTGGGCGTGGATCCAACGTTTGCATTTGTCGCACTCCATCATCTTCGAATCCCAATCGTTGTCATCATAGCAAACTATTTGCATTTCACGCAAAAAATATCATGGTCACATAATTAGTGGAATTTGTCTTACACAGTGGCAGACATATGTATGTACGTATGTAAAGTGCCTCACCAAAGCAGACTGGGCAGAAGGAACCCTGTCTCCTTCTCTTGAAACATTCCAAGCACAAAATTTCCGACATTGCGGTCCCCAATTTTCTGAGATGCTGCATATTCTTGGATCGCAGTGGGATTTGGCAACTCGAGCAATGGAGACACGTTACACACACCCAGTTTCTACCGCTCGTTGCCGGTTTCAACGGCATTTTTCTAGTACATCGGAGATGGAACGAGGATGCACAAAGAGAACAGGCTGCACGGGCAATCGAGAAAAAAAACAAGCAGAGTAACTAAATTAGTATTTAGTTCTTCAATTCATGAATAACTATTCTTGCTGTAAGTCTTCATACCAATGAAGTCGTCCTCTCCATCTCTCCGTCCACACCCGCAGTGGGAGCACGTGAGGCATTGCGAGCATTTCCATTTTCGAAACTTGTGGACCAGTCCCCCGGTGATGGTTGGGCGGAGACTGACTTCGGCGAGGTATGCAGTGAGAAGAGCGTCGTCGTCAGAGCAGTACGGGTGGAATGGTTCGCAGCAGGAGGAGCAGTACACTAACTGGAGAGAGCAGATTTTGAGAAGATACCAAATTAATAAGTGCCTCAATTCGCCTGCCACCATCGAATCATACATAGAAAATGGTTTATTTTATGTCAATCATCAGCTATTTATCAATTGAGTGAAGGCAAACTAGAATGAAAGTCAACAAAGCTCATAAATTAGGAAATGTTACAAATGTAATAAGTGGCATATAAATTAGTGACGGAGGGGCTCGTGTTGCAAGACACCTACAAATATATATTTATGAAACAGCTAGACGATAGCCAAGGCCAGAGTGGTGACAATAAGAATCTTTCTACATAAGCCAATAGGTGCACAATTTTAGGAATACGTCACAAGGGAACGTGAGAAACATTTATTACAGGCAATACTTTGCACGAGTTAGGTGGTCATTATAATTCATAACACCGAAAATTACCAGCAGCACCAGCATTCGCTTGCATATTAATTTTGCATAATATTTAGTAACGTTTATCTCGTTCGAAAAAAAGCAAAACAAGTTGTCCAAATTAGAAAATTAAATTATATAAATTGGAATAAAGCCAATAATAATAATAAAAGCCAAATTATTTTTACACAGCAAACAAAATATCTTCGGAACTGGCTCTTTTTGTAAGAAACAAAACAATGGAATGTACATAATTCAAGATCCATAAAAGAAAGGGGTTGAAGAAGGTGGATTAGTATGTACTTGATTTATTCCGGCAGAGCCGCAGGAGAAGCAAAGTGGAGTGGGAGGTTCACTTCCGGGCACCACGACAACTGGGTATCCGTACTTGGCCAGCACTTTTTCTCCAACAAGCTCCGATGCCGATGAGGAAGAGGGGTTGAGGGGAGGAAACACTTTAACCATCTGGGTAAAAAATTTACGTTGTCAGAAAAATTTTAGCTACCTATTTACACGAAAATATTAATTATACAAAATGCATGTTGGAAAATCTTAAAATCTAAATTATTGCTAACCGATTCTGGTTCTGGCTCCTGAGACTGCTCAGACACAGAAGCATCCTCCCCTTTCTCGGAAACGTTAACAGTCCCAAATTCCTCTTTTATGGTCGTAATTGTAGCGGAATTATTCGCGACGATATTAGCACCAGCAGTAATATTATTTTCCTGTCTGCCTCGTGTCCTCCCGATTTGTCTGCCCTCAGTAACAACTTGAATATCAGCATCAGTCTTTGCATCTTCAGTCTCTAAACAGACATCATTCAATCATCAATGATAATAATAATGAACAATAAACCCAAGAATCAAAAATATAAATAAACTCCAAGTGAATTAGACAATGATTCAAGTACTAACTCAGTAATATAGGTTCAGTCTTAGCGTTTAAATTGCGCTTCATACGAGGTCTTCCAGGTTTCTTTTTTTCCACTCGTCCTTGTCCAACTCGCAACGGCAGATTTATTTGATGTTTCTCATTATCTTCGTCATCTTGAGCCTCCACAGCAGCAGCAGCGATGGTCCCCTTGTTATTTGCTTTCCCCCTTTCGAGCTTGCTGGCTGCATGAAGAATTGATCCATCCAGTCGGCTAACCCATAATATTTTTCCTCTCGTTTCCTCGTAACGTTTGACACTGGGAGGTACGTGTGGCACATTAATTAAGGCAGCAGGCGGAACGGCTCGCCACAATTTGAAGTACAGTTCGTCAGTAAAGTCCAAGAGCAGCAGACAGTTATGGATGAAACAAGCTTCACACGAGGACGCAGCTGGAAATTGACAATTGCCATTCGCTCCTAAACATGTCAAAGCCATGGCCTTCTTAGCAATGATGGTCAACTTGTTGAGAAATGGAACGCATTGTCCACAGAGAAAAGCTCCATACTTCTTGGACTAAAAATATGATACCACACAATTATTAGTATATCTATTACCAATAGAGTTTGGATTATAATTATTTCTTATTACATCAGAAAGTTTGGCTGTGGCCAAATTAATCTCGGAAAGTTTGCAGCAAATCCCACATTGAAGCCATCCGTGTTCAACTGGTATATCAGAATAGTTTCTGGAAGACTGTTCTGGCTCAACCAGAATCATAAGTGCAGCTCCTGCAGATACCAATGACAAAGTTAAAATTTCGCACAAACAGCAGGTAAGGAAGGTAGGCAAAAATTCGTAGAGGTTTGCATAATCTGAACTTTATAAATCGAATCGATTACAGAAGTCATGGTTCAGGCTAAAAAGTGTGATTTTTTTTACCAAATTCCTCTTTCCCTTCAAAGAATTTAGGAGTTATTGGAGTAGAGACCTAAAATTATTACAATAATTAATTATAACCTTATAACGATTATTGAATTATTCAAATAATTCATGTATATTTGATATTTCCAGAAATAAACAAACCTTGATTTCCTGATCACGTCCACCTCCGTCCTCCTTTCCTGACTTCTCTGCTGATGGGCTACTATTCCTACTGACCAGTTTTGACTGTATCGTCCCTTCAATTCCCTTGGCCACCTTCCCCAGTGCCTGTCGTCCCACTTGTTCAGGCGACGTGCTCAACCGCTTCCGCTTCGGGACTCGGCCACTACGCCGATAATTAGGCGCAGGAACGGATGGGCTGGTGGGAACACCATCCTGTCTCTCCAAGACAGGCGGCGGTGTCATCGTCGCAGCTGATGATGATGATCCCTGCAATTGTGATATACGTTTTTTAGTACTACCATTCATTCACAATTACACTACAAACTATTAGCTAATTGGGCACTCAGAATCTAGTCATCCATTCATTACAAACGAACATTGCTAGGACGTGAAATCACCTGTTCCTCATTTTCTCTTGGATGATACCTTCCTCGATTGGCGAATTGGGCGACGATTTGAATGTGAGTAGCTTTCACTTTGAGTGCAGCTGGGCCCGAGGTTTTGGCTTCCTTGTATGAGACGAAAGCAGTGGGGTTCTTCTTGAGAAGGGCTGACCTTTTTCGAACAGGGGCCATGGTGGTGGTGGATGGAAGGTCAAAGGGTCGACAAAGGTCACCCTCTACAAGCTGATAAATAGGAGGGAGCGCAAATACTTCTTGATCAGCTCCTCAGTCAGTGGATCCACAAGGAAAGAAAGTGCAAGTGAATTCCCACCGAACCCGTCTGGCGCGTAAAGGTTGAGAAAATAGAGATCAGCAGGATTCTGGTTCTGTCCGTGTCGGTGTCGGGCTTTTTGTGAATTGAAATTTCAATAAAAAATTAAAACTAATTAAAAGTCTCAAATTTTGAGACGCTTCAAGACATACTTCCTCCATCCTCCAGGGTTTCAAAAAATCTTGACTATATCGTATTTATTTATCCATCAGTAAGTCAATCAAATTCAAAATTAACATTAACTAAAATTTGTAACTATATATGAATTAGTTCTAAATTGTATAAACGTATATGCTTACTTCTTTTCTTTTTTATCCTCGCTCTTAATGTAGTGGGGGACTCGTCGGAAAGCGAAGGAAGTAGCGAGATGCGAGTAACTAGACCGAAAACGCGTGGCGCATTGATCTCATTTGTGGACGAAGATCTCGAACAAATTGCAGATGCTTTACGTGACCGAAGCAAAGGTCTAAAGAAATGGCATGCTAAACTAAAAGCCGAATACGACGGGAAGAAAGATGGCAAGAAAGATTCTGACTCGGAATTAAAAGAACCAAGAACGGACGAAGATTACAGTGATCGAGATGACACCAGTAAGAAAGACGATTGTACATCCCTCGTATTAAAACAGCGAATACGATCCAGACGACCCAAAGGTCGATCAATCTCTACTATTATTCGGATGCGAAGAACACGGTTTCGTAATCAACTTCCGGTATGCAAATAATTGATATAAACAAAACAAGTATTTGATGTTGTTTATAACGTACTGATGTTGTGTTTGTGTAGATTTTTACTGACCCAGAGATATTTCCTATAGCCAAGTCCGACTTGGAATACGATGACCTAATTTATAGAGTTGGAGATGTTGTAAAGCTAAGAGCCAAGACTGCCAAAGAGACTCCCTGTTACGCCCAAATAACTGGATTTTATCGTGACCAATTCTGTGGAAAATATGCCGCTTTGCATTGGTTGTGCCATTCGCAACCTGGAAAACCTCTTCTTAACGTTATGAATGATTTTGACCCATCATATTTTATTCAAGGTAGGTAATTTATTATTTATTGCTCAGTTTAGTAAAGGAACAGAGGAGGCTATGATAAAACTTGTTATCAGGTCAAATTCATCACAAACCCGTGGCAATGGATAGGCTAATATTTGTCAAAAGAATAGACCCGGCATTAATTCAGGACAATCCACATAATCAGAGAATGCTTTTAATGAGAGATGGTACAAAGGAATACATGGACGGTGTTTCAAGCACCATTTCCTCTCTTGAAGGCATTTCAAGGATTTAACAAACGATTTTATTTATAAATCTCACTATTGATATCTGTACAACTAGTTACGTACACCCACTTTTTAATTAAAATACTGTGGTAAATAATAATTTTTATTTATGTAATTAATTCACTGGTAAATTAATGTGAAGTAAATGAGTGTTGATTGATTAATTGTCATTATCACAGCGAAGGAACGAACGAGTAGTAGCAAAAATAGAAGTGTTTATGTAATTATTTTATACGTGTACTTCATCATAATTATTGTTTTCTAAATGGTTTGATGGTTACTTTGGTTGGTGGGCACTCGGTTCATCTTTGATTAATTTACACAGGGCGTTTTCATAGATCTTTGGTGAGTTCGTCCAAATCGTATTCTACCTCCTCTTCCTCCACGTCCACAGGAACAACTGAGGTCGTGTCTTCCGTACCATGATTTCCGTCATTTGTCGTCTTGCTCTTATTAGACAGCGTCTGAGATGAATTTGTGGCCGGTGCAGTTGGCGATAGACTGACTATATTATCCTCTCGTCTTTCATCTTTTTTGCCAAAATTAACATTATCATAATTTACTTCCTGATAACATATTATATAAAATACTATATATATAGGTCCTACCGTTTTGCCCTAGATCATCATCTTCTTTGTCCGTATTACTCTCTTCCTCATCCCCAAGCAAGAGTCCGTGGTCATACTTGATAGCGTCGTCTACGTCGGTGTCGTCTTCGTCATCGTCGGAACAAGATAGTATCACCAGGTTATTGTTCCTCTTGGGTTTCTTTGATTGTCCTCCCCCTCTGTTCTCGTCCCTCAGAGCGGCCAATTCGTCCTGCAGTTCTCTAATTTTCCTCTTTTTTGTATTCAAACATTTCCTAAATGCCCGATATAACTGGTCCTCCAAGCGTTCCTTCTCCACCGACAATTGATGGATAGCGTGGCGTAATTCGCCATTCTCTTTCTTTAAGGCCTCCATTTAAATCAGTTGCTTTTGCTTACAATTCGTTTTCCGATTTTAATTTGGTGTGTGGGTGGGTTGTTATTAATTTGCCCTTCGTCAGTTTGGTCAATGTTACCAACCAAGGAGGTCTTGGTCTTGGACAGATAGCAGAGAGTGAAAAGTGAGAGTGCTTCGTCTCGTATCCCCACAAACAAACAAACGTATGTCTGCCCACTTTCCCTTTTTCTGCACTCGCACTCGCACGTTGCCCCAGAAAAATGAGTCCCGTCCCGAAACTCACTCGTGACCGTAAGATTGAACTTGTGACCGAATAAAATACGTGAGTGGCGGATTTATAAAAATAAAAAATAATAAAAATAGATTTCAAAAGTATCGTGGGGCCAAAACCGGAAGGAAGGAAGGACGTCGGCAAAATTTTGGTGCAAGTGTGCAGACTAATCACCGCCAGCTGACGAATTTCAGCGGTGTGCTTACATGCTGGTTTGAAGCGAAGCTCGTACAGTGGATCACTATTGATCAGTGCAACCTGAATATTTATTTTAGAAAATTGAAATAATTAATTGTAGGTAAATTTTGTCACCACCAAGTAAAGTCATATTGTGGGAAAGGTGTCCTTGAACAATATGCGGTGGTATTATGAGAAAAAGGTGAGTATTTGAAATTTGACTGTTTGTAATAATTTTTTTTATATAAGCAGTAGCTACTAAATTTAACTTACTTATATACAATACCTAACAATAATAATTCATATTGAGCAATATCCCACTTATTATTAGGAACTTCGAATGTCGCCATCAATTCAATCCGGTCTTGAGCAAGATCGAGAATCTCGGTATAGGCGAGAAGGGGCTCGGTTTATCATCGACATTGGGTCATCAATGAATCTAAGCCTAACCACGATGGCAACCGGTGTCGTATATTTTCATCGGTTCTACATGTTCCACACCTTTCAAGACTTTTCGCGTTATGTGAGTACCACGCAAAGTAATTGTCCTCCCATGATTCCAACATTTAAACAAAACACATTCTCCCTTGCTTTAGCCGACTGCCTTGGCCTGCCTGTTTCTCGCTGGAAAAGTGGAAGAAACACCAAAAAAATGTAAGGACATGCTGAAAGTTGCCCGTGAGATTATTGGAGACGAGAAAATGGTATCGTTTGGAGGAGATATTCATCACAACAGCGTAAGTGATACATAAACAAGAGCAAGGCACTGATGTCGTAGTTCAAAATATAAAGGAATATTGTGCATTTAGGAGGAAGTAATGACACTTGAGCGGATAATTCTTCAGACAATCAAATTTGATCTCCATGTCGAGCACCCATACACATTTCTACTCAAATATGCAAAGTGTCTGAAAGGAGATAAGACACGTCTGCAGAAAATGGTGCAGATGGCTTGGACATTTGTGAATGACAGGTAATATACAGTTCTCATAAAATTGTTGTGAGTGTTTCACGCACGTTGTTATTTTTCTTTGTTTTTCTTTACGACAGCCTTTGCACGACGCTTTGTCTTCAATGGGAACCTGAAATTGTAGCCATCGCTTTAATGCATCTCGCTGGAAAGTTGAGCAAATTCGAGGTGGTGGATTGGGTTGGTCGAAACTCGGAGCATTATCGGTGGTGGGACATGTTTGTGGACGACATGACAATTGAACTACTAGAAGATATATGTCACCAAGTTCTCGACCTGTACTCTCAGACACAAGGACATTCCCAGACTGACTCTCCCCCTCCAGTCACCAGGATGATGACGAATAATAGTAGTAATAGCAATTCTGCTGCCGGTCCCCCCGGTGTACCACCTTTACCTCCTCAACAATCCAATTCCACTCCGACAACAGGAATAGCACCGCCAATACCTGCTGGTATATTTATTTGTATAAATAACAAAAACTCGTAATATGTTAACAATAAATATTGTCTATTCAAGGTTCGAGAGGATCTACGCCAAATGCTTATCCTCCTCCACCACCACAGCAGCAGCAGCAGCAACCACCACCACCACTCCCACCCGTCGCATCCTACCCACCACCACAAGCGCCGTTCTATGGAGGGATGCCTCCAGGAATGGGAGGGATGACATTGCCACCAGGCTTCAACTACCCTCCGCTACCACCACCACAAGCCGGAGGAGGAGGGCGAGTGCCACAACATCCTCCACTGCCCACTTCATTCCATGCCCCCATTCCACCTCTGCCACAACAGCAGCAACAGTTTTATCCTCCTCACCATCAACCCCCACCACTCCCCACCCAACATCAGCCACCTCCACCTCCTAAGTAATAATTATAGCTGAATGGCCCGACTGCTGTGACTCGATCTGGCCACCATTATTAGTTGGCATAATTACTATAATTTATTAATGTTTAATTACTTGATTACAGTTGTTCTCAAAAATTGGATTCGTATTTAATTGTTTTATGTCTGTGTAGTTAGTAATAATCTTTTTCATGAAAATATACTCCACAGACGCAGAGTACATATTGTTTGTTATTGGTTATTGCTTAAAATTCTAGTATATATCCATTCATACATGTATGTATGCCTGCGTTAGGCACATTATTGTGACCTAGATTATTGCAATTACTAATTTAGTACCCATGTATCCGCCCGTACCTATTACATATTTATAATGTTTCCAGTGTGTGTGTGCACGTAAATATCTACGTACAATATTAACCCCAGAATCGTGTGGTCGTGTGTCGTAATGTAATCAATCTCTGCGAACTGTGCCAGAATAAATGTTGGGGTAAAAAAAGCATAGCCAATCCTACGCGAATAATAATCCTACAAAATATGTAGTATGGGAAAGAGAGAGAGAGAATACATTATGATTATGATTATGGACTACATGGCATTGCTTAATAGTCCAGTCAAGAGAGTCAGGGTCGGTCTCCATTCTCTGACTGAGTTTGCATCATCAACAGCTATGGCAGCCAGGCAAGCGGCTCCACATAGCTCTTCTTTCTGAATACCTGCTTGGTGCTGCGGTATATGGATCCGGATTTCTCCATTTTCTGCGTAGCCGACCTTGATGTATGGCATTATTCTACTGCTGGGTAAGTACATATTTTGGAACAAATGGAGGAATATGTACATACCTGTAACTAGCAAGTACAATGTTGGCGTTATATAGTTATGTGAGTATACGTTCAATCCAGACTTGTGGTTTATTAGTTTGGTTGGGTGGTTGCTTGCGAACGGATGACGAACGCCTATAGATGTGCAAAACCAGCACAGGTGTGCAAATGCGGATACCGAGAGAGAGAGAATGAGATGAATGGCATGGCAGGAGGTGGTGGTGGTGTTTGTTTGTGACACATATATTGTACGAGTACAGGTGTTGCTTTAACTAACTCCAACTGGGTCGTACATATGACATAAGTGAGTTTGAGAGAGTAAATAAGTGGGGTCAGGCTGAGACAGACCAAGGCGAGCGTTCTATCGGGAAAGCATTATACATGGTTCCCCACACTTACATTACATCCCATTTCCCATCATCATCATCATCATCATGCTCCGCGGAATGCGGAACCTTGACCACCTTTGCCTAATTGCAGTAGAGAAACTGGCCAAGAGTTTGCAGCAGTGAGCCAGCCAGCCAGCCAGGAAAATGGGAGATGGTGGAGAAAGAAACTTTTTTGTAGCCTGGCAGCAGCCCAGCAGCAGGAGCAGTGAGAGAGAGGTGGGAAAGCACCACCACCTCCGCAATGCAGACTCTCCGACCATAGACCAGCACGAGAAGCAGGCAGAAGCAGAGTCAGTAGGAGAAAGGCGACGAGATGAAGGCCCAGCTTTCTCCCCCCGCTCCGTCTCTGCCTGCGCTGCCTACGACGACGGACGCCAACCTGCCGTCATTACACCAGCCACACCCACATATAGCACCTCTCCTTCGGCAATACTCCATTCGTATGCATATCCACCCAGCCCGATGCTCTATGCGTACACCTCTACTCCATGTACATGCCTAGGGAGAGCGAGAGTCCTTGTGGCATGTCGATGATGGTGTTGGTGATGACGATGATGATGAGATGACTGAATCCGTGCTTATCATCAACTCGCTATCGTCCTCGCAGTCAAGTAGAAGCTGGAGTTTTGCTGGATGAAGCAATCTCTCTTGCAGCTCATAAGATAAGAATTATGGTGATGGCCGGAGGGTGGACTGGACCATGAGACGGGTACATTGAAGGGCACTCTACTGTGTAGAGAGACTCAACTCGAAGCAGGAACCAAGGGTTGGATGACTTTCATGCAGCATCAGAATCATGAGGAGCACCACATACAAGTGCATCCCCACCCTTTTTTGGTGGGGATGAAAAACTGTGGGTGCTCCTTCCACTGCGGCGACAATCCGTCGTGGTGCAGGGTATATTATTTGCTTGGTGAGATGACGAGTCGCAGTAGTAGCAGCAGAGCAGAGAAAGGGCACCTCTCTCTCTCTCTCTTTCCCAGTACCGACGCCAATGGGATGGAGAAAGCTCTCGCTGCTGGACTGGAAGCCCTGCCTTGTGTCCAGGGATGCCGTGACGAAAATAAATGACAGAGCATGACCACTCTCATGACCTCACAACACTGCAGCGTCCGTCGAAGCTGTGAATGCCCCCGGATTATTTCGCGATGGAGCCGGGACCGGAATCGGGATTGACGCATTGCAGGTAAGACCACAACCAATGAGAGGGCTCGGACTGACACCCGTCAACTAGTTCGTCTTCTCCCACCATGTCCTCCTCCTTCTGATGACCCCACAGCCGACCTGGAGCCTCTGCCCCCATCACCCCACTCTCCACACTGCCTCCCACTCCATCCCCCCCGGGTTGACCTCTCTGTGACCTCCAGTGCCTGCGGAGGAGTCGAGGGCGGGGCGTGGTTTGCATGTTCGGGGCCATGGTGACAGGGTAACAAGTGCTAAGCGAGTAGTAGTAAGGTTTTCTGCATGAAGCACATATTATATCGTGCGGAGTACGGCAGCGAGCTAGCGAGGATTTTGGTGAGGCAAGTGAACTGCAGCAGCGGAGATAGCATACAAACCGGACTACTACACACTCACTCGTTCTCTCGTTCACTCAGACAACTCATCGCAGTCAGAGAGCCAGCAGAAGCAGCAGCAGCAGCAGCAGCCAGCTAGTTCGTGGAAAGCAGGAGACCAATCAAAAAAACACTACAAATTTCGTCGCCGATAACGTAAATTGGAAGAAAAAGAGTCACCTGATCAAGTAGAAAGGAAACGAAATGGTGAGTGGGTGCGGTCTGTCAATTTCACTAAAGTTTCTCCATCTCAACGTGCATTCTCAAAGTGAGAGTTTGACGCATAGTAAATTGTCCGCATGGGTGAGAGAGGTGGTCACCTACGAATCCCATCATCATCTCGACAAGGCAGTGAAAAAGTAGTGTGTGGGGTGGGGATGGTCGTTTCACAGATGGTGAGTGGGTGTGGATGGTCAATCCCACCCCAGGTGCCCTTTAGTGCCTTCCTTGTCGAGTAATTCCTTCTTGGGCGGGGTTGAAAAGAAAGAAGAGGGTTCTCGTCGTCGTCATGATCATCATACATCATCATCGTTATTATTGTATCTCCCCTATTATGTATTCATCACCATTGCCAATGTGGTCCTGGAAGTTGTTCTGACGAGAAGGCGGAACATGATTGCATTCTGACCTTATTGGAGAAAGGGGAGCAGAGTGTTGTTGTGCTGGGGGTGTGGTTGTTGTTACGACCCTTATTCTAATTGTATTGCAGCATCGCAAGTACTGAAACCCACTTGTTGTCTCTTTCTCACTCTTGTAGGCGGATCAACTGACAGAGGAGCAGATAGCAGAGTTTAAAGAGGCCTTCTCCCTCTTCGACAAAGACGGGGACGGCACCATCACCACCAAAGAGTTGGGCACTGTCATGCGCTCACTCGGACAAAACCCCACGGAAGCCGAACTTCAGGACATGATCAATGAGGTTGACGCTGACGGTAAGCCTAACACCACCACAGGAAATAATAATATACCCACCGCTCGCTTTCTCCGTCTCTCTGCTCGACTTTCTCTCCCTCCTTCGCCCTCTCTCCTCCTCCTCCTCTCTGGAAGCATAGCGTATGCACCACTACTATGGGAATACATACTACTAACTACTTTCTCCAAAAGTCATACCTATATGTGTGTAGTAAGTGTAGTCCCTCCTTCCCTTTCTCTTCTCATCATCATGATCCATGTGCTGTGTGTGTGCCCACCCAAGAACATGCATGCTTCTATGCCTTATTGCCCTGCTTTACTTTCCCTTATGTACAATGTATGGCACTCAGTTTTACGTATCGGATAATATTTTATTTTTTCTCTCCATCTCTCGATCCCATACAATTTTAGGAAACGGGACGATTGACTTTCCCGAGTTTCTTACCATGATGGCGCGGAAGATGAAAGACACGGATAGCGAGGAAGAAATTCGAGAAGCGTTCCGCGTCTTTGACAAGGTATAATGTACAAACTTGATATTCGTGTAGAAAGAAATGTCATCATTTACATGAAAATAGACTGATAAGTAGCAAAATTATAATGCTTTGATGATTATTGTAAAAGTAAAAAAAAAAACGAAACTGACTAATCAAAATTTATTTGACAAGGATGGCAACGGTTTCATCTCCGCCGCCGAGCTTCGACATGTAATGACAAACCTCGGAGAAAAATTGACTGATGAAGAAGTCGACGAAATGATCCGGGAAGCAGACATTGATGGGGATGGACAAGTCAATTATGAAGGTAACCTTATCTCTATCTCTTTTGTTCCCTGCGCTTATCATCACCGTAAAAAATCACCAATTACCACCACACCGTTATTCATTTATCCCATCCCGACCTTATCATCTCTATCTCTATTGCTCTCCTTTTTTAGTCAGTCTACTAAAATGGTCACATTCCAACCCTAATCAATACATTATATTTTTTAATTTTATGAATGTACATTCCAACTCGTCATATCGACTTTATTTTATGACCATCGTCATCACCGCCAGCACATTTATCCATAATGTCTTTTCATAATGTGACTTACAATTGCAGAATTCGTAACGATGATGACATCCAAGTGAGCAGATGAAGACAGGGAACTAAGCACTACTACAATCTAATTCAACTACTATTACAACAACAACAACTACAATTGGAGAGCGAGCATTATTACTTTTACTTAAATTGTTAATTAGCCAGAGTCATAATTATGAGGGAAGCAGGAGGAAATGAATGTTTAAAAAAAGTGAAGATCTTCTTCATATGAATATATATCTATATACATGTATCTCTGTGTGTGGATGCGTGTGCGTGTATGTGTGTTGGGGGGCGGGGTGTGTTCCAAACACGAGGACGGGTGATCGACCGACGCATAATAATATTTATCTATCATAATAATAATAATAGTTAATTCTCACCTCCTCTCCTCCGCTATAAATATATGATTTATTAAGGGTAAAACTTATAATAATTACTTGTAACAGAGTAATTGTAGGCTACAGGAAAACCCTACCTCTTCTATCCATATAATAGTATATAATATTATGTTGTTCTGCTATCGTCAAATTGTAAAAAAATTCTTCTTCTTTCTGGGGTAGGAGGAACTATATTATACTTATTGATACTTGTCATTCAGGTCACCCACCAACTGCTGTGTGGTGTGGTGGATTCAATATTGATTGTTGGACAAGTTTATTAAAATAAGCAAACACAGCACTGCGCAGGCATTATTAATTATTTAGTTAATTATTATTGTTAACAATTAAGCGTGGTCAGCTTTAAAAAAACTTCTTTTTCACCCATTTTCCACTTTCTTTTATCTAAAAAGCTTATAATACTGTTGCACACACACAACTAAAACGTACGTATACACACACAACTAAAATGTATAATGAAATTGATGAATGTATAGAATGTTGTTGTATTATATATTCCCCGCAAAACAAGACCACACCCACTGTTTTATTAAGTAAACTTGATATATCATTAATATCAAATGAAAACATAGTATGTCTCTTTTTTTGAGTTGCATGAGTTTCACAACACGTTTGTCGTTGTCTTTATTATAATTATTATTATTATTGATCAATGTTATTGTCAGTACTAATTATAGGCCAATACTATTCCGTCATATGTGTGTTAATAATTTCCACCGTCAAATTGTTCTACAACTTGTCATTGTTACGTACGTGCATATTGCGTGGTATATGTGTAATGCATGCTTAATATACCAAATGTATTTACAGACATTAATTGTACTACTTGTTGTTCTCGATCGTTGTAGAAGTGAGCTGAGTTGGTTGGTTGGTGGGGGTGAGGAGCAGTTTCTCTGTGCTGACACTCTGATTGGGATGACAATTTTGGCCACCCCCACCACTTCCTCACACTCACACCGCTACAACGATTGCTATTCCTCTCTCCTTCCGCGACTCGTGTTGATTCAATTCGTCGTGGTCGTCGCCATCAGTTCAGCTCGCATCGCGTGTCCACTCAATATTTTGTAGTATTATGGATAGGACGACGGATTTGAGTTGATGTAATTTTTCCGAGCACGCGCATAGGAATTTTTTGTTGGTCACGACCTGCATGGCGGCGACACGAACGCAGAAAAATTTCTGAATGTTGCCCACTTACTTATTACCTTCTAGAGATACTCTAATTAGTTACATACAACAATCTAATAATAATATTATTGTATGTATTACATAGGATTTAAAGGTTACACAGTGTTTGATACCTTACTCTACGTCTTTACGATGATAAAGTTATAAAATATGTATCCATTAGGCAGAATAACAGTTAAAAGTGGGGAATATTATTCTGTTCTTGCCGTCGTCATCGTCGTCGCAGCATCTTTTTGAAAAGGGCACGAGCTGGTGGTGGTGGTGAAGAGAAGGTGGGAGGGAGATGATTAGGTGAAAACCAAGTTTGTTAAAATTGTGAGTGATTGATCCAAGTCAAAAATTGATGAAATTGATTATATTATTAGGCAAGTTGAAATATGGATGTGGAGCTGCAAGTGCTCAAATGTGATTCCCGTCTTGTAATAACAAAAAAATAATTGCATATACATGCGGCAACTTATTAAGAAGTTACAGAGGTCGTGTTGTTGTAAGATGATATGGATTATTTACTCTGGGTGGACGAATGGATGTGTTAATTAGCGTGTTGTTCTTATTAAAAACTTTTTGTTCCGTTGCTGCTGCTCCACCCATTATTCCATTATTAAGAAAATCCAACCAGGCGGCAAGAATTTAGAGATGGGGAGCAGAAGGGAAGAAATTTAAGGTCATGGTGGGTGGAGTTTAGGCTAAAAAATGAGAAACAATTCCATTCAAATGTTTGGTTATTATTATTATTATTAATTATTATTATTGCTCCATGTGGGTAACAATTATTATCGTCGTCCTCTGATGACGATGGATGGATGGCATGGCTTTGACTAATAAAAATTTGAAACCCAAAACCTTTGGTGCAGAAAAACTACGAATTGATTAAGCACAAATCTGCAATTTCATGCAACAAGCTTTTACATTACTCGCCATGCTTTCACTTTCAGTCTTTTCATGGAACTCAATGACTTTACCTGGGGCAAAGGAAGACGAGGCCGCGCGAGACTTGAACCAGTCGCGTCGTCTGAAAAATAGTAAAAGTAGATATTTCCGGCCGGCTAACAAAGTTCCAAACTTGGCAAAGATTTTTGACGACTTTTCAGTGAGGAAACCAGTGGGGCACCCCTCTCCATCACAATGGCAACTTTAGCGTAAATAACACAATACTGCATTTTATTTCCTTCCTTTACACCATTATGATTTTTAAATTCTTGTATAGGAAACCAAAATCTGAAATGACACCGGAAGAATTGGCAAAGAGGGAGGAAGAAGAATTTTCCACGGGACCACTTTCCATCCTGACACAGTCTGTTAAGAGCAATACACAGGTGAGTAGTTGAGGTGTCGATGTACAATGATGTTATTTGTAAATGTGTAATATTATGTATGACAATTTTATATAAACTTGATTATTATAAGGTCCTCATTAATTGCCGCAACAATAAAAAGTTGCTGGGCCGTGTCAAAGCGTTTGATCGTCATTGTAACATGGTTCTCGAAAATGTGAAGGAAATGTGGACAGAAGTACCTCGTGCTGGTAAAGGGAAGAAAAAGGTACCTATTAAATTATTAAGATGTGACGCTTGCCTGTAATTAAACAAAATTCATAGTGGCCTCATTCCTAATAAGCCTGTTTTATTGTATCCTGCAGACTAAGGCAGTTAACAAGGACCGCTTTATTTCTAAAATGTTCCTGCGTGGCGATTCCGTTATCCTTGTCCTCAAAAATCCATTGGCTCAGCAGAAGTGATCCATCGCACCACCGTTATGATTATGACCAGCCCTATGAAACGGTGTTCTCCTTGCTACGACGACACATTTTTTACATGGACTACATTTATTTATCTTCGTTCCTGGTTGTTTACTAATAAAACATTATTTTTCATTTCAACGAATCTGGTAAAGATTTATTAAAGGTTTATTCATCTCATCATTACTCCACCATTAACTATTAGACATTTGCATACAAAGTGTGGAAATACAAATAATTTGTAACTAAATTTAAAAGTCGCAGTATCTTTCCAAATTCAGTTCTGGTGCTAATTATTTCGAACAGAAGTAATATAAAAACACATTAAATGATGATGATATAGAGGTTTATTTTAGTTTTCCTGCTCTGCTAATGCAGTCAAGTGACGCTCAACATCTGATTCGGACAAAACTCTACAAAATTCAATAGAGCAATCACTCAGTTGGTTTAAAAATATTCTCAATCGCATATAACTTAATTAAAGGTCTTACCGAAATCCAGGATTCTCCTGCGTTACAATTCCTATTTCCATCTCACTGGGTTTCAAATCGGATGAAAGCACGGTGCACAAGCTTTGGATGGCCAGCTAAGCAACATTAGAGAAAAAGATTGAAAGTATTAGTAGCTACTCATCCACAAATAGTTGGGAGTTTTATTTGATTACCTGAATAGCGCTGTCCACATTGTAGCTATCATTCTTTTTAAACTTTTTCTCCAAAAAGGATAACGCTTCCGTCTGTTTGGCCCCTACAGAGCAAGCCTTGTAGCCACAGTAGTATCCGGCAGGATCAGTTTTATAGACGCACGGTGCTTTGGTCTCATCATCAATTCCTATCATCATCATGGAGCAGCCAAGTGGACGCATTTCCGCATTTTGCGTATAGATCTGGCAAATGTCTGCAATCCGACGGCACAACATGTGAATCGGAATGTCATAACCAAACTTGTACTTCCAGTTCGCTGCTTCATATCGCGCACGCTGAACTTGAGAACGACTATCAGCTAAAAAAACAACCAGTATTTTCAGGTTCTTTTCTACAATCAAGTACAGGCGGAAATTAAAGTAATAAAATGTATTCTATTTATACCACTCATTCCAGTCATAACGCAGCCAATAGAGTTGGTCAGTTTGAAGAGATGCGTCATTGTAGATGGGTCCAACAACTTGTCCTAAAGTACAAAAGAAAACAGGATGCATTCTGATTCATAAATATTGAACGGAACGCGAACAAGGAACCAACGTAAATTGCAACCAAGGGTGTTCGCTGCTATGTCTCTCCGCTGCGAAACGCAGCCAGGTTGCCGTACCGGAACTATGAACTTGGCCCCTTGCCGGGGCAAAATTCATAATTTTGGCTGTAGGCACCTGTCTCTGGCTTAATTGACAATTCTTAATAAAATAATACAACTTTGTAGTGTTTAAAAAGTATAAACTTCGAATTTAAGAACAATTTTTTTAATTCGAAAAAAATATTTAAAAAAAAAATAGCAGTTAGTGTTTAAAAATATGTTTTAAACACTACAAAATTGTATTATTTTATTAAGAATTGTCAATTAAGCCAGAGACAGGTGCCTACAGCCAAAATTATGAATTTTGCCCGGCGAGGGTTCAAGTTCATAGTTCCGGTACGGCAACTTTGGCTGCGTTTCGCAACGGAGAGACATACCAGCGTACACCCATGGATGTATAAGGATGAAGCGACGAGAGCTCTTTGTTAATAGAGTAAGGGGGATAACTTCAGGCCCGTGCCTGAGTGGTGGCGACTGTGTCCTATAGAAACTGATATAGCGAACTTGCACGCCACATATAGGACACAGGCCTTCTTTTCATCCAGCCTCAAATTGTGTCTCAGGTTCTGTGGTAGTTATTATTTTCTCTGTCAGAGCGCTCCCCTTCACTCGTTTTTATCGAGTGTCCAATTTAACTATGGTGTTACGAGGCATTGCGTACACCCTTGATTGCAACCACATTTACCGGAACTTTCTTTTGGGTGGCGACAACAGCGCAATCATTCCCTTTCAGAGCAACGGACGTCACTCCACCTTGATTGATGGCCTTGAAGGCATACTCTGTAAAAATAATCATTCGAAAAATCAGAAAACCTGCCAAGCACCACTGATTACAAGCAAGCAATAGTACATATATAACTTGATTTCCTTACCGACTTGGTAGAGCCGACCTTCTGGCGAAAATATGGTAATGTGCCTGTCGAAACCTGCACTGCTCCCTCGCGACATGACTTTAGAACCTTTCTACTTGCTGATGACGACTTGGTGGATTCGACGAGAAGACTGGAAAAATTCTGCTGGGCAACTAAAATCGAAGACGGCTTTTTGCTGAGATGACTGAGCAAATTGAGAGGAGACAAACAGCGCTCTGTCCAAATCATTATTGTTTTGTGCCCAAGTCGAGCGAATCTCACACGGCCCCGTTCGCTCGCATCCAATGTCATTAAAACTTTAATTTACATTTAATTAATTCAAATACGTAAATTAATATTCAGTTGACAGAGTTCCTTCCATCCATCCATCCATCCACCCACTGCGCCACCCAAGTCGCACAATATTTTTGTATCTGAGAATGAAGCATGGACGAGAAGGAGGACGGCACCACCATCCCCACTAAAAAAAGGAAAATGGTGAATAAGGAATTATTTAGTTAGGAAATGTTCAACAAAAAACTTAAGCCATTGGGGAAATACTATGAGGTATGCAAACATGGTGCCCGAAATTTATTTAGGGTTCGGACTTATTCATATGTGTGGGTTGTTTGTTATTTAGGATATTACGCCAACTCTGTCGCCACCCAAAGAAATGGCCCATACGACACGTCTTCCAAGTTTTCTTCGTCGCCATTCTGTCGGTTTCTCTCTTTGTCGCTGTGCTCCTCTACCTCTTTTCTCGCCCGGGCCACGGCGGCCGTGGCGACTTTACTCACGAGCTTCTACTTCGTCACGAAGCATCTCAAAATCACCACTACAGTCAAACATCGGGCGATGGCAGGCCCAACAGTAAGGACAGCAAGAAAAAGAAGCCCTTTTTCCGCCTCCTTCCCTGGGACGCGACACCCACTCAGAGCCTTCTCTCCTCCACCCACAACAACTGGTCGAGTACGGGGACGCCCAAGTGTTCCCTCTTTACGTGCCTCGATATTCATCGGTGTGGGTCTCATGGCCACTCCCTCTCCCTCTATCTTTACCCCCTGAGGAGGTGGGAGGTAGACGGAGTAGCACTCCCACCTCCCTCCAAACAGGTTGGATTCGATAATACCTTACTCAAAATCTGATACTGGCAAAGCTGGCTCTAATGAGTCCACTAGATGAGGCCTAATACATCTTATTCTGTTTCTATTTTGGTTTTTATGATACACTTGCGTGAATAATCATGGTTTATTTATTGTAAATGCCAGTTCCTCCAAATCGTGAACACTTTGAGGAGGTCAACCTATTGGGTGACAGATCCAAAAGACGCCTGCATCCTCATTCCTACCCTCGACACGCTCTATATGACCGAGGAGTCGACTCTCACAATGATGAGAGTGTTGAGTTCACTACCTCAGTAAGAAATACTAATGTCCCCATCATTAATAATACTTTAATTCCGTTGTTTATTACAAAATCTCTTGCGTACCTTAATTTGATTAGCTGGGGACAAAATGGGAAGAACCATTTGATCTTCACCTTCTCATCTAGTGGACATACGGCGTTTTTGTCATCGGAAGCTATCGTGGCGTCTGTGGAATTTCCAGTCTCCTTGTATCAACCAGGATTCAACATTCCGCTTATCCTTCCGAATCCTTTGTTGTCCGACAATCCGAAACTTAGTATTAAAAACGATGACAATATTTCCAACAGGCAACAAACGAAAATTGACAGCGAGATTGTAAAAAGGCGCAAGAATCAAGACCAATGGTTCCGGTAATTAAACTAAAAAACCTACAGTGCAGACTCCATATAGCCCCGAGTCAGGGACATGGTCCCTGACTCAATAAGTCAGAGCCCGCTTCTAATTTTTTTCCGAATTGACCGACATAATATCACCAACTTCCGCGTTGTGGATGGTTAAAAGTTTGTTAGATATAGTTTCTACCATTTGGTACCAAATTTTTGAATTAGTTACAAATCATGTGCCTTGACCACCATGACCAGTGGGCTTCTTTAACATCCTGAAGTTCTAAGCTGTATGCTTGTGCTATCTAGCAGTGGTTTTCACTTTTTCAACCTCCATATCAAATTTCAGTTCGATATAACGATTTTGAAAAATCAGTATGGGTCACCCTATGGGGTCACTCTGGTTGAACTTTGCTCACTTTTAACTTCATATTCTTTAATTAGAAGCCATTAAGTATCATTGTGCCGGATTTCATCTTTTTAAAGCAATTTCTAAAAATCGGTATGGGTCACCCCATAAGGTCTCTTCAGATAAAAATTTGACCAATATCATATCATATTCTTTCATTAAAACCCATAAGCAACCTCTCCACCAAATTTCAGTTCGATATGATGATTTTTAAAAATCGGTATGGGTCACCCCATAAGGTCACTCAAGATGAAAATTTTTCCAACTTGAAGTCATTTTTATCTGGTAGAAGCCATTAGCAACCTCTGTACCAAATTTCAACTCTCTACAACAATTTTGAAATTTTGGTGCATACTACCCACCCACTCCAATGACCCCCACCGGTCAACCACTGGACCAATTTCGCCCATCTTCGAACTCGTTTCCTAACTTTGTCTAATATGCGTATGGTAAAAATTTCAAGTCAATCGGTTCAGCCGTTTTGGCTCTATCGTGCCGGACAGACAGACGGACGGACGGACATGACGGTTCCATAAGCCCTGACTCGGGCTAAAAATGAATGTTTTACGAATTATGAATATAAAATATTATCTGAATTAATTTATTTAGAGACCGAAAATTTGTGGCCATCAGCACAACACATTTGCCTTTTTTCCTTCTGGAAGACCCCGGAAGCATTTTAGTGCTGGACGTTTGCAAGGGAAGACCATTGATAAGCTACTGGGAACGGTGCAGCGTTACGGAGGGAAAACTTCGTATTTTCTCTTATCCTCAAGTTCTTCAGGTATTAAGTAGTCAAGTCACTTTTAATACACTTTCACTTCACATAAATACCATCGCCTAATGCCTTCCTAACTGTCTTTAGCAAACCGATTTTTGCATAATTTACCGTAATTTGGGTGGACCCCTTCTCTGGGATGTAATGAGTGTGGGCTGCATTCCTGTAATTTTGGCCGATTTTCAACGTCTCCCTTTCGACGATGTGTTAGACTGGAGCAGGTACTTACTTATTAAGCCAAGATAACTTTTATGCTACCTGATTTTCATTTATCACGAATTTATTCTATTATAACAGAATGGCGATCCTAGTCTATGAGCAAGACCTTGATGAACTCTCATCCATCCTTCGTGGTGTTTCTGAACGACGAAAGCTACGACTCAAAGCTCAAGTGAAACTAATTTTCACTCAATATTTCGAAAATATGGGTCGTATAACGGAAACTGTGCTGGAGGTATTGCAGGATCGCATTTTTAGTCACCAGGCCCGTCCCATCCATGCATGGAATCACCACCCCACTCTGGTAACGAACCAAAATATACATAATTACTAAAGGCTGTCTCATATGTTGTGTATTAATTTTTCGACAGGATCTGGTGGAGCAGCCCCTTTTCAATCCAGCCAGCTCTCCGGGCGAGGTTGGTTTTACTGCTGTGATATTAGGTTAGTCATTTGAGATTGATATGGGCTTTGAGGTTACAGTTTTGAGTTTGCTATACATATTAACATTTAATATAACTTGATTTATTCCCAAAGCTTATGAACGAGTGCCTAGTTTATTTCAAGTCATCTCTCGTCTGGACAAAGTTCCCTCCTTGGCCAAAATTATTGTGGTGTGGAACAATCAGAAGAAACGTCCGCCGGCATGTAAAGTGAACAGACTAATTTTAATTTCTTCAAATGGAGATACCTGAATACATTGATCTAACAATGAGTGTTTATTTTGGATATTTCTCAGACTCTTCGTGGCCGGTTACCTCAAAAGCTATAAAAGTTGTGCAAATGACATCCAACAAAATGTCTAATCGTTTCTTCCCCTTTGACGAGATTGAGACTGAAGCCGTATTTTCTTTGGACGATGATATCGTCATGCTCACCACCGATGAAGTCGAATTTGGTTTTCAGGTTTGCAGGGTTTCTTACTAACCTTTGGTAGTATATAGGATTTGGCAGATTAGGATGCATTTAATAAAAATCATCCTTATTTTTTGTTCTTCAGACATGGCGAGAATTTCCTGAACGGATCGTAGGATTCCCATCGCGAACCCACATCTGGGACAATACCACGAAGCGATGGCGTTACGAATCTGAGTGGATGAATCAAGTGTCTATGGTCCTCACTGGAGCAGCTTTTTATCATAAAGTGAGAACACCATATAGATTGTTGAATATTTGCTCTGATATCTATGTTTATTTTATTATTATGTGCTTGTATATGTGCAGTACTGGCACCACGCATTCACACACGAGATGCCTGCCACCATTCGAAACATTGTGGACGACACGATGAACTGTGAAGATATTGCGATAAATTTCCTCGTCGCAGCTACCACGGGGCAGCCTCCCATCAAAGTCTGGTTTACATTTTGTCATACAAATAGTTTTGCAGGAAGAGGAGATTAATCATGACCTGGATCTTTTTGTATAGGTGACGCCCCGAAAAAAGTTCAAATGCCCCACGTGCTCCAATAATGAAATGCTCTCCTCGGATTCCAGCCACATGATTGAACGGACCCAGTGTGTGAATCGGTTTGCAGAAATTTACGGTTTCATGCCCCTTCTCGGAGCAGAGTGGAGGGCGGACCCAGTCCTCTACAGAAATCAGGATGCTGCCCTTTCTCTCAAACTCAAAAAGTATAAGGATGTTGGATCACTTTAATAGAAAATGGGGAGAAAACAAAGAAGGTGACTAAACTCAGCATCCTCTTCTCCCTAGTCTCCACCCTCCACTCGATTGTCGAATTGCCGCCCAAGTGCCATCAGGAATCAGGCCACACGGATTATGTTTAGATTTAGACTAGGTCATCTGCCATGGTGGCTTTTATCATTCTCACAATCACCAGTGCTATATATATACAAAGTAAGCAATACCACGTCTGATGAAACTGAATAATTTGAGACTTGAGTATGCATAGATGTATGTACGTGTGTATTTTGTATTTGATTCCTTTTCCACTTTTTTTCACGAAATGTTGTGCCGTGCCGTAAGTTTTTTGACATTTCCTACTTTTGATACCTAACCGAGTCATTTTGTTTCTTAGTATTATATGTGGAATAATTTAATTATTATAAGTATGACAATCTCGAGAGCTATTTATTACTATTGTTTAGTATAGTTAGTAGTCAGACAGGAGAAGTGGAAATGTTCATCCACTCTCATTTTCGTTATAAATACGAGCCATATCCCACCGGAGAATAAACATGTATTGAAAATAAACATAATATGTACTGATAACATGCAAGCACAGTAAAAATTAAAAATGACATCAAAGGCAGTAATATGTCGTCAATCGGTATCGAGATTTTCTAGCGTCATATTGCCCCCGATATTCTCCAGGCCTCTATCGCACGGCATCCAACTTGCTCTATAGTCTATCTATAGGCTCTGCTGCTTGCTGCTGCTGGATGGATGGAGGAAGTACAGTTTGGTGACAATTAAAATTTACTCCACCATCAAGAAGAATAACACCCATCATCACCACAACAAGCAGTATGCGTGCCGCTACCCGTCTTCTCCTCCCATGGTCATCAAGACTATCGTACACTGCTCGGAAAGGAATTCACACGTCGCCACAAGTAATATATTTTTTCTGTATTCGTTTGTTCGAAAAAAAAACTAGGAGCCACAATCTAATTTTTCCATTTGGTTGGGTGGAGTTCAGATTTTGAGTAAAGATGAGCGCCCCCAATTCCCCGGAGCGAAAGCAAACTGGACGGAAAAGCTAGAATTTGTCAAGTCTGACCTCTACGATGGCATCCCGGTTTATCGGGTCATGGATCGGGATGGGAAAGTGATGCGCCCAGATCAGGACCCAAAGGTGAATAAATCTTATCTTTCATAGTTAAATAACTCCTTCAGATCTGAGTCCTATCCTATCATTCATTGGTGTAAACACTTTTATGTTTGTCACAATAATAACAGCTGCCCAAAGACAAACTGATCCACATGTACCAGTCCATGACTCTTCTCAACTCCATGGACAAGATTCTCTACGAATCTCAACGCCAGGTTAATTAATTTACCCACGTCTGGAACCATAATTATCAATTTTGGTTGAATTTTGGTTGCATTTTGATTGAAAGGGCAGGATATCTTTCTACATGACCAACTACGGGGAGGAAGGTACGCATATCGGCTCGGCAGCTGCCCTCGAGCCGGACGACTTGGTGTACGGGCAGTATCGTGAAGCGGGCGTCCTCATGTACCGCGGCTTCCCTCTGGACCAATTCATGAACCAGTGTTACGGGAATGAGTTGGATGTCGGGAAAGGGAGACAGATGCCCGTCCACTATGGGAGCAAGGATCTCCGTTTCGTCACAATTTCCTCTCCCCTCGGCACCCAGATTCCACAAGGTATCAAAAAATTGTATATATGTAATGAGGCTACGGCTGAGGTTACTAAAAACTTTGAGTGGCCTGGAACTAAACTAAATTGTAGCTTTAATTGCATACAAAGGTTAGATTATATATACTAATTGATTGTCCATGTTTTTCTAGCCGTGGGTTCTGCATATGCTTTCAAACAACAGCAAAAGGGACTCTGCGTAATTTGCTACTTTGGTGAGGGTGCAGCCAGTGAAGGTGATGCTCACGCAGCCTTCAATTTTTCTGCCACTCTGGAGTGTCCCATCATTTTCTTTTGGTACAAATTTTAAAATATTTGTTATTGTATAAGCGTTATTCCAAATATTTCATTCCACATATGGATATTACAGCAGAAACAATGGGTATGCCATCTCTACTCCCACTCATGAGCAGTATAGAGGGGACGGAATTGCTGGGCGAGGTATACTACCCTCCTCCTTATGAGTAAATACTAATTTTCATCCAACATTATATTGGTTAGGTCCTGCCTACGGGATTCAATCAATTCGAGTGGATGGGAATGACACGCTGGCCGTGTACAACGCAACCCGCGCCGCCAGGGAAATTTGTATCCGTGAGAATCGACCAATCTTGGTAGAAGCCATGACGTACAGGATTGGTCATCATTCCACGTCCGACGACTCCAGCGCCTACCGTTCTGTGGACGAAGTTCGCTTTTGGGACTCGACCGATCATCCAATCTCGAGACTACGCAAGTACCTTGTTCACAATAGTTGGTGGGACGATGCAGCTGAGGCGGACTGGAAAAAAAAGTCCAAAACGATGGTATGCTTCAATTTTGACTGGTTCATACTCCTTTAAGGTGTAAGTGTGACGTGTGTGATGACATGATTTACTTTCCAACATCAACAGGTCATGCAGGCATTTGCAAATGCGGAAAAGAAGCTAAAACCAGACTGGAGACTTATGTTCACGGACGTTTATGAAAAGATGACGCCCGGGCTGAAGGAACAGATGAAGGAGATGGAGGACCACCTGGTCAAATACGGGGATCACTACCCACTCAAAAACTATGCCAAAGCTAACACCCCGTTGGAGTGAATCTCGACAATGACCTCTCTCTCTCTCTTACCCTCGCTTCCTCGAGTGCAACAATCACGGTCAAGACGAGATAACCATTTATTTTCGTACAGCTTAAAACTAATATTTAGTAGTAGAGATGACGTATACATAGACTTTTAACTAAATATTAGGACAGTCAAAGCAATGAAAAAATAAATAAAATAACGCATGCCACAAGGATCGATGTCTGCATGTCCAGCGGTATTTTCTCAACACTGCAGAATAGAGATAAAACAAACTTGGTGTGAGTAAAATAGTGCTAAAGCTACGAGAATCAGTCACAATAGTGAGTCTTATCTTCGTTTTAATTCGTGAAATTCAAAGTTTTTTCTACGTATTTCCTTTATATGTATGATCGCATGAATCTCTTTGTACTGACAACGCTTCGGCGTAATATAAATTATGTAGTTATTGCAACTCTGTGTTGTTTGCTTCTGAGTTTCTTAGGAGGATTTCCACTATTATGGGCCAACAACACTGTTTGATTAATTAGTTCCGGCTATAGATATTACTGCGGAATTATAATCATATAATACTCATCATAATTTGGTTAGTAAACTCTGAAAATCGAATACAAGACCATCAGGTGCAGGCACAAATGTTTCAATTATTAATGAGGGACGGTGTGATTCTGCATAAGAGATTCGTAATTTGTAATTTGTTGCGTGGTGCACCGCCAACACAGCATATTTTACATACGCTAGCAGCGACCGAGCACGAACACGGGCAGGAAATAGCCCGTACTTTGATGTTTATCTAGTACTACAAAACTGCGATGATCTGGATTGCCTTTCTTTCGACTAACCTGGTGACTCACTTTTTCTCCTTATTATTCTCGGAATATAGGATGTACGAAAATCTTTCTTCGTTTAATTGCGACAAGGATGACACAACACCAGCAACAACAACGCATTATTATAGAAGTATCCACGGGCCGATTTACATTCGACTCAATATGCTCCACTTTGGATAGTGAAGTATGTAACAGTCTAGTCTGGAGCTAATTAGTTTACGAGTACATGATCATGCCCCCATCCTTTGTCACGTATAAATTACCAATCTCTCTCTGTAAAATTACTGCGACTCGCTACAACGACTAATAATCTCTCCATTTCTCCATCAACATGATTACGAGCTTCATCTTTCTCCTAGTTGTCCTCCTAATGGAAGGGCCCCCCACAACCACTGCTGCGAGTAGTAGTGGTTTGTACGCTTGGGGTCCAACTGCGGGGGACTCACAACTACTTCCGGCTCCTACTCCTGGCGATCCACTGACATCCCTGCAACTAAATTTCTCCCTTGCCACTGGTTTCACCATCTTTGGAGGGACTCACACTTCACTCCACCTCAACAAACAGGGCATCATTGTTTTCAATAATGGGGGTCAACTGCCCTACCTTTCACCCCAAAGCATCACCCAGGACCCTTTAGCCGGAGGTCCCCCAACGGTGTTCCCCCTGTTGGGAGAGGTGGATCCATACAAAGGGGTCATGCACTATCGTCAGACGACGAACCGCTCACTCCTCCTGGAAGTGACGCGGGACGTGAAAACTGCGTTCCCTTCCCTCAAAGATGTGGGAATGGACTGGGCGTTGGTGGTAACGTGGGAGGGGCTGACCTTTTGGGAACCACCCTATTATCAGAATCCCAACTGCACCTGCCTCCCCAAACTCAACACCTTCCAAGCCGTGCTGACCACTTCGGGCAGTCGTTCTTTCGTCCTCTTCAACTATGACCTAGTTACTTGGCCCAAAAATCCATGGTCAGACTGGGAGGGGATTAATTACCTCAAGTCATCCAGGTGCTCCTCCACCACCGTTCCACTTGCGGGGGACATGACCAGTGTCGCCGGAATCAGCTTTCCTAACACCAGTTCGTCAGAGCCGTCGTCATCCATCTTCACCCTTCCAGTCTCCATTTTTAATCTGACGGAGAGGTCAAATATCTTTCCGGAAGTGAAGGGACGCTGGGTTTTCCGAGTGGATGACCAGCTCCGATCAAGTGCATGCAATTTTGCAGATAACGACATTGAACAGATTCGAGTTGATCCGGCAGTCGTCTGCCAGTTGGGTAAGCAGGCACGGTTCGAGTGAGATTGAAATATGTACATGACAATGATGATTATGTATGTGTTTCCCAGGTCATATGCCCTTGCGAGTTCGGGGACCATGTCTTCGGAACGTGTCCAATGTTGAGTGTCGCTTCTACGACCCTTCTTTTTCTGCTCAGAGTGGCACCCCTTTCGCCACCACAGTCGGAGTGGTGGAGCCCGACTTGTCCCACGTCGTCTGTCAAGCTCCCCTTTTTCCCACCGCTTATTCTCGTGTGGTAGTAGAACTGACTTTCACGAGGACACGCAGGGGGGCTGACGGATTGGATGTTCGAGAGGATCGCAGCTACAAGGGCCAAGTTTTCCCATACCCACCCAACGCTGTTCCCACAGGGTGAGTAGACTACTCGTTTTCTTGGGTTTAGTCTCAAAGCGTTTAATTCATTCAATATTTAATTGCAGACGTCGCTTAAACCTCCATTTTCACCCCGACGGTGAAGTGCACTTGACTTGGAACCCTACTGTATTTGCCGCCCCTCTGCCATCCCCGTCTGCCTCCACTGCTTCGCCATCCGAAATTCTACTGCAGCTCATCCTCGTCGTCCTCGATTTATCCTCATCCACCATTCCCCGACAGCGACAGCATCAACAGATAGCAGAAACTCTGGTCACGAGCAGCGTGTTCAACAGCGGGTCCTTCACCTGGCCCCTGGGAGTGAACAGTGGTCTCTTTCGTAGCCCCAAAGTTGGTTATTTTGCATACCTCACTCCAGTGGAGGACCAGTCCCCTTCCGTCTATCTCCACTCGGACATCATCTACACCAACATATCATCTACGAGGGAAACTTATGCCGCGCTCTGTGAGGACTGGCACTTGAAGGACACTGGTATGGGAGACATAGATAACCTCGCCCCTTGCCCACCGCTTCTCGATCAAACCACATTCGACTGGAACTTTCTGCAGGAACCTTCAACCACCGGAGGAGGACATCAGACGACCGGGGATCGAGGGCAATTGGTGTCCTACAGACAACGTGTTCCCACTCCGGGGGGAAGTTGTCAACGGTGTGTCTACTCGGAAATGGACGGTCGTCTCGTCCTGGACTCTCCTGCAGCAGCCACTGCTTATCTCGAGTGCTCGGACCGCTACATGGCCCACCAGCTGCGAGACCTACTTCCACGCCACTGGTGTCTCTCTGCTTCATCCCCAGAAGCCTGGGCCAAATATGCTGAGCGAAGAACGAGTCGCTCCAGCCTAGGTCTGGGCTATGTTTCCCCACGGCTGTCCTTCTGGAGGGGTGATCCCCATCTAACCACGTGGGACAATCTAACCTACACTTTCAACGGAGTCGGAGAGTTCTGGCTGGTCAGCAGCATCGACTTTGTGGTTCAGGCCAGGATGAGCCAGTTTCAGAAGCAAAATGCCTCCGTCTTCACTGCCTTTGCTATCAGACAGAGAAATCCCCTGGCATCCGTCCAGGTATGACGGATCTCATTTGCATATGTGTGAGGAGGGTCTACAGTGAATGCATTACTTGCTTAATTGCTTATGTATACATGTGCAGGTATCTTTGGGTGGGACAGGGCTCAGACTATGGGTGAATGGAGAGGAAGTTGACCCCCCACCATCCAACGGTGCCTCTCTGCCCATCATCATCAACACAATTGGGGTGTCCGTGGCCCTGCACAAAATGGGGATGGAGCTAGAGCGAGTCACACTATCCTTCTCAACTGGGTTCACCTTTGACATTGCTGGTGTTGAGGGGGCAGACGCCTTGAATGTCGCCGCATCCGTCTCAGCATCACTCAAGAACAAGAGTTTATTGACTGGGCTATTGGGTGACTTTGACGGGAATCCAGGAAATGATTTCAAGTTGCTAACCGGAGGTACGGTTCTGAACACTGCATCGCCCAGCCTGACTCAGGTGCATCAGTGGGGACTTCAGTGGAGGACGACCCCAGGAGAAAGTCTATTCCTCTACCAAGGCGGACGAACTCACTCGTGAGTCAAAAATTTAACAAATAATATTATGTATATCATACCATCAGTATCAGATATGCATATGTAAGACTCATGAATAAATGATGTAAATTATGGCAGGGATTTCCAAAATGTCAACTTCCTCCCAAATCTGAAGGAACCAAATGTGTCAGCTATTCCAAAGAAGGTGTTGGAAACTTGTGGAGGTTTACGTGAATGTCTCTTTGATTTTGGGACGACGGGAAGCGTAGCGTTGGCGAAAGCCACGAAGGACATTGCAGTAGCTGTGGAGGAAATGGACCAGATTTTCAAGAAGAAACCGCCCGTCCCCTGCAACCACCCGCATTGTGTCGATGTGACAACTTACACCCCACGAATAACCACGATCCGAATGACAACCTCGGACTCGCACAATAATGGACCGTCAACCACCACCAAAAAGTCCACGAGTGGAGGAGCCAAAGCTACTTTGACATTATTCAGCATTCAAGTTGGAACAATGTTCATTTCTATTGTTGTTCTTTTATCATTGTAAAATAATTCATTTTTGACCATCATCCATCATATATTTATCGACAATAAAATTTATTTATCTAAACATGACAGATATAAAACATCTCATCCGTGCTTATGGTATCACTAATCTTTATTAATCGATCGCTCTATCTTTAGCTAAAATTACGATTAGTAGCACGATTTTCCAAAGTGGCGAAACTAAATTAATATATATCAAGTAATATGCATTTCTAGTGGTGCACTATCAATCTTCGTGACTTTGCAGTCCATGTTTTGTGTCTTTATCAATCAAACAGAATGCTGTTGTTCTTGTTGAAGCCGCTTGGCCTCTAATTTTGGAGATAGATTCCTCTCAAATATAGATTTGGGGACAAACTTGCGTTCGTGGAGCGTTTCGACGAGGGGGGACCCATTGTTCCCAAGTTCTTGGAGTTGTCGGTCTTCCCTCTGTTCCTCGATGGAGGGTTTGTACGGCGTATACTTGTCGCTTAGGATGGCCTCCAAGTTGTACCCAATGAGGCCGATGACCGCGGAGACCGGAAGCAAAATGATGGGAGCGTAGGACCGAAGCATGGCCCACACGACCGGCAACATGGTGACAAATTCTTCAAATAAAAAAGAGAGCAAATATAAAGCACGTATCTTCTGAGAAGATTCTTCTCCACAACTAAAATTGATAAAAATCTACGCAGCACAATAGCTCATCGTAATAATAACTATGTAGCTGCTATTAATGTATAGTTTGATTATATTTATAGTAAATATTAATATACAGTACCTGTTGCAGCGACGACCCTCCACAGGATTAGGATTTGTTATTCAATAGTTGAATCTGATTCTGAACCCATCAAAGTACAACATTTCAGCATTTTACAATGACAGCCGCCTCGATCAGCTCGAATCGAATCGCACAATCTCGGTGTGCAAACTCAATGCAGCAGATTCGACTACGGTATTCAACCATTATACCTTATTTGACAAAGGTCAGCAACTTCAGCATTGATAATTCCACCCCACCCCCACTCCACCCTTTTGTGTGGACACAACACACAACAGGAATAAAAACCTACAGTGCAGACTCCGAGTCAGGGGCAGAGTCCCTGACTCGGTAAGTCAGAGCCCGCTTCTAAATTTGTCTCCGTAATTATTAACCGACATAATATTACCAACCTTCGTGTTGTGGATGGTTAAATCTTTGTTAGATGTTTTCAACTATTTGGCACCAAATTTTTGAAGTACTCACAAATCTTGTCCCTTTCTACCATGACCAGTGGACTTTTTGAACTTCTAAAGCTACATATATGTGCTTTCCAGAAGTGGTTTTTAGCCTCCATAACAAATTTCGGATGAAAATAACAACTCTTAAAAACGGCATGGGTGGGTCATTCTGGTAGTCTGGTTTTGCTCACTTTTACTTTCTTTCATTATGAAAGTTTCATGAGAAGCCATTAAGTTTCACCGTGTTGGATTTCATCAGCAATTTCAAAAGCAATTTCTACAAATCGATATGGGTCAGGGTCATTCTAGATAACAATTTTCCCAATTTGGTTTTATATTCTTCCGTAACGACCCACCCATAAGCAACCTCTCTACCAAATTTCAGCTCGATATGACGATTTTCAAAAATTTCGTGGGGGTCACCCATAGGACCCCTCAAGATGAAAATTTTTCAAACCTTTCATTTTGTATTTAAATTAGGAGCCATTAGGAACCTCTATCAAATTTTAGCTGCCTACGACAATTTTGAAATTTTGGTGCATATAATACCCCACCCACTCCGATGACCCCCACCGGTCAACCACTTGACCGATTTCGCTCATCTTCGAACTCGATTCCTAACTTTGTCTAATATGCACATGGTATTTCAAGTCAATCGGTTCAGCGGTTTTGTCTCTATATCGTGTTTACGGACGGACGGACATGACGGTTCCATAAGCCCTAACTCGGACTAAAAATTATTATTAAAATGCGTTTGGGCTGTACTATTTGAGGACAATTTTTACTTGATTTTATTCATAATTGCGGACTTTCGACCGCTTACAGTAGGTCATATGAGGCATAAATTAAAATTATGATTTTATTTGCTTAATTAATCTTTACAGATTTATTAGTTTAAAACTACCATGTATTTTTAATGACTTTGTGACAAATTACTGTAAATAAAACATAATTGTACAAATGAACCCTTAATTTCAGCATGAAAATTAGCTTGCGTTAGTGAATCAGTTACCAGGGCCAGCACGGAGAATGGCAGTCTTTAATATAAATCTCCATCTCCCCAGTTGCTACTTGCATCAGAGCCGTGTAGGTCGTCAATTTGTTAAATACTGGTCTGGTGGACAGGACGTTGTACAAACTACTGAACCCCACCTCCTTGGGTCCAAATTTGTCCATGCAGGTTATTGCAGGTTTGCGACGATCATCCCAAAAAGGGGGTTCCTTCCAGTGATCGTAGTTCGTTTGAACCAGGTACCAATTGCTGCTGCTGTTTTTCTGACCCCCACCATTGCCTAAGCCCAATGACAACACGTCCGCTTTCCTCTGACCTCTCGTAATCACGCACGCCTGGCCTGGCCTCACCCCACCCAGAATGTAGTAGGCAGGTGCGAGGAGGGCCGATTTGGTCAGAAGGGCCTTCGCTTCTTCGTAACTCGTGGCATTCTCCATCACTTCCCTCGTGAGGAAACCTAGCCATTTGATGTCCTTTTTTCCCAAGATCCACTCCAACACCCCGAAGAAGCCACCCTTAATATTGAATCGCTCATTAATGGTAAGGCTGAAGGCGTCCTGAACAGAAGACATGTGTCATAAATATGGAATCCCTCTGTATTTGTGCTTATATACATATTGTGCATTGATCATGTATTGTGTACCTTTTTGAGTCCGGTGAGGATGCCAATATAGCCAGCAAAGTTGACAGACTGGAAGATGGTCCGGTTTCCTCGGGTGAAGGTGAGCTTAATGACGAGTGGTCGCAAGAACTCGGTCGTGAGCCAGGTCTGGTTCTTGGCGTCCCAACCGAGAAAGAGGCCAAAGTCGAGGTTGCGTGCGTGAAAGAGAAGGTCATTTGCAGTGTCTTGCGCCAGGATGGAGGTGCAGACGGTGAAGAGCTCGTAGAAAACGTTGTAGAGGACGAGCTCGCCAAAAGGAATGCCGCTGATCTCACTCATCCCCCGCATTTCGTCCCGAAACGGGGGTGGCAACGTGCGCCCCAGGAGCGGCATTAGAGCGTCCACGTATGAGAACAGCTCCCCACCAAACAGCGACAAGGTGTAGTTCTTGAGGTTGTTCAGCATGGCGGAGACCTGGAAAAGTAGTCAATTAGATATCATGCAGACACTAGTGCACTGCACTCTATCAATTTCACAATAATAAAGGCTATGTTAACTTACAAGCATTCCCTTCTCCTCTGCAACCTGAACCCACCTGTATTAATCTCAATTATTAAGTAGCGCAAGCTACTTTATGCGATGACTTAGTTAGTCTGTCTGTCTGTCCGTCTGTCTGTCTGTCTGTCAACACGGTAAAAGGAGAACGGATCGAGATAATCGAAATCGGTTTTCGCCATCATACGTATGACCCTAGGGGGAGGATCCCCTAAGCTTTTGGGGGCGGCCGGACCACACCCCCCGGGCGCCAGTGGGTGTGGTTGGGGCAAAATGAGATTTTTACAAAAATTGAATCTATGTATGAAGGGCAGTTAAATTAAGTGTTCCCAAGTTGTGCCACACCCCCTCGCGCCCAGTGGGTGTGGTTGGTGCGCAGTGGGTGTGGTTGGGGCAAAATGAGATTTTTACAAAAATTGAATCTATGGATAAAGTAGAGTGGAATTAAGTGTCCCCGAGTTGTGCCACACCCCCTCGCACCCAGGGGGTGTGGTTAGGGCAAAATGAGAATTTTCAAAAATTGAAACTAACATGTAGGACATATGAAACAGTAGGATTGATTAATTAATAAGGATTGATAAAATAGTAAAACATGTAAGATGCATAATTCTTCAGAGTAGCAAGATAGAATGAGGAAATCTCAATTATTTTGTTATTTTTAAATAATTCAGATTCGGCAATCTTTGTTTTCTTTATTTTGTATCGCATTCTCAGCACTCTTGCGCTACTTGTGTACCCTGCGTTGCCGCAGTTTATTCTCTACCAGTTTGTATTAGTTCGTCACCAGGGCCAGCACGGAGTCCCTAATGTAAATCTCCAGTTGAGACTTGCATCAGAGCCGTGTAGGTCGTCAACTTGTTTGTACAGGTCTGGTTTACTTTGGCTTATTTTATTACAAACTTTACCTGTATTCTGGTGGGAGGTCCAAGTTTATGAGGTACTCGTCTGGCGGGGGCAATCTGAGTTGATATGAACTGTAAAGCTATTGATTGCTTAATTATTATTAGACAACAGTTCGATCGAATGAATTACGTGTTGGTGGGTGGATATGCACCTGTTTCACATCCCAGAAACTATACAAGTACACAAAACAAAAGCAACTGTAATATATTGAATGCAGGTAAACTTTTCTCAACTTACTGAAGGGTCGGTTGCAGGTCGGCCAAATACTTTAAGAATGTCCGTCGCCACATCCCCATCGTTCAAGTCGACATGGGGTCGAGGAGGGTCATTCGACACACGACGAGCACCATCACCATTGCTGCAAGCGACCCCTAAGACCACGACAAGGAGGAGGAGGCAATATGAGACAAATCTCATGTTTCCACGCCTCGTACTTGTCTGCATGTCTTCTCGATCGAGTTCACTACTTACACTACGATAAATATTTTCAGACAGTCAAAAATATGCTCATCCTCAGCTCATGTAATTAACTGAACTGCTAACATATACATATGTACAAATGGCTTTATGTTTTCCTTGTTGATGCTTTATTCCTAGTTTATGCGTAGAGAAATAAAATGAATGCCGCACACATGGGTCTTGGTTGACACTGCACTGCACAGTGTTCAAAGAGGCCAATTTATTGGAAGTAATTCCCCGAGCACTTTTCTCTTAATATTTTTGCATTTTCCGAGCTCTGGGGGGGTCAAAGACGTGCCCATAAAAAAATTGACGAGCCACACCCACTTTGGGTGTGGTTTTTTCCTAGTGGGTTTAGGGTCAATCGCCCAGTCCAAACTTGTGTGCTAAGCGATTCTACAGTCAATTTCGCCGATTTTGAAATTTGGACATTTTAGGGTCGACATTCGGCGAAATTGGCTGTCGACATTGCCAAAAGTGCTAGAATATTTATTTTGAATGCTGGGGGAGTACTAGTTTTAAATTTGAGCTTTATAGGATCATGTCGAAATTTCGACAAGTCGACGCCATTCCCTTACGACATGGGTCAATTTCACTTGCGACGCACTTCTTAGCCCTAGCTGAAGCTAGATATCGATTTTTACTACTCTACGTCATGTTGAGTTTCGCCTGTTTTGGACAATTTCGACATGATTTTTTTCAATGTTCCCGGCCATGTTTCATGGAAATGTGCAAATTTCAGAACTCCATTTTTTCAGAATATGTACATACCAAGGGGGGCCATCATTTACAACCATTTTCAGAGTTTGAAGTTTGCACTCTTCGGAGAACCACGCCCCTAAAGTAGGGGTGTTTTGCCTTTCGCCAAACTTTGACCTGCAATAACCTTTTTGTTTATGGACCGATTTTGATGAAATTTTTTTAGAAGGTGTAGAATCGCTTAGCACACAAGTTTGGACTGGGCGATTGACCCTAAACCCACTAGGAAAAAACCACACCCAAAGTGGGTGTGGCTCGTCAATTTTTTTATGGGCACGTCTTTGACCCCCCAGAGCTCGGAAAATGCAAAAATATTAAGAGAAAAGTGCTCGGGGAATTACTTCCAATAAATTGGCCTCTTTGAACACTGTGCAATGCGGTGCTACGGGAAAACAGCGCAATTATTATTGAGTCGCAATGACCTATAAATTATATCGCGTCATTCCAGTGAGCGATTTAATTTGCCAGAATTGAGCTATGGAATAGAGCAATAAATATTTTAACGCAGCAGGATTCATGTCGATACAAGGAGGTATTAAACTGAGACGATTAGAGACTCGAGACTGAACACGATGCGTAGTTATCAGTCATTCTCACTCCAGTCTCAGCACACAAAAGAGATAAAACAATGCACACTCCTTCGTTTCCTGGTAATATTTACATAAATACATTCCGCTGGAAACATTCTGTCGGCGTCAACTCTGATTTGTTGAATGATCTCATTAACTAGGTGGGTGGGTGGGTGGGTGGTGGTACAAGCATATTAAAGCCACGTAATAAGCACATTTAGATGACGCTTAAGACTTTTAATAGATAGGCAAGAATACTGACTTTTGCTGAGCAAATCATATTAATTTCATATGTGGATGAGTCCGTCGAAATGTTGACCGCGGCAGTCCGTGGTCCGATGCATCGTGTTACGCTATTTTTATTACTTGCTACATTGTGAATTGTGACGGTTTTAGTCATGCTTGATCGTCTCGTGAAAACATCCTTAAATCTAAATATAGTGTTACATATCTTTATCATATACAATATCTCAACGTCTCACACTATCACATAGATTCATGCACATGAGTGAGTCACTCACCACAAAGCATATTAAACAATGGATAATAAACATGTTAAATAATTGCAGGATAAACTGAGACCATGATATTTCATAATACTCAGATGGTGTCGTACTCTGCAATTTATCATTAAATTATTTACTTGTGCACATTATAAAATCCAACCATAAGTATGTTGTCAATTATGTAGACACTTTTAATACAATACACAATTATGGAACAATAATAAGTTTAAATAAGTATAAATAGAAGGATGATTTCAAGGATCAGAGAGGAAATTTGTCGACTCCCTCGTCCGAGGGCTGATTGGCCATGCACTCCTTGCGAATGTCACTGGAAAGCGTTGTCGGGAGGTAGAGCTCGGCAACCTCGTCGTCAAATAGTTCCGGCTTGGCGTACCCACACACGTAGCCCTCCACTCTCGTCCTGCCCCCCAAAAAACAGACACAACAACAATCCAGTCATTGTTCCTTGCCATCCTTGAAATGTGGTAAAAAAAATTGGCTTACGCCAGGTGAGAGTGGGCCAACTGGACGAATGGGATGTGAAGTCGTGGGAAGATGTTCTTGTGCTGCTGAAGCAAATTATGCTGAAAGTCACTGCAACAATAAGTAGTAAGTATTAATAATTGTAAATAATTAAAAAGTCAACTTCTTGTTGTGTCTAATGTAATTTTTAGTTTTAGCACGGAATTTGCGTACTCATCTGCCTGCCAGAACTGAGTATACGTCCCAATTTTAGTTCGGACTTTCTTCTCAGTCTTTTTCAGCATCTCCAGGAAAGACGCTTCAGCTGCAGACTTTTGTTCCTCGTCATGACAGAAAATGAAGGACGAGTACTGGACAGCAGGAGAGTTACCGGATTTTACCACACTTGCCTGACTCAATATAAATGGTTGAAAGCTTTGGCATCAAACCTGATGTGGATTTTCTAGAGTCCAGTCATGATAGTCCCAAAATAATTCCAAGAGACGTTGATAAGTGACTCGGTCAGGGTCAAACTGCAAACTCACTGCCTCAATGTGATCCTTTCTGTACGTCAGGTTTTTCATGCATATTTAGATGGGGACGCTAAGTCTGTTCTCTGACCTTGTCTGTGCTTTCTTACGGGTCATTGTACATTGGTTCTTCCTCAGTGCCTCCGGTGAACCCTACTCGTACACGGATGACTCCCGGGATTGCTCCGAAGCGGGCAGCAGGTCCCCAATGACTCCCCATTGCAAAGGTGGCTGGGTTTCCCATGATTTCCTCCCACTCAGCGTCACACTTGTTAGAGCTCAATTCCTAGAACACCAGGTAAAGTGATTGGTCATTAGTACAAGTTCAATATATATATGCCCCTATCCGATACATAATACTCGCTTGGGACAACGTTATTGATTAAATCGTAAAAATTTCAAAGTACCGTGGCCTTGAAGTTAGTTTGCCAAACGTCTTTGCTCTTGCAACAGCCCATCACACAAGAACAGGAACAAGAACAAGAACGAGACGTGCTAGAAATTCTTCGCTGTCCTTGTCCGAGGACTGCTCTAGAGGGAATGCAATTATCAGACAAATAATCCAACATTTCGAACTATACAAAATAAAAATATATGCATTACTTATTAGGCAAATGTTACCACGATACGCTCCAGTATATAGACGCCAAGGAGAAAGAAATATGAAATGCCACCACGATTGGTTGGTTAGAGTACCATAATAATAAGGTTTTTAGCTAGCTATTATCAAAGTTGTTTATTAAACACAAACACTAAAATATACAATACACTTATCCGTAGTGGGCAGTAGAGGAAAAATCCGATGTTGATGGGTTGGGAAAACCATTAAATACTTTGGACAATTAGTCAAGATCACTATTCGGCCCCTTAAAAGTTATTTTTTTTACATAAATTGACATTATTTAAAATATAAAATAATTCTTGCAATCATCGTGTATTTGAGACAACTCCCATGATTTATTACTATTGACTGACCGATAACAAACTCCGCTTCCTCAGGTACATCATGTATAAATATATATAATATATGATACTATTAGTATCATTTGATTTCGACCTTCTTGTTTTATTAGGCATGTTTCACTTATTTATTTTGTCTGCCTTTTTAGTTGAATGTGCAGGATTGTTTGACAAATATAAATATGTACATACATAATTGCTCGATTTATGAATTACAAGTAACGTTTCATTTGCTATAAGCAAAAAAATAATTTGCATGTACATTTGTGACTACTTTGGATTAGTGTGACTATTTTATAAATTTAACTGTCGAAAGCTTAGTAATTTTTAATAAAAGAATAACTTGATAAATGAACTGTTATGCGTAATTGTGGTGCGCATAAAAATATAATGGATTTATAATTTTAACATTTACACGTGGATGAACAACCCCCTCCAACTCTTTTCTTGGAGAAAGTGTTCCCATGTAGTTAGCTGGCCCTGTACAGCAACTGTTTTTCGAGATGTTCGGACTTGAGGGTGCCATCGATGGACTCGCAGCCCTTATTGAAGACGGAGTAGGCGCTAATTTCGCCCGACCTTCGCCCTCCCGTCCGCGTGTTCCAGTAGATGAGGGCGAGGAGGGAGGCGGTGAAGAAGACGGCTCCAAACTCCAGCTTGAGGAAGGCGACGAAAAAGAGCAGCCAGGTCAACCCCAGACACAATCGTCTCAGCCACTGGAATGGAGGTGAGATGTGGTCCTCCTCCATCCCGTCGTCTTCGTCGCCACGGTATTCCTCGCCGGCTGTGTCGGCTGAAGGCAGGACGGCGTTGGTGAGGCGTTGTGAGAACGAACTCCAAACCCCATGGACCTTTTCCTTCATCTCGTCCTTGGTCCTCTCCAGCTCTTTCCTTCGGCGAAACTTGGCCAGCTCGGACTCCATCCCTCGTCGTCGTGCCCCCACTAGTACGGATTACGGATGTCAGATTATTCACTCAGCTAGGCAATCTACGTATTCACAAATTAAGTATTTTCAGCTCAGCTAGTAGCGAATTAAAACATAGCTGAACAGTTCTGTGGGTTAACAGAATTGTAGAAGAAAAAGGGACACAAAATTATCACATGTAAAATTTCATACCTGAAGTATTACTATTAGTTATATAATAGCGGCAGTAACAGTTTCCGTTATCTGACCATTATTGTTTGTAAACAATGGCTTATATTTTTGACTTCATATGAGGATTCAGCTGTGATCGTCAGCTGCTGGTTGAGCAAATGTCAGTCATAACTCACCACGAGACGAGCTGAATGGCTCAAGTTGACTTTCTAGGAAAGACTTATGAAAATAATGACTGAAGTAATGAGACAGGGGTTATTCATCAAGGTTTAGCAAGCTTTATTGGTTTAGTTTAGTATAAATAAAATATTTATATTGACGACATTTTATACCAAATTATCCTCTTATAAATATATTTCATAAAATTCATCAAAATATTCAAAACTATCACTCGTCAAATATCTATTTATGTCTAGAGTCGGTCCTTGTTTTCGTCGTTGTCACTTATCATCTTAATTAGATTATGTATTTAATTCATCGTCATTTAATCGTCCTTTAATTCACCGTCATTCACGCCGTCATCTCATCTATGCATGCATTATCAAATACATACGGACGGACCAAATTCTAGTTCGTCCGTGATCAAGATTTTCTGTCCAGTTTCCATCCTTATCATAGTCTAACTAATCACCTATTATCGTATTTTAATTAATCAAGTAAAAACGGGGGTAATAAAACATTTGCGTAGTGTAGCGTTAAAATCGTTGAGGATACTTTAACTCACCCATGATTTATAAATAACATTGATTAAAAACTTGTAATTATTTTCCATTAAACTACACAAAAACTATCTAAAAAAAATTAATAATTATGTTTTATAGTCATTTATTTAGTCCCGTTGGACACCTGGAGGTAGTGAATATCTTTGGATGGGATGTTGTGGGATCTGTCCGTGTGGGTGACCATACGTGTGCCTAGAAGGGCCACCTGGCACACTATATGAACCTGCAACCTGGAGAACCAAGAAAACAGCACTGTTTATATTCTATACTCGTGTAGAAATTGTCGCCAGAATGAGTACGAATAATGGAAGTGAGACGTGGTAACACTGGCCTCGCCATTTACCTGAGGAGAAGGCGGTCTTCCTTGGTAGGTTGACACATTCGGTTGGGTACGAATTGGAAAGCCGGAAGTTATGCTTCCACTGGGGACATTCTGCACCAAAATATTACCCTTAAAGTGGTCACACAGAAAGAGAAAAATGTTGTGTTAAGCATTAAAGAAGGAATGTTCAACTAACTGGTTTTACTTGGTTGGGTTGAATCGTGAGGCCTGGGTGGATAAGATGGGATGGTGGAGCACGTAGTGCAAGGCCATGCGTGGGTGGAGGGTAATATTTCGGACCATCTTCTGGAAATTTATTATGCGGCGAGGAGCGCGAATGTTGCTAGAATTTAACAAAGAAAAAAACACAAATAACATTAAAATCAATTTAATTCATTAGAGAAGACATTCATTTTGTCTTATTCGGGTTTCTATTACTTCAACAGCTTGATGAAGCACATAGCCTCTGGGTACAGGGGCACCATGATGAATAAACATTGGTCCAGGGACATGTCTTTGTTGTTGTTGTTGTTGCTGCTGTGATTCATCCCTTGATGGCTGTTGCGGAGATCTGGATGGGGGTGCACTGGAGTAAGTGTAAAGTGTTGATTGTGGGGGTGGTCCTGCCGAGGGATGAGGAACAGAAGAGAAAGACACAGGCCCGTGTTGAGAGTGTTGCTGTTGCTGTTGTTGCTGCTGGGATGGGGGTGGTTGATTGTTAGAATTTGGTTGCTGTTGCGAAATTTGACTTGGTGGATGAAAATAAATGTTCGGCTCTGGATGGAAAAGTCGGGTTTGCGTTGGTAACGCTATTTTGAAAGTTTTTAAAGTATTAAATGACTTGTTACAATAAAATTATAGGACTCACTTTGATGGGCGTATTGTGGAATCGCTTGCGGTGGTGGTTTAAAAGGGCCAAACTTGTAGGGGTGAGGGGGTGGTGACGGGCTCCTCGATCGTTTGATCTAAATTCAAAATCGTAATATTATGTTAGTATAGCTTCTTCCCAACCAATTACCACTTACCAGCAGCACGTGTACATGCATTTCATACAGCTTTAGAAACGTTAACTCACCGTGATGGGCATCTGGGCATGCGGGGAAGTATTATGATGCGATACACCTCCACCACCTGGTCCAGGAGGTTGTTGTTGCTGCTGCTGCTGAGGGTGTCCCACTTTAAAAACTTGGGCCTGGGGCTGAGTGATTGAAACTGGGGCTCTGGTCAGCTGAATCGGTTGTAAATAAGTTTGTGCTTGCTGCTGTTGTTGAGAGGGATGGTGATGAGGAGGTGGTTGTTGTTGCTGTTCTGGAGGCATAAGTTGTATCCTTGGAGGATTATTTGGATAGTTAAACTGAAATCTCATCATCTCCTGAGCTTCTTGAGTGTAGAGTTGACGTTTCCGTATTTCATCCTCGTTGAGCACCTTTTTTAGTTGGAGAAAAAGTTGATGTTTCTCTTCTTTCAGTTCAGCTAACCTGGCTTCAGACTGTGTTATCTGTTCCCGAGTTTCGCTCAGGGTAAGGACATGCTGCTTCTGTTGACGTTCACGCTCTTTTCGTTGTCGATCCATCTCGGCGTCAGCTTCGAGCTCTGTAGTAGCAAACAATGACAAACGAAACATTAATTAAAATTGAATTCCTAGAATCAGTGACACCTTAATTTCCGACGATTTTCATCATTCTCGGTTTTGTGAAGAAAGTTTGGTTGATGACAAAAATGAGGTACCTTGTTTCTTGCGCTGTCTCTCCCGCATTATGTGGCACTTGAGTGCGTCCTGAGTTGAAGAAATTGTCGTTTAGGCATAATAAACATGCATAGCAATAATAGTTTACAAGAGAATACAATTCAAGGATCATTCCTTACCCACATTGGGCGACTCATCTTTGGCCGCTCAAGCACCACAGGCATCCTGCCCTCAATTTTTAAGCCTTTTCTAACCCACGAAATTGTTACCTTTTTTCTTGACCCAACTCTCAATCGCTGCTCAAAATAATTAAGTTTTTCCCAAAGAAACGGGACAAACGAAACAACAACTCGTTCTCAGCGCCAGCCAATCTCCTCTCGTTGTTGATTTGCCGTCGTCGACGTCAGTGGGTTTCTGCTGCTGCTGCTTAAAAACACGAAACAAGCTCGATCGAAAGGTGTAACTAACTATTCGTTAAAATTTAATTAGTCAATGTAAATAATTTAATTAGAGCAAGTTCGAAGTGAAGTCAGCAACAGCAGCAGCAGTAGAAATACTAATATTAATCTGTATCATCGGTGTGGTGGAGGAGAGAGAGACTTGAGGATGCTTTGCTGGGCCAGGCTTTCGGGGTGAGACGAGAATCCCGATCCCCGAGAACAAGAAATATTCTCAAGAACATCATGATGACTCCACCGCCGCCTCCTCCTCCTCCCACAGCCTCCATGGACCACCACCCGACTGGACGCTCCTATAAAAACGGTCCAGCACAGCGGGGAGTGACACAGAGGCTGGTGGTGGACGAGGTTAGGTCAGAGATGACGCGACGACGCACAGAAAAATCCACTGAAGAGGCCGGCGACTCAACCACGCTGATCGTCTACAACCCTATCTTGTCACCCATTTTGCAATGTGGACCCGTGTAAGTTCTTTATGCGATGATATCAATCAATAAGTATGACGAGACCTACATACACATAAGTAGATGTGGACTTATCGCACTGGTGGAAGCAGCCCAAGTCCTTCTACCCTACCGTGACGATGAAGTGACGCCACGACGACTCAACCCCGACGCCCTACTCGAGGAAGCAGTTCGACTTGGGATGACCAAGCTTGGTGAAATGTTCTCAGCCTTTGATATGCAACGGCTGGCAAAGACATGGTTCCACTGCGACTCGACCTTACTCGATACAAGTGATGTTGAAGCAACTTGGAGTCTACTAGTGGATCACTTGCTTCATGGAAACGTGGCCCTCATACCGTAAGAAACCGGGATTCATACTTACTAATTGATAATAATTATTGCGAAAATACTTGCAGATACGATGCAGATTATAATCATGGGCCCACACTGCGGAAGGGTCACTCTGCCCACTGGGCGGTCATTCATGGGGTCGTAATACCGTCGGTGCCAGTCTCTCTACTCGGAAGTGCCTTAAGCGAAGAAGGAAATGACAGTGACCCAGATTTCAGAGTGTTAAACCCCAACAAACTCTCCGCTAGTATGAATATTATTCTATCAACTAAAACTCCCTGCACAACAAGTTCATTGTCGTGTGTGATTGCGCATCACGGAAAAAGCATGCGACCGGCCGTGTGGAACTTTCATGATCTTATGGCTAGCAATCAAAATCTGGTGCAAGTGTCCCAAAAGATAGCTGCCTCCCCTGCTGGAAGCTACATATTTGGGGACATTGAAACCGAACTATGCTCGAAATTAGTTCTTTTACAAAAATCTTCCGATACTTTATGTTAAGAGAAAGACGTAAGACGTAAGTTATGAAAACACGCTTTGCCTACAATATGTATAAAATAATAAGATTATTGGCTATTCTACAGCAAAAGAAAAGGTTACATTTATAAGACCTACTTATTATTATTACATTAGCTACATGAATGACGACATCCTTCATCTTTTAATCTAGATATCAATAAAACACGATATTTTTTCTTGCTTATTATCGTTATCATAAATGAGCCTAAATCTGGATATGGATGGACGCCTTTCTCAGCCATGCATAATTACTCCAACTCCATTACACCACTCCCATAAACACTAATTATCTGAATGAATAGTACCGAGAAGACGTGAACAATCTACAAGTCGGTCATGCGGATTGATACAAATATCTTAAAAATTTAGTAATATTTAATGAATCTATCTATTCGTCCGCTTCCTCTTCTTCTTCTTCGTCCTCCTCCTCCTGCTCTTGATCATCATCCACTACGGAATCGTCTTCCTCTTGGGAAGAAGGAGCAACTACAACTACGGCCTCATCACTGGTATTCATCTCTTCAGTTTCTTCCTCAATCTTGACTTCAATCGTCTCTTCAGTAATTTCACCACCATCTTCTTCCTCCTCCTCGTCTGGCCTCCCTTTGCGAGAAGTGTTTGAAGGAAATTCTTCGTTGTCCTCGTCATCAGTTCCCACCCCCCTTTTCCCAACAATATTTTCCTTCCCATCTACCGATTCTCGCTTCATTGCAACACCGTTGCTCCCAGACTTGTTGGTGAAGGAGGACCGTGGTTCGTCATCATTGGTGAAGACAGTGATTGTGAAATCTTCTCCCTCCAGAGGAACATCAATGTCCTCATTCTTCATAATTTCATCTAGTTCGTATTCAATGTCCGCATCCATAGGATCAATTTTTCTATTGCTCGGTCGACCAGCCATCCGTCCCTCCCAGTATCGCTTACTCCTCTGCTCATAATCCTCTAAATCGTCAAGAACAAGTTTCCGTTTGTGTGATATCATTTCTGTAATATGGAGAAGTTAGATTTGTCATGACCAAGTTTAAACAACATCATTTGTGTGAAGACTTGCACTCATAAAACGAGAAAATAAATCAAAGGTCGAGGTAATAATGAATGTGAAAGAAGAGATGAGAAAGGAGTACCTGTGACAAATTGTTTTGACTGTTCAAGACGACACTCCATAATTGGGTTCATCAATTTGGGCAAGTAGAAAATGTGCGGTTTAGCTTCAGTCCTAGGTTAGATAAAGCCTGATAAAATTACCTGATAAAATAAAAATACAAACCTGATAAAAATATATACCTGATAAAATTAGTCAAATATTTGGTCTTCTCTTCCCACTGTTCCAACTCGGCTAGGCGACGCCGTTTGACTTCAATCCGCTTAATTTCAGTTAGCCTCAGTCTCCTTTCTTTAATTAATTCCTGCTTCTTAGTCTTCACAACTTCTCGCTCATGTTGTGCCGCTTCATCCAACTTGGCTTCAATGACGGCTCGCTTATCCTCCTGCAAGTTACAAAACCATCAAGAATTCTGCTACCGTGAATAACTAAGCCGATAGAAAATTATATACTCCATGTAAGTAAGACGTAATCTCTATAAATCATTACCTTTGCCTTCAGTTTAGTCTCATCTTGCTTAAAGCGTTGGAGGGTACCAAGAAGTGCACCAAACATTCTGCGATTTCGTTCCCTACCAGACCGATCTTGTCTTTGTTCGGCCAAAACTTCATCTCGAGACTTTTCCTTTGCGGACGAAACAATTCTTGAAGCCAACTAACACAAATAAAATACAATTTATAATCAATATCATGACAGGTGATTGAGAATATCTCTCGGTTATTTGATTCGTACCCGTCTCCCTGCAAATCCCTCATCCTCCCCACCACCGTCGATAGAATTTCTCTGCCTCCCCCCTCCGAACCTTGGTCCATTGCCACCCGTCATCATTGGGCCCAATCTGCCTCCACCAGCAGGTCCAAAACCGAAGCTGCCTCCCCCTTCGCCACGTCTCCGTTTCTCTGTCGGCTCATCTCCGTCACGCTCAAAATCATCCCGACGTCGCCGCCCTCCACCCGCCCCATCTCCAGACTGACTATGAAAGTGGTCATTGTTGTAATGATCTTCCTTCGCTGGGTCATCCTCTGGTCGCCGGCCCCTAGTGAACAATTCAATTTTTGCAGTTAAGAAACTTTGTGAGACTTTGTCACACGTCACTTTAATATGCATCAACTTTCATACCTTCCAAAAACTGTGAGTTCTGAGGCATCCTTCCCAAACACTTTTTTAATGTTGTCATCCACACTGCGCAAAGTTTCTCGAGCCTTCTCCAACTCTGCGTCCAAACTCCCCGACAAGTTGGAAATCACGTCCGTCGCCATCGCTTGATACTCGGCTCTGTCACAAAACAGTAAACAGTTTGCGAGTCAGTGACCACCACCGGGCGATAAGGAGATGTTCAGGTCAAGATGATGACCCCTAGTTTGTTATATATTATATGACAACTGATCGACTAAAAACACTACCAACCAACACTAACAGTAGGTATATATTAAATAGTCGGTGAATTTTGTGTCCTGGAGAACGCAGGGAGGTTTGAAGTTGGCAGCAGAGAGGAGAGAGGTTGGTCGAGGATGTCTGCAGATGGAGTGGACACCTCCAGCCCAACGCCCCAACCACCACTTTCTCCACTTGTATGGAAACAAAGGTTATGCAATAATGTGGCTGCTTTCACTCTGTCATGATTATGTTTGCACACGTTGAGGACGAAATGTGATGAGAGTGCGGTCAGGTTATGTGACACCATTCGCAATGCACACATCCAGCGGGTGCAGGCTGATGAAACGTGTTGAAATTTTCCAGGTAGCAGAGGATAAAAAAGACGAGGAAACTATGGGACGACCGGATATTGCATTACTTACTTGGGTACACACATCATCCCAGCCAAAAGAGAGAAAGAGTGGGATGACGGCTGAGTGAGACGTTTAGGACGACACAATAGCCATGCATGAAATAGTTTCATCTGACCTGCACATCGGCCATCCAGAATGTGGCACATGCAGAGGAGGAAGAAAGCACCGACCGGAACTGGCACCATTAGCATCCGCTCAAAGAAAGAGGAGCGAGGAAAAATGCTGCTGCCATGTTTACTCACCGATTAAGAGCCCATCATTCCATTCTCATGCAATCCTTGTGCTTATACGTGTTCGGAACGGACGGATGAAGCCCTTATTCGATCGAGGTATGTGGAAGTCAAATAAGGAGGGAGTCAGTCAAGTGGTTGGTTGGGTGGTGGAAGGGTCAAACTTCCAATTCAATCATCCATCCATCCATTCGGCCGTTGTTGCTCAAGTTGAAGTTCGTAATGGACAGGGCAAAGTTAATTTGGGGACGAGGCTCTTGTAATGCAATTTCCACTGCGAGAGTGCATAATATTCAATTTTTATTCCCACTTACTTTCACTCCTCATTTCACTTGACTCGTCTCCTCTCCTTGTCGACGGACAGCGTGTGTGACCGCTTCCTCCACAATGGAACAGTGTCCACCGTCAATTTCTGAACATCACCAGCACCAGCTTTCATCATCTAACTCGTCATTTATTTAACTGAATAAATAAATCTCGATGCGAGGGACACTCGCTCACTCAGAAATATCCAGCCACTCACTCTTCGTCCACAATGGGAAGCTTTATGTAATAATACAGTAATTTCAATGCTCACCACTCTTTACTCTATCAACGTGTACCGATATATTCCGGAATAAAATAAAAAATCTCATCATCCCCAACGTAGCACTTTTCATTTATGGCTGAAGTCTTGGGACAGTAAATAATATCAAAAATCAATCTACTTATTTGATCTATTCTCACTCGGCGAATGATGGTGTAAAAAACATTGAAAGGAAATTTACGTAAAATTTGGTCGATCGCATGCATGAGAATAGTGACTTGTCTCTCGCGTGCTCTTATATTTTTCTTATATTTTATATTATAAAATTCAGTCTCAACTCGCCTCCTCCTCGTATTTTTCAGCTGCACTTACTGAGAATGAGTACATACTTTCTAATTGAATTTTGATTGAAAAATTCGAATTCTGACAGGCAGGCATGTCAGACCTGATTAGTCCCAGCTTTGATCGGGCCGAGATAATCTGACCAATAATTATTTGTTGTGCGGAGGAGAAAGCCTGGAGGGATTGGGATTGCATTGTGCCACAAAGAATGGCTGTGCTTTGACTCTGATGATGAGATGAAGCCCCAGCGATCATCCCTTAATACCTTCTTCCTCCTCTCAGGGAATCTTCTCCTGCCCCCATTTTCCCCACCACCACCAGCCTCTGATGCAATACAACAAGACCAAAAGAAGACCAAGACACAAGGCTGCAATACGACGTCCAATAACAACATTTCCCTTTGTTGTGTTTCACATCAGATCACAAGATCTGAGAGACTTTTATTATTTGCTACGTCGTTTCTCTCCATGTCCGATGGGTAATTACTTGTGACCAAAACCACGACACAGACGACCAATAACTCTGGATGTAAGATCTCATATTATTTTTCTCCTTCTTTCTTGGCTCCCATTGTTCGTCGCCCGTCTCAACTAACTCTCATCATCATGAGTCAAAGGATGAGACCTACCCACGTACAAATAATCCGAGGAGAATCCTGGCAAGGATTTGCTGAGATGATGACACAACTGTGTGCTCGCATAATAAGAGAGAGAGCACAAAACGTATTTACTAATCATAATCCGATCGAATTTTCTCCAATTGAATCGTCTTGTGGTTTGTGAGCTAGCCATATCTTTCGAGATGCTGTACCAATTTGTCCTCAAATGTACTTGTTGGTTTCCCTGCCTTATTATTTACGACTCACCCCACGTGTAATTCATACCCGTACACCTTGTTATTTCTCTTCCTCTCGGGCAAGTGTATTGTTTGGATGGAAGAGCGAAATATACTAACCGTGTGTTACAATAAAGACACAGATTTCAACATTGTCACATTTTACATGAAAGGCAATATTTATCTCGACTTGCGGGACTGGCTGCGTAATCTTTTTGGTGAGGGTTTGATGGCTGTCTGCTAACAAGACCAAATCCGATTCGGTTTAAAAATTATAATGGCATCGTACACTCGAGGCGTGAAATAATAAGGATGCGACAATACAAGTGGCATCATTTATTGTTCCTTCCCTTCCTTCCTGGGTGAGACCAAGTAATCAGCAACACCACAAAAGCCCAAACTGGCAACAAGGATTTGTTCCGTTGGAGTGGCGATGATGAGAAATGAGCTCCACTTAAGTACGACTTTCTCCGCCGTTCTCTGCTGACCCATGTGCATGACATGTTGATGAGGACGACGAGGAAGTAAATAATAGTGGGGAGATGAGATGATGATAACAATGCCCTCATTTCGTGGCTGGTTCTGCTTATGCCGAGTCCGTCAGAGTAACGAGGTCTCCTGGGAGGTTCCAGTCCAGTAGTTTACCTACTGGTCATCCGTTTACAATGCAATAATGTCTCTCGAATCTCAGAAACACTACATCTTTCCTCCTCCGAGTGGAGTCCTAAGTGCTTGCTTCCTTGCTTAGAAAATCAGCCTGAAAATCATGAGGCTGAGACGTCTTTTCCTCTGTTTGCCTACATTTCCTTCCCCGTTCGAGAGCACTTTCTCTCGTAAAATTGTCCGAGGAATCAACAGGCATCGGTGGAGTGGATGATGACATGATTGCTCCTACATCATTGTAGTCATTGCATGTTCCTGTGTCCACTATCAGTCCGTAAACTGGCCGCTTTCCCCACGTGTGACCATAACTGAAAGAACCTTTCTGCACCACATGAATGCTGACATGCAGAAGGATGACCAGAGATCCAGATTTCAATATTGCCTGCAATCTCCAAATGAAATAATGTCAGTTTCTCCTTGTTGTCCGAGTGGGAGAGTATTTAATCGCATGGAAAACTTGGCTCGAGGAATCCCATTATGAGCGACATGACATTTTTATCACAAGTCAAACACAGATGTGGTGAGTGGGTCCTCATTATTGCAATACCTGGAGTGGGGCGACACGGAATTCTCATTTGCGTGTGTCCACTCATCCACCTCACTCACTGGAGGCTTATCATGTCTGAACACCCGGTCCGCTTCCCCCTCAACCAAATCTCACCAGAAATTGTAATAATATGACAAATATACATGACATGACAGCCATTAGTTCAACATGTTCCACATTACTTGCCTCATAAATGCTTATTATTTCTGGCTGTATGTCTGCCTCGGAGTAGTTTTGGTAAAAACATCAATCAAGGGAAAACATGCAAAAATGTGATGACAATCAATCTTGGGGAAATCTAAGCCATCCAGGTTTGTTATGAGGTTACTTACATGATTTGGCTAATTTGGTATGCTGCCAGTCATTTTGTGGTGGAGCTGCCTTTGGTATAATCTGCGCTTTCTCCTGGCCTCGTGCCGAGAGGCTAATCGAGAAGGATGGCGGTGGATTGGGTGAGGTTTTGGCTGGCTGGCGTGTAAGAAAAGGGAAGATGGGATGGGAGATGATTAGCGAGAAAGATGAAACATTTCCCCATTTGCATACGAACAAAGGAGGGACGGATGAGACGAGGAGGCAGCAAATTCCCAGAGGAACACGGACCATATGAATTTGCAATGAGATGATGATTAGCAAAAGCCTGACAAGACGAGGAGGCAGCTAGAAAAACTATCATGATGAGCACGGCCTTTGCTCACTGAACGAATGGCTGTATGACGATGACGACGACGCCAAAAAAGAAGACGAAGAAAGCGAACTGGTTGGGATTTTCTCGAACGCCACAAGAAATACGTACGAACGTCGGGGCGAGGATGGGCACTCACCTTCTTGTGATCTCTTCCCCACAGATTTCGAATGCATGCACTGGGTCCCCTGCAGCAGGAGCAGGCATGACGACGACTCTTCTTCTTCCTCTCCAGTTAAAAACTCATCACGCACAACAAGTCTCTGCTCTCTGCATCTTTTCTGGAAAAGCCAGCAGACCCGTCAGCCCATAGTGCGGGACTGGAGGAGGAGGACACTGCTTGGTGGCTCTGGTATAAAATTTCAATCATGTTCTTATTCAAGGGCCATCCCATCATATTCCCATTAAATATGTAGATACATTTTAGACTACGCAGCCCCAAAGCCGCTGATCCAGGAGTGAGTGCAGCATTATATTACGTCTCCAATGGAAAATCCATCAGCAAAATCTCCAAACCGCACGACATGAATTCTTCAAAGTTTTGGAACCTACAACCACGCACGACAACATACACTGCTCCCACTCCTATAGCTTCCTAAGTAGAGAGAGATGGGCGCCATAAGCTCATTTTTAATGGAAACATCAACATTTTTACGTCCCTTCCACCCACCAGCCACATATACACAGAACCACCTCAGAAGAGCACAGCATCAGCACCACACATCAATCCATGTAATGCATGGATAACATTTTTGTACTCGCATCAAATTGAATGCTGAAGCCATAAACTTAAAATTCATGACTTTTTGTCGTCCCACCTCCTCCAACAAGTTGTGAACAAATGTCACACAGCATTCAGAGTGAAAAAGCCAGTG